CAGTTGCTAAGCTATTGGCTTGCGCACCGGTGGTTGCGGGTTCGATTCCCAGACCCGCAGATGATTGTTCCGGATCTGGGTTTGTTCCCAAGGAGGCATTAACAACGCAATTCACGTGTTGTACTGACCAGGTATATGAGGGATAAGGGCATTCGGAAGAAGAAGGGTTGTAACAGCCCAAGCCGAGGTCCCCTCTCGGGGGCCCTGGAGCCTAGTCACTCCATGGACCGCCAAAGCGATCTAAGAGCTTTGCGGCCTCTCTAACCGGTTAAAATAATAACAGCGTGACGGCCCGAGCCCTCGAGCTTAGTCACCCATAAACGAGGTTCAGACTAGGCGCCCTCAAGCCCGGTAGATCTGTACACAAGGCCAACAGTGGTTGATCCAGCCAAAAAAAAATGGAAAAAGAAGACAAATATTAGTCACTAGCTTTTTGCCCGCGGCTTCGCTCGCATTGAAGCCCTTAAAAAATATCTATCCTCCTTAAGAACCCTTTATAACCCTTTTTCCAATTAAGGCTCTAGACTATCTGTGTACCAAATTTCTTTAAAATCGGTTCAGTAGTTTTGGCGTGAAAGCGAGACAGAGAGAGAGAGTTACTTTCTCATTTATAATATTAGTATGGATTTACATAGTAAAATAAAAAAAAAACAAAAAGGGTAACTTATAGCACATGAAGCAAAAATTTTTATATAGAAATATAAAAAAATTAATGTCGAAGATTAATGAAATGTTGTTGGCAAAATTTTATAAAAAATAGTGTGAACTCGGGCAGCTAACCACGGGCAGCTATTGTAGATAAAAGTATGTTTCAACTTTTCTGAGTCATATTTAACCTGGGTGGAATTTGTTTATTATTTTTTGTACACTTATTACGTTGGCACACACTGTGGCGAGTCGGCATTAATTGCAGTTTTAGCCGTTTCGACGCTGGGCATAGCTGTTTGAAAACTGGCGTGCGTTTTCAGAATGTGAATACGGAGCTCGGAATGTCGTGCATTAGTTTTTAATACCACCAGCGTTATGCGTTTGTGCTTGTGGATATTTGAATGAATGAATGAATGAGCGAATGAATGACTGAATGAAGGAATGAATTATATTAGTTTGTCCGTAAGCCCGGAGCTGACATCAAAGTCATGTTTTTAAGCTTGTACACTTCTGTAACGTGTACAGAGGGTAAAAATTTAATTGTTATAATTACTGTACACATATTTAATCTAATTAATAATTTATCAATCATTTAGCAGTACCTTTTGTTGTGATTTATTTATAAGTTGTTGGTTTTACACCTATTGCGTCACGTGATAGTTCCTACTCTCTAGTGTGGTGATGGTTGGTATTTGTTTTTGATCAGTATAAATTCAAATCTTACAACGAACGCGAGTTAGTTCATTGGTTATTGTGAGTTGAGTTAGCCTCTGCTGGAAAAGTTAAGTACTACCGATATAGCTCAGAGGATTAGCAAGCTGAAGTGGCGATGGGCCGGCCATATAGCTCGTAGAACCGATAACCGTTGGGGAAGAAAGGTTTTCGAGTGGCAGCCTCGTAATGGCCATCGCAGTGTAGGACGACCCCCCACTAGATGGAGTGACGACCTGTGCAAATGTGCGGGAAGTCGATGGATGCAGGTGGCTCAGGATCGTACTTCATGGCAGTCTATGGGGGAGGCCTATGTTCAGCAGTGGACTCGGACAGGCTGAAATGATGATGATGATTGATTGATATGCAATTATTGAGTTATTAGTTATATGAATTGTTAAAAGGCATGTTTTAAAGAATCGTTTTATAGAATTCTGTATCGAGATGTTTCTGATCCGTTCGGTACTTCCACTTCGGATTTTCGGTGTTTTAGCAACGTGAGATTTAGCAACGCTTTCATGTAGAACTTGCTTAAAGTTTTCAACTCAGTAGCCAGATCTTTCTTGCCAAAGATTACGCACCTACTATTTATTCACTGCAGCTTTCGAAAAGCAAGGTTATGGAAATCATCGTTAAATACTTCTACATTTCGTGTTTCAATATGTGTGTTATTAACATCCTTAAAATCCATTTAAATTTTCCACTTGATAAATAACTATAAATTAATTTATTTATTTATTTATCACCAACAAAGTACACGCCGAAAGAGAATAAATAAACAACGTTTACAAAAAGTGATGAGTGGTACCTTAATTATAGGTAAAAACTACTTTTTACAGACAGTACAAACACAACCAAAAATGCTGTTAATGACAGCTAAGCGCGTATTGAATTAACTAAGTACTAATTGAATCTTATATTAACTGATGTTTGTACTTTCAGTCCCGAGACTATTAAAGCTTTATCTGACGCAGAACCGGTGGGCTAGCCAGAACCCTCGGGTTCGGGCCCTCCGCTGTGGGTAGGGCCGCACATGTGCTCATGCGTGCGTTTAACTACGGCATGTCATCTAAGGGACATCGAAGTTGCGGTGCGGACCGAGACCCCGATGGCCGTCTACTGTTGGTCTCTAAGTGTTAGGCCACAGTTCCAGCAATATGTTTAATACGCTTTATTTAGCTGTAGTCTATGATTGATTAACACTTGTCATCAGGCAGTCGCTGACGTTCAGCCGTCTCTATAAAATTTACACAGCCTTTGTTGTTCATTGTATTGGCCGGCATGCGAACAATATATTTTGTTTATAGATGGTGGTTGTCTATCATCCGTGCATATCTTACTTGATATATCGATAGCCTACGGTGCATCCATCGGCCACGCACTACCGAGCATTGCTAGCGACATATAATCTGTTTGTGTTGGAAATTTTCACATGGACCATTTTTTCCCTGCGCTTTGTTCTGTATTATTGTTGGCGTTTCTTTTAGATGTATTTTACCACCAGCTGAACTGAATATTCGCTAAATCCATACTAATATTATAAATGCGAAAGTAACTCTGTCTGTCTGTCTCGCTTTCACTCCAAAACTACAGACTGGTGACAGACGGACAGACAGACAGTCTTGTTTAGACAAGTTTTTGCCGTATCTCACGAGGAAATTACTGTAATGTATCGTTGACCGGTCAAAATCAAAATCAAAATCAAATGTATTTATTCAACATAGGAGCATTACACTCACTTATTGATAGTCAAAACACTACAACCGGTTCGGAAAAGAAAGCCACTGTACTGAGAAGAACCGGCGAAAGAAACTCAGCGGGCTTTTTTTTTTAAATAAGCAGTTTGACATAAATTCATTAAAAATACAATATAAGAACTCCGATTGAAAGAGCCTGGAGCGATCAGTTCATTACCAGAGTGTGTTATCATTTAAATAATCATTAATATTATAGTAGCCTTTAACACACAAACGTTCTTTTACTATTTTTTTAAATTTAGCTATTGATGCATTTTGAACGTTTTCTGGAATTTTGTTGTAGTAACGTATACATTGTCCCATAAAAGATTTACTTATTTTACGCAGTCTACTTGTGGGTAGGATCAATTTATTTTTGTTCCTAGTATTTATATCATGAACATTATTATGTCTTAAAAATTTATCCTTATTTTTATGGACATACAAAACATTTTCAAAAATGTATTGAGAAACAACAGTCAATACCTTTATCTCTTTAAACAAGTTTCTTAACGATTCTTTGGGGCCCAGATTGTAAACTGCACGAATAGCTCTCTTTTGTAAGATAAAGATTGTATTAATGTCGGCCGCGTTACCCCAAAACAGAATGCCATAAGACATTATACTGTGAAAATAACTAAAATATACCAAGCGAGACCATGTAGATACACATCAGTTAACTGTCTTATTTTTTTGACCGCGAAAGCTGCTGAGCTAAGTCTACTCGCCAGTCTATTAATATGGGGGCCCCATTGCAGTTTGGCATCAATAGTTATGCCAAGGAATACAGTTGAGTCAATAGGATCCAACGCTTCCCCATATAAAAGTACATCAGTTTTTACATGTTTAACATTGGAAGTTGTAAATTTAATACATTTAGTTTTTTTATTATTCAACAGTAAATTGTTAGCACTAAACCAATCTACTACAGTAGATAGAGTATTGTTTACATCGTCATAACTTAAAGAACGTCGGTTTACTTTAAAGATTAAAGAGGTATCATCCGCAAACAATACTATCTCATGATTATTATTAACAAGATAAGGTAGATCATTTATGTAAATGAGGAAGAGAAAAGGCCCAAGTATAGATCCCTGCGGGACTCCATATTTACCAGGGCCCCGGGAGATCTCTTGCCATTCACGTCAACTCTCTGAATTCGATGGCGCAAGTACGATTTCAGAAGATTGAGTGCGGCATCTCTTATACCATAGTGACGTAGTTTCCTGACCAAGGTCTCATGCTGTACACAATCGAAAGCTTTGGTTAAGTCACAGAATATACCTAAGGCATCCTGCGACTTCCCACGCTGCAAAAATATTCATAACGAGCTGAACACCCGCATCAGTTGCTGAGCGACCCCTAGTAAACCCATATTGCTTGTTATGTAATAAATTATGAGAGCTAAAATGCTGTAACATTTGATTCAACATGATTTTTTCAAAAAGAGTTGGCAGTACAGAGATAGGTCTAAAATTATTGGGGTCGGAAGTACTACCAGATTTAAACACCGGAATGATTTTACTATGTTTATTTCATAAGGTCAGGAAATTCGCCACGATTGATAAAAATATTAAAAATAGTTGCTAGGTAAGGTGATATTACATCAATAATAGAACTGATCACCTTAACCGAGATCCCCCATAGATCTGCAGTTCTTTTAACATCTAAAGTTTTAAAAGTTTTAACAATTTCTGTCTTGTTTACAGTAATTTTGCGTCAATTTCGTTACTCTTAATAACCGAATTGACTTAGAATAATCGCATAATATTGCGAACGTACACCTTATTAGAGATAAGTCTATCGCTCGGGTCACGTGACCTTAAGATTAGCGTTATTACTCGTGTCTCCATACATACCATACCAAGTCTCCGGCCGTGTCGCAGCTCACACTGCCGTTTCAACATGTACGATCCACTAATACTGTATAACTGTATACTGCCACGACAAGCGCTCCTGCAAGCTGAAAGAGCGCTTCGAGCGCTACAACAGCCACCACTTCGAGAAGACCGCCCGCCAGCGGATCCTTGCCGACGAGCAGTGACACCAGAGCAGCACCGCGGATACCGCCCACCAGATCCGCGAGGTGATCGGCACGGAGAACTACATCCTGTAGTACTCCCTGCCGAACTTCGTGTAGCAGGACTGTGCGGTGAAGATGAAATACCGCGCGGTATACGTGAACGGCCAGAAGACGGACCTCAGCTTCAGGGATGTGAGGGCGCTGCCGACGAACGTGAAGGCGCACGAGGGCCTCTGGTTCCTGGATAATGGGGATCTGAACGTAGTTTTCAGAACCCAAGTGGGAAAGGAGAGCGCGGTATAGTGCAACGAGTACATCAACGACTCGATTCAGGCTCTGCCCCGGATGGCGACCGAGCTCACGTTTAGGAACGGAGACAGCTCCGCCGTTGCGTTTGACCCCAACATGAAATAGTGGTAAAACTTAAGTTATTCATATTCTTCCCCTAGGGACGCATCCTGAAATGGCAGATGTCATATTTATGCTGAATATAAAACGGTAGAATAGATTGTCCATTCTCGCAATTTTTTTTTACTTTACCAAAACATCTTTGGGGCAATTGACCCTGTTCTCGAATTATCGAAAGAATACATTTTTATACCGAGCTGGCACAAGTCCGACAAATATTGCGATAAACATCACTTACGCCCGGTTTCTGAAACACTGATCATCGTAGAAGTCAAATAATCAGCTGCCAAATGGCTCATCAAATTTCATTTTAGTTACCGAAAGGATGGTTAGTTAAACTCTTTGAATTGACAAGAATGAGTTTCTTAATGATCTAAATGATCAATTCAAAGAGTTTAACCATCCTTTTGGCAACGCAAATGACAATTACCATTTTGTAAACATGGTAAATGCATTAGTTGACATCCACCATGATCAGTGTTTCAGAAACCGGGCGTTAGTTTTGTAATTTTATGGGATTGCTGATCTAATCGTGGTATCTTTGCCACTTCTTGATAAACATTTATGTTCTGTTTATCTTCTAGTTAACGATCTAATACACATTGCTATTTTAGTGTACTCCATTTTTTATTCTGTATTTCATAATTTATTCTTGAAGGTCTGTAATTTCCGTCCTGTTACTGTCTCTTTCTAGTTGTACTGTATTATTATCTGCGTCATATTTAATATATGTTGGATAATTTATAATAATCACTTTTAGGTTATCTTAATTTAGTCTTAAGCGTCATTTTTAACCGGCGGAAAGATTAGTTAGAGTATTTTTTATGGCATATTATATTAATATGTAATTATATAATCATGTATTTACAAATTTATTGTAGTTAATATAAGTAATGTAATTTAGTTAATATAAGTATATTTTAGCATGATTTGGATGATTTGTGCTAAAAACATATGCACAGTTTTACTTTAAAGGTAACTCCAAATATAGTTATTATTGTATTAGATTAAGTTAATGAAATGAACATTTTGTTATTTTTATTATTTATTTTATTATATAGATTTTTATTTATATTTGCATTTGTATGTATTATTAAATGTCGAAATGAGTATAGAGTTATTTGCTCATCATATGTGTCGTTTTGATTTATAAGTTTTACAACAATCTTGTCGTATACGAAAACGCAAAATACTTGTAAAGCATTTTCATTTTTTAAATTATGTTCAGGGAAAATAACAAAGCGATGCCTAGATGCCACACCTAGAAAAATAGCACAAGCAATGCAGTGAAATGAGCTTTGATATCTTTAATTAAAATTACTACGACACCTTACTTATTCTATTTTATATGGCGTATCTCTCGTATACTCTCATATAATACCAAACACCTGCCTGACGTAAAAACAGCATTAGTAATTTTCGTAAATAGTAATATCAGATCATAACAAAGAAAAACATATGAAGCCAAGATGACTGTCCTGGCACCAGTAGGAACAAATAGCGCTGTTGTGACTATTGGGATTACACAATGTTTAAACCACAAGATGAAATAGCGTTCGGTACTGTTATCTAAATGACTTTTCCATCAGGTTCATTATTTTACGAAAGAAGAACGAGTGAAGAAGCGGTTCATCTGATGCTGTGTGGTGACCGCCGCCCATGGGCATTCGCAATAACTTTAAAGTTGCAGATGCGTTTTAATATAGTGATTATCTCACTCACTAGGTGAAACGCAGAAGTATGACACTTCTACTCCACGCCGGTATTCTGTGAGGTCGTGGCACCCCTACGGACCCGCCCATTCATGCAACAGTAATGACAGCTGCATGGACGTACCACATTTTAGCCAAAGCCAAGTACTGTGGTGTACGTAACTTAACCTTAGGAAAATCAATTTGCGCAAGCTTATATGAAACTCTATCAAATGCTAGGTTTGTTTTTGGTACAAAATTTTTGAATACGTTACTGGCATAAAAAAGGGTATTAATTTTTTTAATTTTGAGAATCGTTTCATTTCCCAACTCAACATGCTATTTTGATTTTTAAACTTTACCATAGAAAATACATGTTTGAAAAAGCTTATAATATAATTATATATCTTTTACAGGACAAAGCAAAGCAACCCCCTCTTGCTTCGGCCTTCAAAAGCGGATGCTAAGCAAAGTAAATTTTAAATTAGCGATCTAACAAAGACTGCTGAAGGCGTTTTTACGTTAACCCCAGGTAAAATTGGATTTAATTAAAATTTCATACAATATAACATTATTGGTGTAGATGCTACTAACCTCTTATTTTGAGTGCAAAAAAAAACACATAATATAGACGGGCCTAACTGAGCCATTCAAAGTCCAACGTGAAATAACTAACACTTCTGCGTTTGGTCTGGTGAGTAAGATCGGCTACCTTATTTAAAGGTGGCAAAGCTTCTGCAACCCAACGGGTGTTGCAAGTGTCCATGCGCGGCGGTTATCACAGTCAGCGTAGAAATAAGAAGGCCTAGATACAAAATGTATGAATGATAAACATCTGGTATTTTTTTTAAACTATAACCGAGCTTATTTCTATTGTTTGGGAGATGACGAATACATAAGTAGGCATAGATGACTCGTTGTCGTAAATACGAGTCACAAACATAGATCTTCACACTCGCTTAAATGTAAATAAAACTATTCTGGAGTGTAAAAAAATATTGTCATAAGTTATTGCCGTTGTGAATCCAAATAAAAATATATTTATTTGTAGTAATCGCATACATCCAAGAAATGTTTACGTGACCCAAGAATAAAACAGATATAATTATTTACCTCCTCTTGATGTTTTTTTACCCGAGGATAGGTAGCGGTGACATCAATGTGAAAAACATGTGTGTCTTAAAAACGTCGTCTTTTCACCGCGAAAATTCGCTTCGAGATATTTCTCAAGCTGCAATAGCTAATTGTTACTCCTTGTGATAATAATTTACAGATTTTTAAAGATAAAGAGAAGAAAGACTTTTAAACATCATTTGTTGTTCACCCAAAGATGGTTTAATTTTAACACTAGAATAGAATATACTGTACTGGATTAAGCAAGTGCGGGGCCTGTCGCAAATTCTTTCAAACAGCCCTTGATCTGCTATGAGTTGTTACGTTTATAGTGGTAAATAACAAGTCAAAACTCTTACATACTTAATAAGTTTCACTCAAAATATGACGCTAAGAAAGAGACATGGTTAATCCGGTACTGCAGACAAGAATATACAAAAGAGCAAGACATATCAAACATAGCGTACGTATATGCGGCATTATTACTAAGGTAACAATTTCTTTCAATATTCCTGTGGAGCTTTTAATATATACATTCATAAAGTATCAATTTCAATTACAAACTGGGCAGTTTTCGTCCGTCCATCCAGAAGAAAATCTAAATGAAACTTTTTCATCAAGTTAGAAACGTGAGTTTTAATCTTTTTCACGTGCCGGCCGCTTGAAATACCTATCGAATTCAAATCTTCAATAGCTTTCGTCAAAATTAAATTTTAATCTAAATAAAAAGAACATTTCTTGTTAAACAATTTAATATTCAGGTTTAAATATATTTTTTGTACAGGAATGTAATTGTATGTATGCGCCATGTGTTATCGTCCCAAAGGCATTTGTCAGAAAAACTGGTTTTTAAGTAAAAAACCAGTTTTTCTGTAGTCTGTTTTGTGTAGCTAAAATTTTATTTACATTTTTGGAAATCTGATTTTTATATCCGTTCATACCTATGAAATGAACAACACCTGATGTGTTTCAGACCCGTTGTCAAACTTAAAAAAATTCTAAACGCAATTCCGCTTCTTCTAAAGAAGAAACGCAATGCTAACACACGTTTTATCCCCGTTTTTTGTTTCACGACTTTATGAGTCGACTTTATGGCGGCATAGATTTTATGAGTTTCCAACATTGACCACCTTTCTCATGGTCGACCGTGGTTGATCAAATTAAATGCGGTGGGTCATAAAAATATTGGCTACCTCTCCGGATAACCCCACCCGTCCTTTAAACTTTTTTTAACTCCGTAGAAAGGCAAGGTGTTCAAAAATTAATCGTATGAACTTATGATGCACATTCTCATAGTGATCGTTGTTCTGTCAAGTAACAGTTACAAGATAAAAAAAAATCTGAACGAAACTGCCTGGGTTCGAAACTTCTGCCTTTTTTTATGTTTACATGTAACACATACATAACAAATAATTTAAAAATTATAAAAAAACACGCTTTTGATAACTGAACTAGAAAAGTAGAAAATAATTTTCAATAAATTTAAATTATGAATAGTGTGATTAAAGAAAATATTTTATTGTTAGAAAGCGCGGGCTGCTGGTAAAAGTGGAGTCATAATGGAAATATCTTAAAAAGCACACCACGCTTATCTGCATTTTCTGCAGAACAGACAGTAACATCTCAAAATCACGTAAAATTTACAGAATATATTTGTTAGAAATAAAGAAGCACATTTGTTTTTGAACTTATTCTGAGATATATCTCATCATCACTCATTTATTCAGTTATTAGAAAGTAATAGGTATCTTATTATTATTCTCTTCTTTATCTTTTATCTATTCTTTTATCGATTAGGCTCGCGAATTTTAAAATTTTATACCAATGAACTTTCAAACCGTTTCAAAACGAACGAACCCTATCACTTTCTGAAATTTTAAGTTCAGTGAAAATCGGAAAGCACTTGGCCGGTTTTTTTTTAGCTCAGAACACTGACGTGTTTGAAAAGAACCGATTGCAGAGATAGACAATAACTTACACGACACTGCAATTCAACTTTCGAGTGATGTCTGCACTCGACGACCTGAATGTGTGTTTTGTAAATTCGGCATAGCGGATGTCGCATTTTTTAGCACACCGCTCTGTCGCGTTAACTATAAATCACTCATGCTGGTCAAACGCTAAAAATGTTGGGGGCCGTGAAATTTTCGGGCAGTATCGGATGCACCCATTACTCACAACCGCATCGTCGAACACCAGTGTGACGATTCGTTCATTTTCGAATAACTGAAACAGAGAATCATGATTAATTCATTTTTGATGTTGGAAAAAGCCCGCTGGATATTTTTGAAAATTTAAAATTAATTTACCGGTAAGTTCGTGCTTTTGTTTCACAATTGATTCGATGTTGAATTTCTATAGGGCCAAGTAGTTATAATAAAACTACTATGACGATTTAATGGCGGTAAATTTTTAGTTTTTCTTTAAGCTTTCTTGAAAATTCCTAAAATCTCGTAGTTGTTAATTAGTTTGTTCGATTCTCAAGAAAGTTGTTCATTTGCCGCGATGTACATACGATACATATAATTCTACTTAATTAAACTTTTCGAAGATCTTATCATGTTGAGTTTATTTCACGTTTTATTCATTTCCAAAACAACTTATCATACCACGTAAAGATGAATAGGTATATGATAAATAAAAATTCATACAACACTTATAAATAAAACTTTTCACAGATCTATTATAATATTAGTACCGCATTTATACCAGATTGTATTGCATAGAATAAGACTGATATTTTTAATATTAACCAGGCTCATTTCTCCGACTTCCCAAACCACGGTATGATTAATAAGTATGAGACACTTAAAAAGCAACATTAAAGATTATCTATTTCTCAAATTTCAATGATCAATACAAGAAAAAACACTTAGGCTGAAATAAACGGCCGTTAGAAATTCTCGAATGTCGTCTAATACGCTAGACATAAAACCAGTACTTCCAAGAGGCTCAGATTAAAGAGTCTTTTCGTGTACACCTTAGGAGCATCGTAGGAAAGCTCCTTAACAGAGGCTTTATGTGAACGTAAAAGTGCGAAAGCGGGAAACGGGCGCGTGAGAGGCCTTTCCTTCATTTCCGAAACTCTGATGGAACGTTTTCGGCATTTTGCATACTCAATTGTGATTGAAACACAACGCATGGATTATCGTATCCCATCAGTCGATTGGATGTTAAAATGCGTTTACGCGACAGTGATAGGCATCAAACAGTAATTTAAATGGTAAATAATTATGTTGGAGCACAATTCAACATTTAGGCAAAATTGTTTTGAATAGGAAAGCATTAAAATTTGTAGAAAAAACTAGATGAAAAGTTTTTCCCCACTGCGGGAATCGAACCCACGTCCACTGGATTCGCACCCAGACGCTTTAACGACGAAAATCTCAACGTGTCTTCTATTTGAGAGTCTTGTGTCATTTTCCGCCACAATGGCAAGAGACCCAACTGCTCGACTTTGTAAACTTGTAGACGGACATTTCGCGATGTCCCTAATTCTATCCAAATTTTCATTTAGCTTTAAATAAAACTTCTTTCTTTCTTCTTCTGATAGAAGCAAATTGGATTCAAATTTGTGACTTTAAAATTGCTAGCTGACGTGCTAACTAAACCATATCTGATTTGAAACCGACAGTCAGTCATGTAAGGGCAAAGGACGGCAACTGTTTCAGGATTTCCCACGGAATAAATGTAACGTTGTGACATCACATATCACACACTTTTTTCATTAACGTTTTTGGTCGCACTTAAACATACCCACCCGCTAAGGAACAGTTTTTTGTCATATAACATAAAAGTATTTACCGTGGTTAACTAATATAAACAAACGAATCTAGATTCTTTTCATACCTTAACTCTTGGAACAACCAGGCATCTCCCTTTTACTTTAACGAGATAGATACTCATGGCTAAAGTTTATTTAGCCATGTTTCTAAGACATAAAACCATGTTTCATAATTTATAAGCCCCAAACCTCCGGTAAGTTTTACGCCAAGACCGACAATTTTTAAGAACATGACAGCTGAGCAACGCTTTGGTGGCAAGTAACATGAGGGCAAGTGAGGTTGGGAAAGGAAGGTTCACGAGTGGCAGCCTCGTACTGGTCATCGCAGTGTAGAACGACCCCCCTAGATGGAGTGACGACTTGTGCAAATGTGCGGGAGGTCGATGGATGCAGATGGCTCGGGATTGTAACAGTGAAAATGTGCGCATCTGGTAAGCTCACAAATCAGACGAAACGAAATAACATTTTTGACTAAAGCATCGAAAACTTATTAAAAACAACTTATATTAATATAAAACACCAAATTATCATTTTGGAGCGTAATCCATAATTTGCCCACATTTGTTATCATTTCAAAATACATCGTGTCAAAGTTTACTAGAGTTGTACGTTCCAGTTTGAATACGTAAAGATACTCGATGCTTCTTTTTATAATTACCTGAGTTTTTAATTTTTATTTACATCTATAGTTATTGTGTCGTGTTACAGGTTTCGATTTTTTTACACATGTTGGTTTTTTGATTCCCAGACAAAGCTTTCCATAACTAACAATGCCTAACTAAAGCTTACGTTGAATAGCATTATGAATATTCAAAGAAATTATGTTGGACGCTTAAGAACAGTAACAATGGATAAAAGTTGTCCATGCCTTCTGCACGGGTTTCTTTTTAATGTTCTCTTAAATTAAAACATCGATTTTAATTTAAGGAACTTTTAATATTGTCCATCAATAATTCTCTTATCCAAACTGGAAGTACATATCAACTATCGTGGACGACAAAACCCTTACAAAAGACAAATAATCTTCAGCTTTTTAATATAAAAGGAATGCATTTAACGGACTCGATATAACAACACGCAAGTCTTATGAAACACTAGCTCTTATCAGCCTCATGTCACGACTTAAAATGTCTTGTCGGCAAAATGACAAACATATTATCGAGACCCTCACATTACCATAGTATCGTATCGTACCACGTATCCCCCGACGATGTTCAAATTGTACATTTTGCTTGCCGCGTTCGCAACTGTAAATTGCGAATTCAGATGTGCCCTCACCCACAAAGCGGCCCCATGCAGAAACCGATACCGCCAGCATCGGCACAACATTCGCTACTACAACACAGTCTTCCTGGAGCTCTCGTCCAGCGTAATATCAGCAGATCAAGACTATCAAACCGCTTGCGATCCCAATTACGTCAGTGAGTACTACGGCCTGGATTTCTACACGCTGAGGTATTTACTCCCCGACTATATTGACGAGAATATTGTGGTGAAAACGAGGCATCGTGTGCTGTACGTCAGCGCACGGAATTCGACAAGGGTGTTTAACGATATTAAAATCCTCCCAAGGGTAGTGGACGCGCGGAGTGGGCAGTGGTTCAAGGATAACGCTGAATTGAACATACTGTTCAATTACAGGACACCACCTAAAACCGAAACAGTGTTGACATGCGACGTGTTTGTGGACGATCAGGTTCGTCAAGTAGCGAATTTCATTATAGGTAACGATTGAAGTAGACTCGTCGAAGAACGAAACGACTTATTCTTCCATTATTTTTAGTGAAGACGTTATATAATGCATTATATCTTATATCATCAAGAACGGAATAATTCAATTCAGAACATTTGATTTAAAAGTGCAATGGACGTTATAGCAGAATAGTAAGTGATAAAATTTCATCACTTCTTTTAAAGAAGAAGGATTACGAAGTACGATGAAATACGTTGTGAAATATACTTTACAATACAACGTATTGTTTGTGTTTAATAATAAAATAAAAACAAATATTACAGGTGGAAGAAAAAAAATCATTTACTACCTTAATTTACATGTATAATGCATTTGAATTATTAATCTTTAACCGCGCAAACACTATAAGTAAAATTTCTGTTTCCGTGTATCATGAGAGCTTGCACGAATTTTCTAAGCTACAACTTTACTTATAACGTGAGAAGGAATCAAAGCTTTTATAACCATGTGGTTACCATGCATGGTACTTAACATAGTACATATAGTAATAAACAAGATCTATCAATTCATCGTTCGAACAATAGACACACGGCTCGTAAAACGTTTATTGCATTATAAAGCATTGTTTTATAATAAAACCAATTTTAAACCAAGATTAAGTCTAGAAGAATCGGAAATGTTATCAAAAATTTTTGCAATTTTTTTAAGGATTTTATTGCATTTTTTAATAAAATGTGAAGTGAATGATAAGTCACTAATCCGCGTTAAAATCCCTTGAAACCGTTCCATTTTATAGTGCATACTCTTTGTACCTATTCATCTATATTTACCATTTGCAGTTTGAAAAAACAGTATCTATAAATTTCCACTGAAATTTTTAATGATAACAAAATGGAGATAGCAGGAGTCACTTTTTTATTTATTTTATTTTATGCGAAAAGTTGTCAAACGAGCAGACGGTTCACCAGATGTTAAGTGAAGACCGCCGCCCATGGACATCTGCTACACCCGCGGGTTACAGATGCGTGGACAGCCTTTTGAAAATTGGGCTCCGGCTACCTCACTCACCAGTCGAAACACGAAAGTATTTGTCATACTTCCACTTTACGCTGGTCTTCTGTGAGGTCGTGGTACTTACCCGGACGGGCCTGCCCATTCTTGCAACAGCCGAGGCTGCTGCGTGGCCCTACCACCGTTTTTTGACCTTATATACATATATACAAGTGTATCCTGGCCAAGCACATATGTTTCTCGGAGGAACAATTTTGAATGTATGATATAAGCGTGATTAAATAAACAAAAAAGTGAGCAAGGGCTATTAGATCAGATTATTTGGAATTAATGCTTTCATATAAACTCTATAATGAATAATCCCAAAATAAAAATTGTTATGTTTGGAGTATTCAAATACAATAAAACACGAAATATACGTTGACTTCAATGCTCGTTTAATAAACGGACGACACACACTGATTATTCTCAGTTTACCCACACTATTCAAACATAACAACCCCTCCACCATTACTTTAAAAATAATAAACATTATTCACGCTAGATACATGAAATAAACTAATTAACATGAAAGAAACAAAATATACATTTAACATTTGTACTTAGGGCTAGGGTTCCGCGTAGAACGCAAAGGATAACGGCGTTCTTCGGAGTTGGCCGGTTCAAGGTCAATGACATTTTCAAGTTCACAATTACTACACACGTCAGGCGATACATTAGAATTTAAATTTTGACCAACTCCATCCATACACTAAGTACATTCTACTGCCAATTTTTTCTTTAACAATACCATTTTTCCATGTGTACTTATTACCGTTATAAAAGTAATGTTTGACCAAAACTTGATCTCCTTTTTCTAACTCGATTTTGCGTTGTCCACCGTAGTTACTAGTTTGTGAGATCTGTTTGGAAGAAACATTTTTATGAGACTGCGAAGACAACATGGAAGTTGAGCTTGGTGATCTATGACCGTCGAGTAAACTTTCTGTACCTCGCAACAGAACGAGACGACAGCGTAACGGACGACCGAACATCAGCTGAGCAGGTGAAAAACCGGTTGTCAAATGAGCTGAGTTACGGTAGCTAAATAAAAGATTATTGATTTTGCTATTTGTCAAGGCTTGATTATTTTTTTCAGACAAGATAATTTTTATACCTTTTTTTATCGTTTTTACACTACTTTCTGCCTGCCCGTTTGATGCTGGATGATAAGGTGGGCTGGTTATATGTTTTATTCCATTAATGAAGCAAAACTCTTCGAATTCATTAGAACAAAAATTTCTTGCATTGTCCGTTACTAATATTTTCATTAACCCGAATCTACTCATAACATCTTCTAATTTCACAATAATCGACATAGTATCAGTTGATTGCATTAAATAACACTCTATCCATTTTGTATGTGCGTCAACAATGATGAGATAATTCCTACTCTCTATTGAGAACATGTCTAAATGAACACGCTCCCACGGACCTTTCGGGTAGGGCCACGGAGCGAGCGGTGAACGTGGCGGAGCGGATCGCATAGTATTGCAAATACTACATGAACCTATCTTTTGTTCTATATGCTTATCGATGTTGGGCCACCAAATTCTCGATCTTGCCTCTGACTTAGTTTTTACAATCCCAAAATGGGAGCTATGAAGCTCATTTAAAAGTTGTTCCCTAAATATCGTTGGTATCACTAGCTTGTGTCCCCTTAGAATACACCCATTTTCTACACTAAGTTCAAACCGATTGTTAAAATAGGGTTTTAAATCGTCATTAGGCGATTTTCCTGGCCATCCCCTCTGTATGTAGTCTATAACTTGTTTTAAAGTACTATCCTCCGCGGTAGCTAGCTTGACATCCATTAAGGTTATCGGTTTTAACATATTATTTGTTAAAAAATTTATGCATAAACATGTGTCTACCTCTGCCATGGATACATCGTTACCCCGCCAATCGATCGTGATAAAAAGTCTGCTACATTGTCGTCGCTTTTAATATATTTAATATTGAAATTATAACTTGACAAAAATAAAGCGTATCTTTGCAAGCGATTCGCTGCCAGTTCTGGGATAACTTTTTTGTCGCCGAAAATACTTATAAGCGGTTTATGGTCCGTACGCAATATGAACGACGTCGTCCTACCATACAGGAAATGATGAAATTTTTTAACCGCGAAAACAATGGCAGCAGCTTCCTTTTGAATTTGTGCATAGTTACACTCAGCATTTGAAAGCGATCGTGACGCATAGGCTACGACACACTCCTTGCCGTTGGCGTGTACTTGTGATAATACGGCACCCAAACCCTCGGGTCCCGCGTCCGCTGTGACTATTGTTGTCAGCTCGGAATTATAATGTGCGAGCACTCTTTCGGATGCCATTTCATTTTTAATAGCGTTAAATGACTTCTCTTGCTCCTCTCCCCAATTCCACTTCACGTCTTTTTTTTAGAAAACAATTTAAAGGATTAAGTACACTAGAAGTATTAGGAACGAAGCACCTATAATAATTAATGAGACCTAAAAAAGATTTTAATTCATTAATATTTTTAGGCCGTTTGCAGTTTAAAATAGCTTCAACTTTCTTTGGTGACCTATGAAGTCCATGTTTGTCTATTACATATCCTAGATATTCCACGGTTTTTTTAAAAAAAAACTCACATTTGTCCCGTTTTAGTCGCATGCCGGCATCCTCTAATCTACTTAAAACATTCTCTAACCGTTGCAAGTGAACACCACGATTTTCACCTGTGACTAAAATGTCATCAATAAATATGCAAACTCCTTCAATATCACCTAACAGTTTTTCTAGCGTTTGCTGAAAAATAAATGGGGAGTTGGATAATCCGAAAACGAGCCTGTTATAACGGTATAAACCTTTATGAGTATTAATACATGTTAATTGTCTAGACTCATCTAGTTCCAGCTGGTTGTAAGCCCTGGAGAGGTCAAGTTTGGTAAACTCCTCACCACCGTGAAGCTTCGCAAATAATTCTTCGATACGCGGTACTGGGTAATTATCCACATACAAGGCTTTATTTAAAGTGACGGAATAGTCTCCACAAATCCTAATATTTCCATCTGCTCGTAAAACCGGCACTATTGGTGTAGCAATGTCCGAATGATCTATTTTCTCTAAGACGCCTAGTTCAACCAACCGTTTTATTTCATCTTCAACCTTATTCTTTAAGGCATAAGGCACTGGGCGTGGCTTAAAAAATTTTAACGGAACGTTTGGTTTTATTTTCAAAGTAACTTTAAACTTATTAAATTTCCCTAACTCATCGGAAAATAATTTTTCATACTTTTGTAAAATCTTTATACTTAAATCGCCCTCATTTGAATTATAATAACATGTACTACAAATTTTTAGCTTAAATAAACTTAAAAAATCGCGACCCAATAATGTAGGACGTTTATACATTGTATCGATTACAAAAAAAAATTATTCGTTGAGAACGCTTTTCATATGTTAACGGTAATTCCACAGAACCTATTGGTGCAATTTTACTCCCGTTATAACAATTCAAAACTATATTTGAAGGCCGCAATTCAAACTCCGTTTGAAAATAAGTTTTATAAATTTCATTCGGCATTACGGAAACGGCACTGCCACTGTCTACTTCGCATAAAATACTCGCGCCCGCAATCGTTACCATCTGTTGCATAGGTTCGCCGTTGATCGACATAATATTATAAAACTTCTCACCTTCAACCATGTTGTCCCCATCCTCCGTAACGAAATTATTAGTTTTTATTGCCGATTTGCACATTCGTTTCAGATGGCCTACTTTATGACACTTTTGACATGTATAATTAATGTAACGACACTGACTTTTAACATGGTTCTTATAGCCACACACTTCACAATTTTTTTTTTCGATGCTCCTGTTCTGACTGCAACCGCGAGGAACCCGCACGAACCGCGAACACTGTCGGCTGTGAAGAATCTCGCTTATTCTCAACTTGAGTACTCAGCAAGGCTAGCCGCGCGCAGTACACAATCTGTGCCATCTCCAAAGCCCTGTTGAAGGTCAAGGTATCAATGCACTCTGCGAATAGCTTCTCTTTTTCTTTAATATTTTCCAGTCCTAACACGAACCGATCGCGCAGGGCAGTATCAAGCTCACTCTTAAATCCACAGTATTGTGCAAGATTACGCACTCTGGCCGCCCATTCTGCCAGCTCTTCGCCAGGACGTTGTTCAGCCTGGTAAAATTTAAACCGCTCTGCGAAAGTACATTTCTTTGGCATGAAATGTTTATCCAAACAATGTATAGGCACCTTGTATTCTGTGTCATCGAGTTCCTTTGGCGCCGTCAAGCCGAGGATTCGGAAGGTGTCCTCTGATAGTGACGTCAGTAAAATTGCTCGACGCTTAACACCAGCTTTGTCAGTTTGTTCGGTTATATCATTAGCCGTACAGTACTGGAATAAACGGCTTCTAAATATACTCCACTCGTGAACATGGTGAAACTGAGACTGCCGCCGAACATTACATTAGCACTGTTAGCCATTATTTCTTTATTTGAAATTTTCATTCAAAAACACTTTCTGCACATGTAGATTACGATCTCGTCGCCAAATTGTTATGTTTGGAGTATTCAAATACAATAAAACACGAAATATACGTTGACTTCAATGCTCGTTTAATAAACGGACGACACACACTGATTATTCTCAGTTTACTCACACTATTCAAACATAACAATAAAATAAATAAAATACACGTATTAAAGAGTTTTATGTTTACAAAAAATTTACTATTCCTGTTTCTGTATATGAAAGAATTTGAAAAAAAAAAATAAAACAATTTTTCATATACGATGTGCAATATGATTTATTATCTATCCAGTTAACAAAAAGACGTTTATTCGAATAAGAAAAAATTATACATAAGCAAAAACTGCCAACTAATTCACTATAACATAAAATAATGGTCGCTCGAATCGATGAACGAAGATTAGTAAACACATTGCAGTGTTAATAGGGTACAGGCACGAACACTACTTCGCCCTTCAGGTCCACCAAGTGTGTAGTCACCTCTACGGGATCTCTCTTAGGAATCTCATTAGTTATCAGCTCGGTTTCTTTCGTTGTGTCATCCTTTATTACACCCACATTAGCGTCGGAATTGCCACCGTTATTGTCCACTTCTCTACTCTCCGGTTTGAGGCCCTGCGGCAGATGAGTGGAAATCTCGAAAGTGGTGTCTCCTCTCGGTTGCAGCGGGAAGACGATCTTCAGAAAGCCCTCACTGTACGTCCAGCTGCCAGCCACGTTCACAAAATCTGGCAGGGCCCTCACGTCCACGTAGCTCTTTCCTGTGCTGCCTTCGGACTTGCTAAGCGCCTGCACCATCAACACACCTTCGCGGGCTTTCACAACCACATCTTTCTCTTCGAAACCCTTCAGCGGTATCGTGACCTTGTACTTGTTGGTCTCGGGATCGACGCCCTCACTGGAGACGCCGCTGGGGAAACGTTTGGTGAATTCGCTCAGCATATTATTGAGCATCACCATTCCGCGCGAGAGCTCCGACCAGAAGCGTCTGGTGTCGAAGTTCCCGTCTCGAAAGTAGTGGTCGCCGAAGGCGTCGTCTCGCGGGAACGGAGGCGGCGGGGGCGGTGGTCCATGGTGGTGGAAAGGGGGTGGTGGCCCATGGTGGTGGTGAAAGTGGTACTGGGGCGCTGCGTGAACACTGGCCGCCAGCGCGGACAGCACAATTGCGAGCATGGTTTAACTGCTCAAATTAACTGAACAATCTGACTGCTTTGTTTACAACCTGTCGCAGCATATATAATTGTGGAGGGGTCACAGTTTATCGGCGCTATGGGTACATTTTGGATGCCGTCAGACGCGCGTCTTCGCCGTCGTGACAAGTTCAGCCATTGTGTGTACCACGCTTTCCATTCTTGTTTCCTTAGCCTGCGTACAAACGAGCTACACTTTTGGTTCCATCTTTCTTATTTCCCTGTTACCCATCTCGGACAAACATCGTTTTTTGTATTAAGTGATAAAGTATATTAGAGTATATTGTTATGGTTTATTCTATAAACGCCGGTACTACATTTTTAATATACTTTAATAGTTTACAGTGCATTAACTAAAAGTATTTGAACTTTATCACATACTTTAGGGAACTCTTGAAAATCAATCATATAATGAATACAGAGCGATATATTTGAATTCGGTTTTTTTTTTTCATTAATAAAAAAATAGACTTGTATAATTTTCATGTGTGTCCTAAGTATCTCCGGATTCGAAGATCCAATACCAATGAAATTAATATGGGGCCACATAGGATGGCCGCCGGTTCACTCCGCCGAAAGTTCTGAGGTAACAAAAATAAAAAAATATAGTCCAATTGAGAACCTCCTTCTTTTTTGAAGTCGCTTGAAAAAGACATCGGCTTTTATTAAAAATGTTCGATAATATGGCTAAGCAAGTATTTCCATGAAGGCAATTGAGTTCCATCGTAAATAGACACCAGTGATGTAATTCGTGCAGTGATGTTATAACACTGAGAGGTTGTCCCTCTAGTTAGCTCTCTCGCCAGACGAATCGCAAAAAATTATCATCTCTGAGTTATAACTTATAGTTTGCCAGATGTTATCATCTCAAAGTATCTCGTGTCAAAGTTCAGTAGAGTTGCCCCTTTCAGCTTGATGAGGTGACGATACTCGATGCTTTTTATTCTATAATTATATAATGTGTTTTGGACTTTTTATTTCATCTCTACTTATTTTGTCATTTTATAAGTACCATTGCATGTATGTTTACAGACGAGATTCCGTGACTCTCATAATGCCTTAAATATAATTATTATTGTCTTACGTGGTTAAGCACTAACGTGGGTGCTCGCTTTTACTTTTTTTAACTCGAGCGCTGGTAAAAACATTAAAAAAATCGAATATATGTGAAGTACCGCCAAATCGTAATAGGGCCGCCTGGTGGACTATGCGCTAATATCCTCTGTACAGAAGAAACCTTTGCCCAGCAGTGGGAAATTTATATGGGATGTAACTTTACTTACCTACGTTTTTGTCCAAACTTATGGTACAAGGCGACTAACAACAAATACTCGAACTCGAAAGAACAGCAAGTAAGTCCAGCGCAACACTAGCTGTTATCACAACTTAAGGTCACAGCGATCAGTAAAACAAACCACATATCATCGGGACTAGCTTTACGACAGTTCACGTATCCTCCTACGATGCTCAAGCTGTGTATTATACTCATCGCGCTTGCGGTTGCCAATTGCGAGTTCAGGTGTGCCCGCACCCACAAAGCGGGGCCTTGCAGACACCGCCACCGCCAGCACGGACAGAATCACCGCCTCTACGACCGAGTCTTCAAGGAGCTCTCGTCCAGCGTGATAGCCACAGATCGGGAGTACCAAGCCGCCTGCGACCCCAACCACACCGTCAGCGAGTATTACGGCCTCGACTTCTACACGCTGAGGTACTCGCTCGCCGAATTCGGAGACGAGAGTGTCGCGATAAAAACGAGGCATCGTGTGGTGTACCTCAGCGCTCGGAACTCGACCACGGTGTTTAACGACATCAGAATACTACCGAGTGTCGTGGACGCGCAGAGCGGCCAGTGGTACATGGAGGGCGGTGAACTGGTTCTACACTTCAATTACAGGAGACCACCTAAGACTGAGACGTTGCTGACATGCGACGCGTTTGTGGAGGAGCGGGTTCGTCAAGTGGCCAAATTCAGTACAGGTATCGAGTTAAGGGGCATGGACTCGGCCCGCTATGGTGCTGCGACCGACTCCTCCATAGTTTTCAGTGAAAATGTCGTATAGTGCGTTATAAGGTATATCAACGAAGATGCGTGCATCGCACTCGAACATTTGATTAAACAATGAAATGTACGTTATAAGAGAAAATCTCTGTTTATGTATTAGTGATAAAATTTCAGCGCTTGTATCAAGAATTTGAAACGATGAAACACGCGTTGTCATGTACTTTATAATATAAAGTAGGTGTTATATATTTTTGATAATAAAATAAAAAACTGCTATAAATCTTATTTAAGACTATATTTTAGTTTCTACCTCATATTGTCCTTTTACCGTATTAAATTGCATTTCGAATAAAATTTTGCATATTTCTTTAAAAAACAACTGTGGTAGGGCCAAGGTCCGTCCGTCCGTCCGGGGAAGTACCACGACCTCAGAACGACAGAAGACCGGAGTGAAGTGGAAGTGTCGTACTTCTGTGTTACATCTGGTGAGTGAGGTAGCCGGGGCTCACTTTATTAAAAGGTGAACGGTCTTGCAAAAGTTAAATTAATCAAAAAAAACCTGCGTCTTCCGAGAAAAAAGCGGAATTGGTATAGTAGTAGACGTGTGTGAAAGTACTCTGTGGCCTTGCATGCGCAGAGGGTGCCTATATCAAAGCCAATAAAATCCTAACCGAAAATAAACAAATGAAACTTTGTAGTTACAAGTTTCACTTTGAAAATGTTATGGCGAACAAATAAGTGCCTAGAATTTAATTAATAGCAAAATAAATATAATGAATAGCAAAATTGCTATTAAAATAGTTTAGACGCTTACAGTGAAAATCTAATCAAAGCCATTGTAATTAACTGGCCGTATGTACTATTTTCATATAATACAACTTAATTCAAATGATACATTATACAACAAAAAGTAACCATCCAACCTTTCAGTGCCGGATTAACCACATAGCAAGACTAGCAATTGCTACGGGCCCCGCGCGAATTGGGGCCCCGCATATTTAAACCCCACTGAACTCTGTCTGAGCGTATTTTTTGAGTGAAACCTATTAAGTAAGTAAAACTATTGAATTGTTTTTACCACTTCATACATTAGAACCTATTGCTGATTAAGGGCTGTTTGAAATAATTTGCTACGGGCCCCGCGCTTGCTTAACAACCATGCAACCTTTTCAGATCTGGTATGAATAACAAAATATTATTATTTTTATTCTTTTAACTCGAAACTGCTGTATCGATAATATAATTAATTTACTTTCTTAAGCCGAACACAAAGTTTAAGACCAGACGAAACATAATTGACATTAAATACCAATGTTTTTAAGGATTTTGTTGCGTATAATTTAATGTTAACATTTAAATAGTAATAATATCCTAAGCATAGAAAAGTAAAAATCATCAAGTATGAATCATTAAATACGGAATGACTAGCAAATGCATTAAAATAAATGCTAAGATAGTTTTAACAATAAATAACTTGCGACCTGCGTCTGGGTGTTATAAAATGTATAATATGTAGGTATTTATTTACAAAAGTAAAAAAGGAATAAAATAATAGTTTTAAAGTAGGATTTTATTATGTATAAAACTCAACATTACAAAAGACATTGATGTCCAAACCAGTCAACGTTTATTCGTATCGGATGATAGGAATCCATAAGCGAAACTAATATCCGATACCAATAATATTGATGGCTAAAATCGATGATTAAAAAACACGTAGTGCAGTTAATAACGAACAGGCACGAACTCCACTTCGTCTTTTAGGTCTACGGCGTATGTTGTAGCTTCCACGGGCTCCCGATCAGGGATCTCGTTGGTCATTAGCTCGGTTTCTTTAGCCGTGTCACCACTTATCACACCAACATCGGCGTCGACATCACCACCGCGATTGTCCACTTCCTCCCTACTCTCCGGCTTGAGCTCCTCCGGCAGCTGAGTGGAAATCTCAGTCGTGGTCTCCTCCCCTCGCTGTAGCAGCGGAAAGACGACCTTCAGAACGCCCCCGCTTAACGTCCAGCTGCCATTCACGTTAACGTAATCCGGCAGGGTCCTCACGTCCAAGTAATTCCTTGCCATACCCCCCTCAGGCTTGCTCACCGCCTGCACCATCAAGACCCCCTCGCGCGCCTTAACCACCACGTCCTTCTCTTCGAAACCGCTCAGCGGTATCGTTACCTTGTACTGGTTGGTCTCGGGGTCAACGCCCTCGCTGGAGACGCTGCTGGGGAAATGCTTTGTGAAGTCGTTCATCATCTGGTCGAACATCGCCATTTCGCGCGAGAGCTCCGCCCAGAAGCGTCTCGCGTCGAAGATCTCGTCTTGGAAGTAGGGATAGCCAGCGAGGTCGTCATCTCGGGGGAACGGCCCGTGGTGGTGGCGGTGGAAGAACTGGGGCGCCGCGTAAGCGCCGGCCACCAGCCCGAAGAGCACAATAGCGAGCATGGTACAACTGCGAACAGATCACTGCTTAACAAAGCTGATCAGCCAGACTGCTGCGTTCGCAACGCGTTGCTCTATTTATAGCTGAGAACGGGTCACAGTTTATCGCCGCTATCGGTACATTCTGGATGCGAGGCGAACAATTATACCACTCGGTAGGAGAGGTCGCGCGTCTTCTCGGAAAGTTTAAAACAGTTCAGTTGTTGTGTTTTGCACTACGCCTTTCATTCTTGTTTCCTTGTCCTGTTACCAGCGAGCTAGGTGCCGGTTTTGTTTCATACTTGTAAATTAAAAGCCAACCTCAGCCATTGACATTGTTTTTTATCAAGTGAAATAAAGTAAATCTAAATACATTTTTATTATTTAGTATATTAACGAACGTACTATATTTTTAATACACGTCATTAATTTACGGTTTGTCAAGTGAAAGCTTTTTGTAGATAGTTTTTTTTTACTTCTAAGTTCACAAGGGTGATCGTTAGCGAAAATAATGGCATAATTGAAATTGTAAAAGTTGGATGGACGAAGGTTAAAGGATTACTCTTTAAATCAAACTTATGCTTTTTAGGGTTTCATACACACAGGTTAAAACGAGACCTTATTAACTAAGAACTAAGACTAAGACTCCGCTGTCTGTCTGTCTATCACACGAGAGTTGAAATTTTTACACATAAAGTATTTCTATTGACGCTATAACAACAAATGCTAAAAAACAGAATAAAATATATTTCCATAGATATCTATAGATGCCGTTTTCATAGATTATGGTACGGAACCCTTCGTGCGCGAGTCCGACTCGCACTTGGCCGGTTTTTCAATTTTCTTTATGCGCCAACACCACAAGCGCTGAGTTCATCGCTGAATATAATAAAAACAATAACACATAAAACCCCATTATAACATATTATATGTGTGGACGTATCGTACCGATGACCTGAACCAACCTAAAACATCTCGATAAGCTAAGCTCGGGTAAACACTTTATATCCTACATTGTGATAAGGAATGGACAGCTGCTGTCTGTGAAATTGTCAACAAAGTAGATGCGTAGACATACATTTATTTCACGTAGTCAACGATGTTTAATAAAATAGATGACGTATCTCCATCCGTGAGCAAGAGCATACAGCATACAAGAGCCGTGATAGCTCAGTGTCCGGGCGCTCGATTTGATTGCATCGATTGACAATTCACAAGGTAAATTGTCTAATTTTGAATTGCTTTAACTCCACTCATTACCATTATTGTTTTGTGCATACATTTTTTGTTTGCTTTCACATCACCAAATCATTAAGCAGTTCCTGCTGTTTGCATGATATGATTTCCTAGTATTTCTATCGCTAAGTAGTATTGTTTACGTAAAGATATTAAAGTCAATATTATTTAATGATAGCCCGTGCTAACTTAAACATACAATCTGTTCTCTTTTATATTGGCTTCTGTTGTGCGTAACTGTACATGTTACAACTGTACGCTGTTTCCATTTGACGACACAATTGGCGTAGTTGATACCTTTGCAACCCTGCAACTACTGAAAAAATTTTGTGTGAAGAACAAAGTGCTTTTCTAGTGTCTGGGTGTTCATATATTTATAATATGTATTTGTTTAAAAAAGAAAAGTACATTTAAGTATGTTTATCAGTTTTCTAGTACCCATAGTACGAGCTTTGCATAGTTTGGGACTAGATAACGTCGTGTAAAATAATGTTCCGAAATATTCCCTTATTTCAAATTAAACATTGGACAATAAATGCCCAGATTTAAAAGAGATATTTTGAAGTGATTGCCGAAGCAGAGTCACTAAGTTTAAAATTACATACAAAACCATTACGTTATTGGGTTACAGCCAAGGTTAAAAAATTTCACACTATTTCACCGCTACACTCATTCGATACACCTCTCGTAGTGTTCTTGGTTAAGGGAGGTGTCCGGGACCTGGAGATGTGTCGTCATCTGGAATGGAGACCGGCAATAACTACGATATTATCAACCAGGGGTACATCCATCTGAGAGCTGCCGGAGACCAGGGCGAAGGTGCTGGCCTAGGCGCGTAACCTTCCCCCCTGATAGTGAGACCCTGAGCGGCAGACATGGGGGTGTCTGTCGCTCAATATGGGGCTCGTGAGGTGTGCTGTGCCAATTGCACGGGCACAGCACCATGTAGTAGAGGAGGCCTAAACAGGCCATAGTCGCGCCGGGGTCGCGGAAGATTGCGTCCACGTGTTCCCGTGTCCCCGGCCGATGAGACAGAGACAGGTGCAACTTAGGTTTTTAGTGGGTACCCGTTTCTCACCGGGACTCCCACATACTCCTGCCACTCTCCCGGTCTAGTGGCAGGATCCATAAAGGATTTCTCCCACGAAAAAAAGGGGTCTGATTTGGTCGATCCATTTCAGGATTTTGCGTTTATCTAACACACCTATTTCTAGGTAGTTCTAAAATTAAATAATTGTTAAACAGTTTTTAACCGATTTCTAAAAAAAAGGAGGTTTCTCAATTCGTATATATTTTTTTTATGTGTGTTCGCGGATAGCTTCTTCATTTATGAACCGATTTTCATGATTCTTTTTTTGTTGGAAAGGAGATATCCCAAGGGTGGTACCATGATAAGGAAACCCGGATCTGATGATGGCATCCCAGAGAAATCGAGGGCAATCCTCAAATGCCATAGGTGTTGACAATGTTTTTACTAGTTTCCTGTTTGAAGTCGGTTTTTTTTGTTTAAAATTATATTAAGGCACGATCAATAAGAAATTTGTTTGTTAACGTGCAAGAACTAGTCAATCGCTTTTGATCTATCAACGATTATACAAATATGTATATGTTCATCTGTACACGATTATACAACACGTATTTGTAGCGGGAAGTACCGGCGGATCGGTGACTTCCACGATAAGAAATGAATTTGTGACCTTTAAAACGTTGGGTTATACAAACGTAACTTAATTAATCATCAGTATTTATTTTTTTTATTTCACCATGTTTTTATCAACCCGCTTTCTTGTATCTGTCTGGGTGGTTTCGTAATTGATTTTAAACTAACTTCCCGATGAGATAGAAACTTGAAATTTGGACGATAGCTCAGAAGTGGATGACAATGCATGTAAAAGAAGAATAATAATAAAATTTAAAAAAAAATATGTATTTTATTACCGACTAAAAATTGTAAAATCGTTATAAAAACACGACGCGAGGGCTCGTTTGGTGCAGTTGCAAAACGATCGTCGTCTATGCCAAAAGTGCTGGATTTGATTCCCAGTTGGCACAAATGTATATGACATAGATAGTTGAAAACAAGTTATCGTAAAACGAGAACAAATAAAGTATCAAAATTATCCGCCGTTGACCCATGCTTTTTTTAACCATTCTCTTTGTACCGTTTCGAAACATAAAATGCAATTAGCCCTAAACATGACACAGATTAAAAGAAAAAACCACAAATTCAGACTACAAAACGCAAAAAATAAAAACGTATAAAATACGGGTAAAAGCAAAACGTATAAAAAGTAAGTCTTGTATTATTCAGATTTTTCTTTCATTAACATTATGTTTAAAAATCATTATTTTATTTGCCTGCTATAATTTTGATTTTAATCGATAAAAAAACTGTAACAACAAATATTATTTGTAGATACAACGAAATAAAGAAATAAAAAAGTATTCAGCTAATATATATTTTTAAAATATAAAGAAACTAGTCCACATTATAGATAAAAAGTAAAAATCTATTAAAATACTTAAATATATTTTATTTTAAAACAAAAAAGTAATGGTTTAAAAACGTGTGTGCATTAAATAGTGAATGTTAATGTGCACTAAAATAATTATATTTCTTTTGCGTAAAAAAAATTAAAAATAGTGAAATTAACACCATGGAGAATAGAATGCAAGGAGAGCAATCTCTGTGTCTAAAACGTGTCCAGCAAATGGCGTTAAATTGGTGGTACTACAGTAGCATATTAGGCAGTGGTGATGAATTAATTGTTACCGTGTTAAAATTCAATTCATCAAGATAATTAATCATACACCTTTGCTACAATTATCGCATCATTCTGGTGGGTTTTCTACAGTTTGCTAAAACTTAGGTGAAAGAGTCATCTTCTGCTCGTTTAGTAGACTACACCGAAATGTCTGGTTAATATATTAACTTAGATAGCACACACACAGATGACGCTCAAACTAAACGTTTATATTTTCAGATAGAGCCCTCTAAAGGCAATAAAACGACAATAATGACAGTAAAAATAAAAAAAAAGGAAATAAATTGTTTGACGGGCAAAGATACATATCTTTACCATTGATATTTTAGCGATTTGTGAAAGCAATATATGTTTTTTTACTTTAATTACGTCGGTTACGCATTCAAAGGTAAACGTTAAGTGGTTTTGAAAATATTGATATACTTTTAAGAGTCTAATCGTCTTGTTAGATAGTGATAATGCGCCTTTACCACATATTGTATTTTATTAACTATAGTACTATTTATTCTATACATAAAGATACAACGAAAAAAAGTAAAAAATATCAGCCAAGTGCGATTCGAACCCGCACACGAAGCTTTCTGTGCCATAATCTAAAAAATAGAAAAAAATATCATGTCTGTTGTATGACAGCCCTATTTAATATTAAATTGTTATAGCGACAACAGAAATACATCATATGCGAAAACTTCAACTGTCTAACAATCACGGTTCGTGAAATAGCCTGGTGACAGACGAACAGACAGACAGACAGAAAGACAGCGGAGTCTTAATAGGTAATAGGGTCCCGTTTTACCCTTTGGATAAGGAACCTTAAAAAATAATATCGGACGTCAACCCAATTTTAAAACCTTACCATAATGTATAATACAGTTATCGATACAAGGTTGCGTCATTAAATTTTGACGAATGGGATTTCCAGAGTAACATAATATTCCAGAGTAACTAACCCAATAACAACAGAGACTATTTCACTTGGCTCGAATATATCAACGAGAACATAAGTTCGCTTTCAGCTGAACATCCCGTAGAGTCATCTATATCCGAAAAAATGAGCTTTGCCCCCAAATAAAAATTTAATGTGAGGCAGATCTTGAAACTTAAAATGACTTATTTGGCCATGGCTTATTTTTTAAAAGGGCAACTTAGTTTTACTTTTGTTTTTACGTTAAGCTCTAATAATATACAAGAGGTTTTTTTAATAATCATTTGCATTAACTATATGAAGTGTTTGTTGTTCTCATGCTTATTTAGTTTGTATAATTTTAAGTTAATATTTTTTTATAATATAAAAGAGCCGTGATAGCTCAGTGTCCGGGCGCTCGCCTTTAAATCAATATACTCGAGCAACCTGAGTTCGATCCCCGGTGCCAATACCAATGAAGTTTTTAACTTTAAGTGCTGACTTATCACGTGCTCCGCGGTGAAGGAAAACTAAATAATAACAAAAAAATATATATTTCGAAGAAATGTGAAGTCCGCCAATCCGCAGTGGGGCCGCGTGGTGGACTATGCCCTGACCCTCCGTATAGAGGAGGCCTTTGCCCAGCAGTGGGACATGTATAGGCTGTTACTTTACTTTACTTTACTTTTATTCTTTTTACTTTATTACCATACATATCTTGATTGATTCTTTAACAAAAGAGTAGCTTTTGTTAAAGAATCAATCAAGTGAAGTTCGAGCATAGGAGTTTGTACCATTACCGAGTTTGCGATTTTATGATCATAACATAGTCATATATTAGATGCGGGATTTGAACTAGACAAACCTTAAGAAAACCGACGCCAGGAAAATTGTTGTATAACGAAGTGTTTAGGGTTTTTTTTGTTAATAAATGAAAAAGAAAGCTGTTTGACAGTCGTATATTTCGATATCTGGTGTAAATGCCACCTTCAGATCGCCTTAACTTCTATTAGTTGTTTTGTACGAGCTGTTTTGAGTAATATCACGAGGTTTCTTCGCAACAGGTAATCGGCGATCTTTTGGTGCCGGTACTACCGGTTTACTTTCTTTCAGCACCTGTGTTGTCGTGGGAGATTTAGCATCTTCAGTCAAAGAATCCTTCATAGATATGTTACCATCTTTAGGTGAACAATCCTTCCTCGAAACTTTAATATCTTTAGGTAAGGGATCTTTCGAAGATAATTTCACAGGAGACTCTTTCGATTTTGCGACTGCAGCGTTCGTACCGCTCTGCAACTTGAGCTTGTCGAGGTCTTCGGTGATCTTGACTATTTCCACTTCTCGCACCTTGACATTCACTTTGAGGCTGTTGCCAGGTGCCAAAGTGTAGGAGCACCAGGCGATCCTCTCTGCAGACTCAATCTTGGCCAGGTATCGCTGTATCGTTCTATATTCGTCATTAGATTCGGGAACGAATCGCACTCCCTTACCATGCGGGTACACGCGTGGCCGCCTGCCTATGCTTTCGGTCAGCACACTAATGTGGTAATCTAGATTTTGAAGGCGTTCTACGGTCAATATCGGATGCATGGGATATATGTGGATCTGTTTCGTAACATATTTCACTATGGTCTTCACTGGTTCCCTTGGTTTGGGCTTGTGTGCGGTCTTGCCATTGGGTTTCAGGCTGCTCGTCGATGTCGCTGCGCTAACGGTTGAAGAGGCAGGGGTAGAACGAGGACTGGAAGATACAGCAGAAGAGGAGGTATTTGACGAGTATAGTTGGCGGTGGCTTGGAGAAGTGGCAATAGAACCTGAGGTAGTGGACCCGATTGCACGTACAATGGGACTAGTTCCAGCACGAAGTGTTATGGGCGTGTTAGTTTTGAGATTGTCTGTAGTGTTGGATCGAGAGACAGCAGTGGGCGGAGCAGTAACAGATGCAACGACACTAACCACTGCGGTTTGGCCAACAGCAGACTTGTTTTTCTTCCTTCTTGTCATTGTACCAAATAGGTACTTTAATGAGGTGGACGGAAAGTGCTTTGAAGTCTTCTGTATTTTCTCTCACTCAGCTTTACTCTATAACTTCGGCTGTTTACCGCTTCAGTATCCCCAGAACTGCAACTTGCAGGTGTTCATACGTAACTCACCGTTGTTTGTGGGTCTTTCGTATTGTTATCTGCTCTCGGCCGCCGGGGCAACAGCTGGCCAGTGTTAGGTGTGTACCAGAGTCGAATCCACCGCCCCTCGGATTCACTCGTGCCTGCAGCTGGTCCGCCGCTCTTCGGTTGCGGAGGAGTTCGCAGCGGTGATGGACAGCACCGACCAGTACGGGGTACTGGTCGAACTGTGCCTCGCTCGCCTGCAGCCAACTATTTAAAGGGGTACCGCGCGCTACGTCACCGTATCTGCGGCCGTTATCAGCGTGCGTAAAACCCGAAATACGTTCAACGGAGGAACGGAATTTTTAATTATTTCCTTAAAAGCTTAGATAGACTACAAAGACCTAATAAGGTATATACATAAATATGACTGCGAAAGTTTTCAATCGGAGGTAATTTTTCATAACAAAAATGATGTTTGTTTTAAGTTTATTTAAGACATTGTGTTCTTTTTTTCAATAACCAATAATTAATTAAATGAGCAAAAATACAAAAAACTCCACATCCCCATGGTTGTATTACTTACTAAAGTTACTATAAAAATTAGTATACGTCTAAAGAATTATTATTGTGTGAAATATTATTTTCAGCTAAAATAGAATAAGAACATAATCCAATACGTGTTGACAATCTACATAACATTTGGGGAAGTTTTGAATGAAAACATTTCTATCGTAATATAATTAATAAAATATCTCTAAACTGTATTTATTTTTATTAGTAAATTTACACCATATTTCAAAATCGATAAATAATGTTGTAAAATTACATAATGCTTTATATAAGTTGTGCAATTCTTTCCGAATTTAATAGTAATTAAATTATTTGTTTATATTGAACAATAAAACTTTACCTCATTTATTGGCTTAGTTCCGGAGTTCCGGTGCCCAAGGCCAGTGAAAGACGTGACCACATGGGAAGCAACTTTAAAATATAAACAACGACCCGAATGGCGTAGTCGGTAGTGTACCTGCCTTCTGCGCCAGAGGGTGTGGGTTCGATTACCACTACTGGAAAAATATTGTGTGATGAGCATAGTGTTTTTCTAGTGTCTGGGTGTTTATATATGTATAATGTGTATTTATTTACCAAAGAAAAGTATGTTTATGTATGTCTATCAGTTTTCTAGTACCCATAGTACAAGCATTGCTTAGTTTGGGACTAGAGAATGTTGTGTAAAAAAAAAAAAAAAAAGACACGTTCTTTTTCCCTAAAGGGAATCATCAAAATCCATTCACTCAGTCGAAAGTTCCGAGGTAACAAACATAAAAAAATATTACTCCTCCGTTTTTGAAGTCGATTGAAAAAAATTTTTTTTTAGTTCTTTTGTGTTCACCTATTTCTAATGCAATGTCATTGATTAAAATGGCCAGTGAGTTAGATTGATCGATATAATACCGTCTTATTTATTTTTAAGGATTTAAAAAATATGCGATGGATGCAGGTGGTACGAACCAAATAGTGTTTCGTGGCAGTCAGTGGGGGAGGCCTATGTTCAGCAAAGGAGTCGAACATGCTGAAATGATGATGAATGCATATTTCGATGTTGGAGTGAGTGAGGTAAGGAGTTAAAAGTCAAATCAAACACGAAAATATGTAGTTTTGTACGAAGTCCTTATCGCTGCTTTCAGGTACCAGATAGAGGCAAAAGGTTAATATTAAAACAAACTGCACTCTTTAGTACGTTTAAATCGAGAATAGTATACGAATAAACTTTAAAGTTCTTACATTCCGAGATGGGGAACTCAGTTCCTGCCTTTTCATCTTCAACTCGTGCAAACAAAATTAGGTGGTAAGAAAGGTTAAAATAAATAGTTACGTGTTAATTTTGGATTTAGTTTTTGACTTTATTTATATTCATAAAGCCTATCTACAGAATCTACAGCCTAAATAACTTATGTTTTGCTTTTGATATGTCCCTAAGTTCGGTATGCCTCTTGGCAAAGGCCTCCTCTAACAATTTCCACTGTTTTCCATCCTTTGCAAATCTTCTCCAGTTACAACCTACTGTTAATTTGTTCAATTTTCGTTTCCCATTTCTGGAGTACCATTGTCAACATTTTGCTCCATTTATCTTGACTGTTTTAGAATAAACTGGAAACTTATTTTTATACGAAAATCAATGCAGACTGAGATGACTCCGTGACGCAGTTGCCAAGGTTTCGGCGTCGGGGTTCGTGGGTTCGATTCCCACACGGGACAACTATTTGTGTGACCCACAGATAGTTGTTTCGCATCTGGGTGTTTGTCCACGTGAAATTTATGTTTATAAAACGTCCTTACAACACAGGATAATGTTGTCCTAAAGTAAGGGCAATGTTTTAAAAAAAAACCACAAACAAAACAATGCATCGTTCGAATGCTTAGGTTTTTAATAAATTGAAATATTTAACAAGTACTTATTGCATACAGCAATTGTTATTTATCACCATACGTTGCGAAATGCTGTTGCGGATTATTCTTATTCAAATTGAATGAAATTATGGATCGTCGAATTTTACATAAAAGTTAATACACGAGTTCGTAAGGTAATGTTATGTATAAGATGCGACAATAAATTTTCCGTATTTTGTTAATAGCACTGATTAATAATTTTAATCAATGAGTTAATTAAGTTCATCGATATGATCATTAAAATATGTATAATGTTTATTTTATTGGTTACAAATGGATAGAAGAACACACACTGTTTACGTTCAGATATTTCACAACATTATTCCCATAAGCGTGTCTTTGAATGAGTCAACGCTCACTCAGTCATGTATCGGTTCAGATTTATCGCATGCGAAATTCAGCGTCCTGTTTTGTGCCCGCTTAGGGTGATAAAATAACTGACTTTACGTCTCATATTGTATTTATCGTACTCTCGCGTTTGTCTGCTGAGTGAGGTGACCGGAGCCCACTTTTTTAATGTTTAGAAACACCATCTACACCTTCACTCCTTGCCTAAATATTAAGAATATGGGTAGTGGTCGTCGAGTGGTCGAATTTCGACCAATACTCAATAAACAAAAGAGTATATATGCGTGTGTGTGACAAATACATGGTAGTGTGTGTAATTTTCTCTATATTGATTTATTGTATTTTTATTCATAAAATGCACTCCTTCGCTATATAAATTATAAGTGTGGGATATTTCATACTCCCCCGTCCGCACAATTTTCGAAAAGAATAAAAGTAAAAAAGTAAAGTAAAAGCCAATACATGTCCCACTGCTGGGCAAAGGCCTCCTCTATACAGAGGGTATCAGGGCATAGTCCACCACGCGGCTTAACCGCGGCACCACTTAATATTATAATTTAATGACGCAATCATGTATTGATATCTGCATTACAAATTACGTTAAGTTTTTAAAATTGGCTCGATGATGACATCCGATGCGATTCCTTATTTTCTTTTCTAAGCGCTAAAACAGCATTTGATAACGATATTTATCTTTGCTCATCACACAAATATTAACTTTCTTTTTAATTGCAACTTTCGTTATTTTCGTTTTTATTACCTTTAATAATAAACTTTTATATTATCAGGTAGACTCCTCCTACCTGATAATATAAAAGTTTAGTTTGAGCGCCATCTATGTTTACACTGAGTTAATATCTTTCTAGACATTTCGATGTAGTTTACTGAAAGTGCAAGAGGTGACTCTTTCACTAAAGTTTTAGTAAACTATAAGTAATAGAATAGTTAAATTAAATAATAAATAAATTGAAAAATGAATTGAAAAATGTTTCATTTAACACGTATAATATTCGCGTATAAACAATAAATTATTAATAGAATAGTGTAAACGAAACATAATTATTTCTGCTTACTCTTATTGACAAAGTGAAGTTTGCTGAGTAGAAAAAAAATTAACGTTTTTGGTATGGAGTATGGAAATGAAGAGGAAATCTTATCAACAGTTTAAAAAACCACCACAATGACGCGACGTAGCAAAAGTCTATGATTCTCTCTTGTCGAGTAGAATTTTCACCACCACTGCATAATACCCATTTGCTACTGTAACCAGAAATTTAACGCCATTTGACGGACACATTTTATAAATAGAGATTATTCTCCTTAATTCCTAAGTGTTAATTTCATTTTTTTTTTTTGCGCCAAAAGTACACACACACACACATGACCCTATTGACGTAGTGCGTTCGATCCCCATTACTGGAAAAATAACCTTAATAATATCTAGTACCCATAGTACAACCGATACTTAGTTTGGGACAATAAAACATTCTTTTAAAATGGGTCTTTTTTACCATGGTAAGTTTTTTTTTTTATGGATAAAAGGCGCTTTATCTCTTGGTCTCGCTATATCTACAAAAAATGTTTATATGTCACAGTTTGTATATTTGACTTCCGTCAACTTTAAAATAGTGGGCGCAAGTTACCTCACTCACCAGACGAAAAACGTAAGAATAATAGCGGTACTTCCGCGGACGTCGTTAAAGTTAGACCCGTATACCGTCGACTTTTCAACCGAAGACTAAAAAACCTATAATCACTCGAAAGCTGACAAATACCACATAAAATAAATTTATTCGACTACTCTTTAAATCATTTATTTGCTACCAAAAACATATGACGCATGCTTATCGATGTATTGCTCGACAAATAAGACATTGCGTAATATTACAAAATTATTTCCGCATTAATAAAATATCAAAAGGATACCGGATTAAGATCAATTTTTCAAATATGTTCATCATATCCTTTATTAATGTTTACCTTACGAACATGGGTAACTAATATTAATATAAATAAAGTTATTATATCAAATTTGGAAACATTCAAAAACTCTAAAAATACATATGATAGAAATTTATTAAGGAATGAAGTTATAAGAGAACTGAAAATTAAATATAATGGCTGGTTTTTTATATTTACAGATGGGTCAAAGAGTGTAGAAGGTCATGGGTGTGCATTCTATGTGCCTAGTCTAGATAGTCAAGTCAAGTCAAGTCAAAGTATATTTATTCAATATAGGCCTAACTTAAGCTCTTATTGAACGTCAACAAAAATCTACCACCGGTTCACTAAACTAGACCTGCACAGAGAAGAACCGGCAAGAAACTCTGCGGTCTTGTTCTTTTTGTTATATATATATTTTTTTTTAATGCAATTATACACACTTATTTGGGTATAAAATCAGCAGCAGCCAGGGGTCTTGCAAGTGCAGAGCAAGAGTCATTTCCAAACATCCTTGTCCTCTATGTATTCTTGGATATTATAATAAGCCCTTGCCATTAAGGTAGCTTTTACAAATTGTTTGAAATTGTTTATACTTAGTTGTTTGTGGATGTCACCTATTTTATTATAAAAGTTGATGCATCTTCCAAGAAACGACTTTCTGGTTTTAGCTAATCTAAACCTCGGTACTTCCAGAGTGTCACCACGGCCCCGACGCGATGTGGATTGTTTTTTCGTAAATAGGTCGATATTATTACGTACATACATGATGTTCTCAAGTATGTAAAGCGACGGGAGCGTCAAGACGTTTATTTGCTTAAATGTTTGTCGTAGCGACTCACGTGGACCCAAGCCATAGACGGCCCGTATAGCCTGCTTTTGTAATACAAATATTGTGTCTAGACCGGATGCGGAACCCCAAAGTAAGACACCATAGGACATTATGCTGTGAAAATAAGCATAATAAACTAATTTTGCAGTTTCCTCATTAGTTAGCTGCCTGATTTTGCGTATGGCAAAGACGGCAGCGCTCAATTTCTTAGCTAACTTATCTACATGTAATCCCCATTGCAACTTGGAGTCAACGCTTATTCCAAGAAATGCTGTTGAATCCTCAAGGGGTAGGATTTTCTCATCAATAGAGATTCCTGATTGGTGACACAACTTTGAAAGAGTAAATCTAATACATTTTGTTTTATTGGAGTTCAAAAGTAAATTATTGGTAGCAAACCAGCCAGACACAACATCTAGTATTTCATTTGGTTGTTCCAGTGCATCATCTTTCCTTTTAACTTTAAACAATAGTGAAGTGTCATCCGCAAACAAAACAATTTGAGACCTTTTTTCCACTATATATGGCAAATCATTAATATAAACTAAAAACAGAAAAGGGCCCAGGATCGATCCTTGAGGAACGCCCATTTTTACTTTTGACCCCGTTGACAATATACCATTTATGATTACTTTTTGTTCCCTGTCAGTAAGATATGAGGAAACAAAGTCAATGGCACAATTGCGAATACCATAATATCATATTAAATACAATCAAAACTATCATTGTTTTAAAATAAGCGAAAATATATGTATTATGACGCTGGAACTTATTGCAATCTCTGAGGCTTTGTCTTATGTAATTAATAACAATGATTACAAAAATATTGTAATATGCACTGACAGCAAGAGTTCCTTGCAACATATAGCTCGATGCACCACTGGACACAGAGGTGCATCGATAGCTTATGAAATTTTACATAAGATAGATGTGTTGAGTTTGAAGGGTATGCAACTGAGATTGCAATGGGTTCCATCGCACGTTGGTTTAGGGGGTAACGAAAAGGCTGACATGCTAGCGAAGTTTGCAGTTAAGTATGGAAATAAACCCAATTTTATTCCAGACTATACAGTATTTTTACCTAAATTCAAAAATTTTTGCTATGATCTTTGGAAGGAATATTTTGATAAACGGTCTTTAGATAAGGGTATATGGTATAAAACAATTCAGTGCCAGCCCTGTCGGGTACCGTAGTTCATAAATACTAATTTGTGTAGGAAACTAGTATGTACAGGTCTTAGACTCAGATCTGGACACATTCCATGTAACAAATTTGCCTTCCTTATGAAGAAAATTAATTCACCAAATTGTGAGGAATGTGGAGTGACTTCTTCTTCCTTCATCACCTGTTGATGGAATGTGTTAGAAATGAGTCCAATAGGAATAACTTGTTAAGAGACATGAATTTAAGCAAATACAATGTTGGCCTTTTTCATTCTTTGTTATGCCATCGAAATAGTGAAAATGCAAATCTACTGTATGAGTTTATGGCTAAAACTTTAAAATAATTATTAGTAATAAGTCAAAGTTGTATAACATAAGAGGAGGGCACGACGGGACTGACATGCATATTACGCAAAAGTCCCTTAAACATAAAGAAATTAAAAAAAATAAAAAAAAAGATCAATTTTTATTATTTTGAATTTGAATAGAAAATTTGATGTATTATAAGAAGTGTATAAAACACAGATAGATTTGGCAGTAGAGTATTACCGGGAAATAACATTTCATTACATCTACTAAAACACATTCAAAATATTCTTAGAACAACACCCTATGTTTTCAAGCGACCTTTCAATCATTTTTTCAAGCAATCTTCAATCTCAAATCTCAAGCAATCTTTCTCGAGCTTTCGTAACAGTTGAAAGTTCTTCTTTACATTTAGTATAGTTTCTTGAAATATTATTACAAAATATTGAAATTGCATAAATTGATATTGATGATTATGATGGTAATATAATGAAATGGAGCAACATGGAACAAAAGAAGAAATGGAGCTATCAAACCTAAACCCAAATTAAACCTACCTAAATTAAAATAGTTGGACCGTTTTGTATGAGTTCCGTTTTCATCGCGGAGGCCCTAGGTTTCAATTCTCTGTTGTTGATTTGCAATACCTTTCTTCATCTCCTCAGATCAATCAAGTTTCTAAAATACTGAATTGTTATCAGTTCTGACTGAACCATACAAATAAATGCAATATGCATTGACATATTAATTACTTCACTCATTTAATGATCGACGAATGAAATGTTCATTTCAGTCAAAATAATCGTGACGTCCCAGTGGCTTTTTCATAAGTTGATTGTGCTATAATTTTAATCCAAATCAATTGGTATTTTTTGAATAAGAAACGTAATCTGGAGATTATAATAAACTCAAACACTCTCTTTACAATCTGAATCATCTGTTTAACGAACGAAGAACACAAAACTATGCTATTTTAAAATTTTTCGTTAAAACTAATCTTACAGTAAAAAATAAAATGTGTTAGACATTTAACAAAACCATTCCTACTTATTTAAGTTTCGGGTTTTACGCACGCTGATAACGGCCGCAGATACGGTGACGTAGCGCGCGGTTCCCCTTTAAATAGTTGGCCGCAGGCGAGCGAGGCACAGTTCGACCAGTACCCCGTACTGGTCGGTGCTGTCCATCACCGCTGCGAACTCCTCCGTAACCGAAGAGCGGCGGACCAGCTGCAGGCACGAGTGAATCCGAGGGGCGGTGGATTCAACTCTGGTACATACCTAAACTGCCCACTGCCCATAACAATACGAAAGACCCACAAACAACGGTGAGTTACGTATGAACACCTGCAAGTTGCAGTTCTGGGGATATTGAAGCGGTAAACAGCCGAAGTTAAAGAGTAAAGCTGAGTGAGAGAAAAGACACAAGACTTCGAAGAACTTTCTGTCCACCTCATTAAAGTACCTATTTGGTACAATGACAAGAAGGAAGAAAAACAAGTCTGCTGTTGACCAAACCGCAGTGGTTAGTGTCGTTGCATCTGTTACTGTTCCGCCCACTGCTGTCTCTCGTTCCAACACTACAGACACTCTCAAAACTAACACGCCCATAACACTTCCTGCTGGAATTAGTCCCTTTGTAGGTGCAATCGGGTCCACTACCTCAGGTTCTATTGCCACTTCTCCAAGCCACCGCCAACTATACTCGTCAAATACCTCCTCTTCTGCTGTATCTTCCAGTCCTCGTTCTACCCCTGCCTCTTCAACCGTTAGCGCAGTGACATCGACGAGCAGCCTGAAACCCAATGGCAAGACCGCACACAAGCCCAAACCAAGGGAACCCGTGAAGACCATAGTGAAATATGTTACGAAACAGATCCACATATATCCCATGTATCCGATATTGACCGTAGAACGCCTTCCAAATCTAGATTACCACATTAGTGTGCTGACCGAAAGCATAGGCAGGCGGCCACGCGTGTACCCGCATGGTAAGGGAGTGCGATTCGTTCCCGAGTCTAATGACGAATATAGAACGATACAGCGATACCTGGCCAAGATTGAGTCTGCAGAGAGGATCGCCTGGTGCTCCTACACTTTGGCACCTGGCAACAGCCTCAAAGTGAATGTCAAGGTGCGAGAAGTGGAAATAGTCAAGATCACCGAAGACCTCGACAAGCTCAAGTTGCAGAGCGTTACGAACCCTGCAGTGGCAAAATTGAAAGAATCTCCACCTAAAGATATGAAATCATCTACGAAAGATTCCTTACCTAAAGATGTTAAAGTTTCGAGGAAGGATTGTTCACCTAAAGATGGTAACATATCTATGAAGGATTCTTTGACTGAAGATGCTAAATCTCCCACGTCAAACCAGGTGCTGAAAGAAAGTAAGCCGGTAGTACAATCACCAAAAGATATCCGATTACCTGCTACGAAAAAACCTCATGACATTGCCCAAAACAGATCATACAAAAAAACGAATCGATTTTAAGTCGATCTGAAGGTGGCTTATACAACCAGGTATCGAAATATACGAATATCAAACAACTTCATTTTTCATTTATTTACAAACAACCTCTAAACACAAATGCAACATTTTTCATGTCCTCGCTTTTCTTAAGGTTTGCCTAATTCAAATCGCGCAACTTGGATATTACAGACATTCCTAAAAGCCAGATGGCTATGTGATATTAATAAAATCTGGAAAAAAAATCTATGTTCATTTAACATAAGGCCAAAGTACAATTTATGCAATTAATACCATTTAGGGCCGGCACTGTGTGGCCCCTGGATCAGAGCTATTCAACGGTTATGTTGAAAAGAAATAACGAGCCGGTTTTTGATAAAAAATGGCGATTCTCACAACTACACGCCATTACTCCAACACAGAACTTCCAACCATTATATAATTATTAATAATGTACTCTTTGCTTCCAACCAAGGAAGCTTATAAAGCAATGGTTCACGCGATCATCGCTAGTAACGCTAAAATTTAAACGCAGAAAAATATCCGATCGAGAACCGAATTGAAAAAAAACCTTCCTAGCTTCTTTTTAAACAAGGTTCTGTATGGCTTTTCAGTGAAGTCATTAACATTAATTTAAGAAATAAAAACGCAAGTTGCCTTTTAAAAAAATTAAAGAAGACAAACAAACTAGGTTAACGGGACCAAAATTTAAAAATCAAAATTTGTTGTCAAGAAGTTTGGTACAGCGCCATCTAGGGTATATGATGACGTCGCATAGGAACGTGAGTAATGATAAAAGTAGTGACTTACGATGCTTTACATATTGGAATATAGATGGCGCTTATAATCTTTAAGCATGTGAATAAACTTTAATACAGGTTTGGATGGTTTACATTTACAACATATTTTAAACTATACAGAGAAACCCTCATCTCGTCTTATTTCAATAAATTCATTATGGGAATGACATTTGCTTAGCAACTATTCGTAAACAGTATTTTTCTACAAAGAACTCTTCTTTCCATTTCATAGTAGGCAGACAGTTAAAAGCTAATATAAGCGATGCTACTTGCTTTTTCGTTATGCATTATACTAAAGTCTGGAAACCGTACTTTTTCTCATTGTCAACATAATATAAATTTTTAACCCAAACTCAAATGTGATTTAATTAATCTCGCGTCCAAATTACATATTTTGTGTATTTTAGGCTGCACAACATTTACTAAGGGCCCCGCGCCAGATTAATCCGACAAACCCGAACAACAGTTAATGCGGATTAAATAAATTAATATTTCGAAGTTACTAAAATACAATTTTAAGTAATTTTCTATCAAAAGTTAAAATACATATTTGAAATCCCAGTCTTGTACTTTTTCAAATTCAAATAGGAGCATAACACTTATTGATTGTCAAAGTACTAGTACCACTTACCAGTACAAGTTCTGAAAAGAAAAGGCCATTTTAGACAGTGAGAACATATTTACAATATATTAAAGCCCAATTGAAAGAGCCTAGAACGATTAATCCATTTCCAGTATTTTATCATTTAAGCTAACATCCTGGAAATGCACTTGCTTCTGCTGGAAACAACAATTATTTGCCTAAATTATCTCATTTATTTAATAACAAAAAATTGTCCTAAAACTGCTTCTTCTTGAGGCAATTTTATTAATTTAGGACCAAAAAAATAACACTGTAGCAGAAATTAGAATAAAATGATTCACATTATAAGTACTTAAAACAGGCACAAGAGAAACAATCAAAAAATGGTGTAAAGCTATGGTTGATTATGTAAAAATAAAACATACTTCACATAATAAAGAAAATCCACAGGGGCAGCGAAGTTCGCGCGGGTTCCGAGCGACAGCGACCCAAACCGTCCCACCCATGGACTAGCGGCAGGAGCGACCTTTGCGCGGCACCGCAGCGGAACACCATATTTTTAATCTAAAATCGTGGCTTTCCCTTTGTGAATCGTTGTAAAATTCGTACAAAATTTATAATAAACGTTACTTTTTCAAAGTCATACAATAAGAAACTTATTATTTTTTGCGTTCTCCATCGTAATATTCGCCCAACACCCCAAACATTCACCACTCTCTCATTGTCAGCAAAAAAATTTCATGTGATTTTATCTCTGATCTCTCGTCCAAATTAATTTTTTTTGAATATTTTAAGCTGCACAATCGCCGAATTAATCCGACAGACCCTCGATTTACCTCAAAAAGTATTTCATAATTTTGTTTCGTTTAAAGTTTAAACATATAAAATCGAATTGTTTATTAAACACTTATTGTTTTGAGTGGTATGTGTGATCAAAATCAAATGTTCAAAACACTGAACCTCAATGTAATGTAGGAACATTGAAGATGACATTGATGCTCTTGTCCTATTATGTTCTTAGCACATTTTAATGCCCTCTTACACGGAGGAACGTTTTCCGCTGCATTAATCATCATCATTTTACATCGACATGCAGTTAATGCCAATTAAATATTTAATATATCACTAAAATCTAATATATAAAATTGTCGTGTCACGATGTTTGTAATTGAACTCCTCCGAAACGGCTCGACCGATTTTCGTGAAATTTTGTGTGCATATCGGCCAGGGTAGAGAATCGGACATCATCTATTTTTCATCCCCCTATATGTTAAGGGTGGTCCACCCTAAACAGTTTTTTCTACCCTACAAATTCCCTAAAAATAATTTATATGGCAGAACAACGTCTGCCGGGACGGCTAGTACATATATAATTTCCCATCAAAAGTTAAAAAACCTACTTGAAATTTCAGAGCCTTGTACTTTTTCAAATATCTTTATTCAACATTATTGATTCTCGTACTTTGAACACCAGTTTGGAAAAGAAAAGCCACTGACCTGAGAAGAACCGGTGAAAGAAACTCTTTACAATGTATTAAAGCCCAATTGAAAAATAGTCGCATTTAAATGTTACATGAGCTGTACATTTTTTATGGGACGCAATTTTATTTTTGGGATATGTGTGGGGGGTCAACAGAAGCTTAACTCCAAGTTTTTGGAATTGCCGCCCTAGTCCCCCGATACACCTTTTTCGCGATATATCGGAAACTATGCGTCCTACAAAAATTCGTAGACATAATTTGTAACAACTCGCTTTGCCTACAAATGTTCATTTAACTTTTTGCCCTTTATTTAAAACTAAAGAAGTTATAAGCAAAAAAGTGAGAACATTTCTAAAAAAATTTTCTTTTTTGCTCTATAACCTTTATATTAGGTCCTAAAATTGTAACATTTCAATGGACTAAGAGCCTACAACGATCAATTTATTTGCAGGGTGTGTTATCATTTAATATACAATACAAAAATAAATATAGCTTCTCATGTTAACACATGAGAAGCTATGTTTATTTTTGTCCTAAAATTGCTTCTCGAGGCAATTTTATAAATTTAATACCAAAAAAATTACACTGTGACAGAAAGAACAATTTAAGAATTCACGTTATTAAAAATACGTGGAATACCTATTAATTGCACGTAAAAACTACTTTGAACAGGCACAAGAGACAATCAAAAAATGGTGTAAAACTATTATTGATTATGTAAAAATAAAACATAGTTCACATAATAAAAAATTCCACACGTCTCTTCTGTTTTCTAAGATTTTAACAGCCGAATTATTAATATAATATAACAACACCGAATTATTAATAATATACCAGCCATGAGATAGTAAAAATATGACATAAACTATGAAACTCGCAACGCAACATCTCGAATTCTAGAACAATAAAAATGCCTTACGATATATCAGTGCATTAAAAAAGTTTCTGAAAAAAAAAGACAAATATGAAGACTAGATTTTATTTTAATTCGACACAAACTTTCATTGCCGCGTAATAAACGGAATGTTACATACATATTACAAATGCAGACATTACATACATACTGCAAATGCAGGAATATAATAATAAAGTATAGTTAAAAAACTGGTACTATTCTAGAATAACAACACCAGCTTTTCATTTCCACTCACAAATATTTTCAAAGATATAAAAAACTTAAAAATGTTAAACCCATAAAAAGCAAAAATCACGGGAAATGTTCCATTCCATATTTCCATAATTTGAAAAATCTTAAAAACAAACATAAAATAACATACAACAAACACTTGATTTTGCCAATTTATATTGAATTTACCCACTCACGTACCAAATTTATTACACCAATAAGAATATAATCACAATAAACACAGCTATTTTAACTGGAAGAAAAATTAATATCAACAAATACTAAAAATAAGTTTATCGATGATTTCTTATGAAAGATGGAAGATGTTGAAGTTAAAAAATTAAAGATGTAAGTGGAAAATACCAGTCATTATTTTAGAATTTCGCAAATACCTTCTTCCTACCTTGCTTCTCCATCGGCCCTATGGTAACGATGGGAACGATCCTTTCATCGCTATCCTTCGGTGTTTTTATTGGTGCCGTGATGCTCAATACTCCGTCTGAAGATAGTGTGGATGTCACGGCATCCAGATCGACGCCTCCCGGCAAGGGATAACGCCTCTTGAAATTTCTCGAAGTATACCAGCCGTGTTTGTCCGCTCGTTCCTCGTGCAAGGCTTCGACTATGAAACATCCATTCGCGATTTTCACCGAAATTTCTTCAGGCCCGAAGTGCTTGACGTCGAGATTTACTTGAAATTTGTCATTATCTTCTATAATTTTGGAGCACACATCTTGAATCGTCGGCCTGGAATCCCTCCGGGGCATAAGCCCGGGTCTAGCTGCTTCGTAGTCCGCCGCATGGTCCAATCCAATCTGAGGTACCAATCCAATATACTGACCCACTATACGACACGGTGGTACTGGATGTCTACATTCATTGTAAAATGGATACATAGTAATTTTTACAACTGTAATTGCTCTCCGAGTTTCTTGGTACTATTATACCAAAAAAAGTTCCGAGTATTATTCACTAACGTAATGTCGTCTAGAACTTTGCCGTCGTAAAATCGATTTTCCCACTGTGTTACCTACTGTAGTAATGAGTGACTTGAGTGTAGTAACACTGAATTGATATTGAAAAGTAATATCGCCTTACTCTACCTTGGCGAACATTTTAATGTTAAAAAATCGCCATCTAGGGAATACGATGACGTCGCATAGGAACGTGAGATATGATAAAAGTAGTGACTTACGATGGTTTACGTATTGGCATATAGATGGCGCTCATAATTTTTACTGCTTGCTTATAATTAGGCTGCAATTGGCGGCGAAATAGCGATCTCCGCATGGTAATCCTATTCATTTCTTTAATTATCAACTTTAAGTGGCATTTTCCTATACATTTTTTATAGAAAAAATAAAAGTGCAAGCAATATCACTAGCAGGATAGTGACCAATATAATGGTGGTTGTGGACATATGGAGACGAATATCTTCCGTTGACGATTTATTGTCCCCAGCGGCAGCATTTTAAACAATCACCTTCTCCTTCGTCGATTTTTTGCTTGCCCATCTTTTAGGTTTCTTAATAAAATATACACGCGTAAGCTTGACCCGTAGTGACAATATAATTGAGCGTTATTCATTATTATAAATTATTCAAATAATTGGGTCGAGAAGTATAGCGTCAGATTCGGGGCGCGAGCGTGCATACAGATTCCGTCGGCAGGGTCGCCATGTACGGTGTGGTGTTAGAGGTAAAATGAAACTATTGAAGGCCCGAACAATACTGACTTATATTTTATGACAACAAGCAATATAAATGATTACAATTATTAAAGTAGCGTAATGTAGACAGTAATATAGAGTAGTACATAATAATTGTTTAAACATACATCACACCCAGTTTCATTTACCTAGGGATCGAGTCATCAAGACTAAAAATGTTTCGGGTTATTTAAGATATTTCTTTGCACATCATTTATGTAGTTACTGTAACTCTTATTAATTAAAAAGTTTGATCTTTTTTTAACAAGTCATATTCGTATACGTCAGGATTGTTTTTTTTTTTTTTGCAAATTTACTTTTCCTTTAATAGTTTTATAAGTCTCTGTGGATACAGGATATTGCGTTGACAACCTTTTGAAAGTTGGGCTCCGGCTACCTCACTCACCAAACGAAACGCGAAAGTATTTGTCATACTTCCACTTTACGCTGGTCTTCTGTGACGTGGTACTTACCCGGACGGGCCTATTCTACGCAGAGGTAGTAGTGGGCAGCGTAGTCTTTTTGTCCTCAAATTGCTTGTTCTTGAGGCAATTTTATTAATTTAATACCAAAAACTTACACTGTAGCAGAAGTAAGAATCAAAGAATTCACATTATTAAAAATACGTGGAATCTCTATTAATTATTGTTAGTAAAAACTTTTTTTAAAATAGGCACAAGAGAAACAACCAAAATATGTTGTAAAAATATGATTGATTTTGTAAAAATAAAAAATACTTCACATTATGAAAAAATACACACATCTCTTCTGCTTTCTAAAATTTGAACAGCCCAATTATTAATGAAATATAAGAACACCGAATTATTAATAATATACCGGCCATGTGATGGTAAAAATATGAAATAAGCTATGAAACTCGCAACGCAACAACTAGAATTCTAGAACAATAAAAATGCCTTACGATATATCAGTGCATTAAGGGATTTCTGAAAAAAAAGACAAATATGAGGACTAGATTTTATTTTTATTCGACAAAAACTTTCATTGCCGCGTAATAAACGGAATGTTACATACATATGATAAATGTAGACATTACATACATTTTGCAAATACAGGCATATTACAATACAGAATAGTTAAGATAGCTGGTAGTATTCTAGAATAACAACACCAGCTTTTCATTTCCACACAAATATTTTCAAAGTTATAAAAAACTTAAAAATGTAAAACCAATAAAAAGCAAAATGCTCTGATTTCCATAATTTGAAAAGTCGTAAAAACAAACAAAGTAAAAACATACAAAAAACATTAAATATATACAAAAAACTCTTGGGGCCCAATTTTCAAAAGGTTCGCATCTGCAAACCCTTGGGTGTGGCAGATGTTCATGGGCGGTGGTATTCACTTAACATCAGATGAACCACCTGCTCGCTTGGCAATTTTTCACATAAAAAAAATACGATAATGGTATTTTAATTTTGATTTTTTATGCCAATTTCTATTGAATTTACCCACACGTACCAAATTTAGTAACATAATCACAATAAATACAACTATTTTAACTGGAAGAAAAAGTAATAAATAATAACTAATAAATAATAATAAAAAATACTAAAAACAAGTTTACATTAAGGTTGATTTCTCACGAAAGATGGAGGATGTTGCAGTTAAAAAATTTAAGATGTAAGTGGAAAATACAAGTCATTATTCTAGAATTTCGCAAATAGCTTTTTCCTCTCTTGCTTCTCCATCGGCCCTATGGTAACGATGGGGACGATCCTTCCATCGGCATCCGTCGGTTTTTTTATTGGTGCCGTGATGCTCAATACTCCGTCTGAAGATAGTGTGGATGTCACCGCATCCAGATCGACGCTTCCCGGCAAGGGATAACGCCTCTTGAAATTTCTCGAAGTATAGCCGTATTTTTCCGCTTGTTCCTCGTGCATGGCTTCGACTATGAAACAACCATTCACGATTTTCACCGAAATTTCTTCGGGCTCGAAGTGCTTGACGTCGAGATTTACTTGAAATTTGTCATTATCTTCTATAATTTTGGAGCACACGTCTTGAATCTTCGCCCCGGATTCCCTCCAGGGCGTCATCCCGGGTCTGGCCACTTCGTAGACTGCCACAGGGTCCTGAGGTGCCGCTCCTAATCCAAGATACTGAGCCACCATACGACGCGGATGTACCGGACGTCTACATTCATTGTAAAATGGGTACATTGTAATTTTCACAGCTGTAATTACTCTCCGAGTGTCTTGGTACTATTACACCAAAAAACTTCCGAGTATTATTCACTAACGTAATGTCGGTCTAAAACTGCCGTCGTAAAATCGATTTGTCTACTGTGTTACCTACTGTATTATCTACTGTAGTAATGGGTGGCTGAGTGTAGTAACACTGAATTGATACTAAATAATATCGCCTTACTCTACCTTGGCGAATATTAAAAAATCGCCATCTAGTGACTGATAGAGATGTCTACAATGTCTAGAATGAACGAGAATGTGATCCGAATTGAATTCGTCATAAGTGCAGATGTTGCAAACAATTTTTTACAATTATGTAGAAAAATACATTCGGTTTGAGAAAAATAGTTCGGAGAACGACATCAACTCGGTAAAAATATTTTTTTTAATTTTTCTTTCATTTTCTAATGAGTATTTTGTATCAAATAATTACAAGAATATTGTATTTTAGTAATAATAAAGCATAAATATATTATTGAAAAAAAAATATATTTATATCTATAGGTTTATTTTTATTTAAAATATTTATGTTATATAGATAACTGTGTTAGTATATCTTTTTGTATACCATTAAAAATATTTTAAATGTTATATTTCTTTATTTTACGATACGCGTGCACACCTACAGAGACATGATGAACTTGGTTGCAAAGCGACCAACTTCTACCAACTTCATGGTATTACTATGGGAACCAATAACAACTATTTGAGTTTTATCTATAATCCCAGTTTATTTATTTAAACCGTTATCAATTGCATCGGAGCCATGATAGCTCAATCATCCGGGCACTCGCTTTTAATTCAAAATACTCGCAAAATCTGAGTTCGATACCCGGTGCTGGCACGAATGTAATGTTTTAATTTTCACTGCCGACTTATCACGTGTCCATCGATGAAGGAAACATCGTGAGGAATCCTGCATATTTTCGAAATAATAACACAAATTATTTCGAAGATATATGTGAAGTCAGCCAACACGCAGTGGGACCGCATGGTGAACTATGCCCTGATAAGATCTGTGCAGAGGAGGTATTTTCCCGACAGAGGGACGTGTATAGGTTGTTACTTTACTTCTTTAAATCCTTTTACTTATTAAGAGAATTAAGGTGTTATGGTTCAAACCTCTTAAAACGTTTAGTATATCTGTCTAGGAAATATTGCTATTCGCCCCTAGAGGGCAATACTGTCACGAAAGAGCCCTAATGAATTCTTTTATTCAAAATTTATACTAATAAACTTATGATTGTTTGTAATTGTATTCAATTATTGAGTTCTTGTTTTAACAAGAGTTCAATAATTTTTTTCATATAACGAGTTCATGCTATCCAACGGCAGATGGCAATGTAGTAACAAAAATCTTGTAAGAAATAGTTAACTAACTCGTATCTACCAAAAAAATTACATCCGTCATCAACGAATAATTGATATTTATCTATTATTCGTTCATTGATTAGAGAATCGAAAACTATTTTTTAATAATGTATGTAGTATCTAGTATTTGCGGAGAGTGTGAAACCTCTAGTCTCTGCCTTGTGATAAAATCAATACATCGAGCCTTAGCCGTTAGGGAACCTACACACCTGCATCACTATAACAGCACTATATATAATATATAATATATCTCTCAATTGCCGTGTAGGGTGACAACGATTTTACTTATATTAAAGCATTATCGATCGAACTCATGTTGCTCGAGTGTATTGAATTAAAGGCGAACGCCCTGACACTGAGCTATTACAGCTCTTGCTTATATTCTTATTTTTATTTCTTATTTTACTTTCATATCTTAGTTCTTATCTTACTTTTTATCTTACTTCTTATCTTAATTATAAAATACTCTCAGTTTAATTTTTTACAATTTATGTAATTGGCAATGTCATAACGTAAATGGAAATCAAATTTCTGTTGTACAGATTTTTTAACAAACATCAATTTAATAATCACAGTCTCGGTGGTAAAGAGTTTAACAACATGATTCAAAATTATATCGACCCCACCTAGGTGGGTTGATGGTAGGAGAAACCAGAAGAAAAGATGTCTATACTAGCATTGTGGGCTTGTATAGAACACCTAAATAACTTCAAAACTTGAAAGCTCTATTGTCTAATTTAATTACTTATGACAATTTTTGGCTAGTACTTCGATATAGCAAACAAAAGAAAATTTTAAATTTAAGAAAACACATTTTATGTGCTTATAAATAATGCTTAAAAAACTTCAAATTCAAAACTTAAAAGCTTTATTGAAGTTTTCAAATCGTTAACTGTTTCCAATGACTGTCGTATATTTAATTACTTATGACTACTTTTGTGTTTTCATATAATTTTTATGCAACACTGTGAAGTACTGTTATTTTAACTACAGTTTGAGTCTGATCACAGAATCACTAATCCAATCACTAATTTACCAACGCATTTATGTTTTATTAGAATTCAACGTTTGCTATGTTAACTCCTTATAATTAAAACGAATATGTTTAACTTTCATCTACAAATGTATTTACTGAAATACTTCTTGTGGTTCAAACTAAGTAACAATTTTAGAGGCATATTATAAGAGATAAAAGTAAATGTTTAATGTCCCAAACATTTCACTACGTTCTATCGTCCTTTATCCCAGTTTTTAGCACAAAACGTTAGACACAGTAGTGGAATATTTTTTTCATCGTTGCATTAATTTTTCCTAATTCTCACCATTATTTTAAAATTATTTCTCTGTCATCACTAGGAACATTTTTCAATGAATTTTCGAATGGTTAAATATTTAAATATTTTCTTTCCGATATTAACCATTTCACCGTGTACGGGATCGGGAACGGGACGCAAGCGGCCATTTTGCCTGCGCGGCGTGTCATGCGCAGAATTCCTACAAAAGTCCCTTTGTAGGCTTGGATTGTTCGCTACGTAAATTTTAGCAATATCCAGTAGAATGGTGCCCATGTACCCCATTGTCAACCACCGGCAACAAGATCTGGATGGGTTCCTGCCGGCACGGGACCCGCGGGCTGCTTGGAACCCCATCGCATTCCGACCACAGCCAATGGCCCCGGCGCAACAAGGTTACGGCGACTACCCATTGATGCACTCCAATATCCAGCCGAAAAGTAACCCGACGTTGACGGACGACAATATGCTGACCTTAAAGATGTCCATGAGCCAATTCTCGATCGACGATATAAAAGTGCATAAGCTCGGGCATAGCGTGTTCGTGAATGCGCAGCACGGCGAGAGGAAGGAGACACGCTGCTTTGTTTCGCGCGGGATCTCGAGGCGGTTCACGCTGCCGAAGGCGGCGGATGTCGAGAAGCTTGAGGCGATTTACACTTTACACGGTTGGCTGCTGCTGAGGGCGCCGCTGGACCCGACAGCGCCGGAGGCCGACAAGGTGCTGAAGAACGAGCCGACCCCGACGGAGGAGGCGCCTGAAGGCGCCGGGGCGACGGACGTGCCTAAGCGTACGTCCGTCTACATCCGCCGGGTCTGCTAGTCGTGCGTCCCGCCGACTCCGCTCCGAATGATCGTCCACGCGATCGTTCACCGCTTGCCCGTTCTTTTCGCGAATTAGAATAGCAGCAGCTTGTATGGTTTGCGCTCAATAAATTGTTAGAATTTATTGTGCGTTTATTTCGCCTTGTCCCAATAGCGAACTAGTACCATTGACCAAATATAAGAAGGTAATTGAAGTGTATAAAATACCTCGCAGCTCGCGTAAAGTGTTATGTTCGCGATTCGCGATAGCGTGATTAAAAGCTGGAATTAAATGCCATACATATGCAAAAGGGAAAAGAAATCAGAGAAATAGTACACCTTTTGAATATATAAAAATCAATTTTCTTTTGTTTGTCCGAATTGACTGTTTGCACTTGCGCGAAGGTAATAGCTGGCGCATGTTCCGTACGGACAAATGTAACATGGCGGCAACAGGTCGGGACCCAGATAGTTATTTATTGCAGAAAATGATCAAACGTTAATAATATGAAACGATAAAATTCTCTTATTCTCAATCAGAGTACCGAGTTAGTGTTTTTGCAATCTTTCAACAACTTATCGTGGGGGGAAAAATCCAACTGAGAATATTATTAAGTGTTAGATCTCAACGTCCAAAGTAATTGATTCTATTCGTAGAGCCCTTTCGTATCAAATCACATTATCGTGGACAATTTTTTATTAAACAACAGAATTTTTTTTTATAATTTTCCATATAATATTACTTGAAATGAAAAATTCGTTTTTTTAAAAAGGGTAATTCGAATCCCGTCGGTGGCCAACTCCTGTACGTTTCTAAGTACTTTTGAAGATTACACCCGATAACTTTAAAAAAAAAATGCTCTGTTGCGAAGGGAAATACGGCATCGTAATTTTTTTTAATAAAAGATAGTAATAAAAATGCACAAAGAACAATGAAGAACTTCATATGGAATTTTATTTCAAATTAAATTGTTACGTCTTTGAGTAAAAAATATATAATATAATTCAAAAATAGATAACGAACTTATTTATAAACGAATTTTGTTTAAAAGGGGGCGAGAATAGAAGATATTCAGTTTTGAACTTTTGTAGGTATTCCACGGACCTAACAAGGGAAAATATTGAATATGTAATACTGAACGAAGGTTATACACAATACAAATGAATGTGTAAATCTAAGAGAGATTGTATAAAGCATCGATATCAGAAAAAATATCAATATTTTTAATTTTATGTTTCGTTACTTTCAATATATTTGGATCCGATATATCGATATCGAAAAAAATTTTAATATCGAAAGCACACAAAACTATATTTTTTTTTAATTTGAATCCGGCACACAGTAGAATTTTTAATACTTGATATAGGTTTTAGGTTTAGATTGATTTAGGCATTTTTTTGGACAATGGGGCCAAAAGAGAAAATATCCGTCTATCAATTTTTTCTCTTCCATATATCGATGTATCGATATTTTCTCTTCGATATATCGACATTCTTCACTTTTCATATCTGTAAAAGTCTGTAAATGTGTCAAACGCCTACGTTACTCTAAAGCATAGTTTCAGTGCTGCCATAACTTTTTTTCATTTACTCGCTGTTTACACGACTCGCAAGATTTTAGAATGGAATGGAACTGAATAAAATACACTATATGTATATTACATACTAAAAATCAAAAGCTATAGCTATCAGTTAAAATATGTTTTAAGAAAGAGATGTAACGATTATGTATCTACCATAAGGATTAAAAGTGTAAATGGTAACACTGAAGTTATAAATATTGATCATTTCAATCAATTGAGTATCCTAAATAAATATTTTTTTATTTCCGGCTTTAACGGTTTTAAATGATAACTTGATAAAATCTAGATATTTATTTTTAATATTCTTGCTATAACTACTTACTTTATTTTTAATTTTGAACTATTAAGAATTTTGAACTTATGGCAAACTCTTTAGTGTGCCATAATTTGAAAATTTCAAACAAATGCAAAGTTGTTAGAGCAACACAAAATTAAACGGAGAACGACAGCTATCCGTTAAATGAATGCCTTTCAAGCTTTGAATAATAACAAATAAAAATATGTCTAAACTAAATTTTCAAGATAATAGCTAGGTGTTTTTACGACGCAAGTTTTTAATTTGCAATAAGTTTAAAGGTATCTTCGTAACGTTTGTTTTCTGAGTGCCAAAAAATGTGCTTATTCATATTCCACTAACTTGCTTAAGCATATTTCACATCTTCTGCAGTTAACTTCAGGTATTTCCCTTATTTTATACTAGCGTCATCTTGGTTATTTTTGTACACTTTGTCAGTAAAAAAAAAAAAATAAGAAATACTATTTATTTGTGACTACCCGAATAGCGTAGTAGGTAGTGTACCTGCCGCCTGCGCCAGAGGGTGTGGATTCGATCCCCAGTACTGGAAAAATATTGTGTGATGAACATGGTGTTTTCCAGACACTAGTCTGGGTGTTTATATATGTATAATATGTATTTATTTACAAAAGAAAAGTATGTTTATCATTTTTATATTTTTATATCATAAGTATATTTATCATTTTTCTAGTACCCATAGTACAAGCTTTGCTTAGTTTGGGACTGGAAAATGTTGTGTAAAAATGTGTCCTAAAATATTTATTTAAAATAATATTTATTATCATCTACATAGTTCACATTGTCAATATGTAGCTCATCGTTCGATTTCAAAAAGTTGACTCATTTCAAAAAGTTTCAGAAGAAAGGACTCTCCTCGCGCTCTTCTTTCTGGAACCAGCTCTGGTGCAGGAAATAATACTGGAGAGCCTTGATTGTGGCCCCGGCATTTGACCTTTAAATTAGGCCCTACTCGGAACCTATTACACTATCATTTACAGCAGTATGTAAAACTCAAATCACATTAATATTATTTCAGTTACATATAAAAAATCACCCATTACAAATATTAAATAGAACAAACAAAAATTTCATCCTAACGAGGCCCACTTACCTTAGCCTCTGTGTGCAACGTGAATACAACATCTGCATCTATCAGCTCATCACTAATCAAAAGAAGAATGGGGGGTGTACCCTGTCGCCAGGGCCAGATTTAGAGGTCTGGAGGCCTCGGGTCAACATAGGAGTGGAGGCCCTCTATTGATTTCTGTTAACATTTAATGTAATCATGTTTGTACAAAGTACTGTAGGTAAAAGTAAAACGCGAAAAAAAAATATAAATGGAAAAGTTGTTTACTATTGTTTATTAGTCTAAATTTGATATTTTTTTCATATTGAAACACAATTATTCACAACTGCAACAGTAAAGGACGATTACGAGGTCAAGCTCTAAAAATAATCAACCTACCCCTCTTTCACCCACTTTTTCGGTAGTAAGCAACAGTGTTCACTGTTATTGCACGAATGGGCAGGTCCGTCCGGGTTAGTACCATGACCTCTCAGAAGACCGGCTGGAAGTAGAAGTGTTGCACTTCGGCGTTTCGTCTGCTGAGCTGGTAACCGGGGCCCACTTATTTATAAAAAAATCGCCAGCGCGTTTGCCACTTTCTCACAGAAAATTTCTCATAAAAAAAGAAAATAACTACCGCCCCTTCGATTTCAACATATAAATTTAATACCTACTATTAAGGTCCATTTACACGATGCCATTTTCTTGTACATACAAGAGCAATAATTGAATGCAATAAATTGCGCGCAATAATTTGTTAGACCATTTGTTGTTTAGACCATGCAACTCATTTATTGCTTCAATTTAATTGTATACAACAGGCAAGAAACTTGCACCGTGTAAATGGATCTTTAATCTTGAACACCATCACACATTGAACACCGATATATCGCAGCAATTACCAGTATACTTCAAAAGCAACAACTATAGTCTATAAAATACTACAGTACCGCTATACATACTTATAATAAGCGCCAGTACAATAAAGGCCCATTTACACGATGCCATTTTTCTTGAACATACAAGCGCAATAATTAAAGGCCCATTTACACGATGCCATTTTTCTTGTACATACAAAGCAATAATTGAATGCAATAAGTTGCACGCAATAATTGACCATCAAGAATTGTAAGCAACAGTTTACACGCAGATATAGTAAAAAAATTGAATGCGATTATTGTATGCAAGTCTTGACAGGAAATAATTGCAAAGGTCTTTTGTTTACACCAATGCAATTATGTCTAGGCGATTATTGCTTTCAAATTTTGCCTTGTCTAAACACATGCTTGTATGTGCGTGTACAATTTATTGGCGTGTTGCTTCAAGTATTGCACGTATTTGCGTTGACAAATTTTTTCATGCAAGTGTTGAACGTTTTACAAAGGGCTGTTTTTTTTTAAAAAAATGGCTCAATAATAAGTGTTCAAGTTAGATTGATTAAATATATTTCATTGAGATTTATTTATTATGATCCATATATTATTATTCATATTTTTATCCAACTTTTTTTACGGCCTTTTCTCAATATTTCTATCCTCAAAAGAACAGCAATGATTAAATACCCTCACTCATTGCACTAATTTTTGCAAAGTAAGAGAGAATGCAATTGAATACAAGAATTGCTTAAGAAATTATTGTGTGTGCTGTTTACACCAAGGAAAGTTTTGAAACAAAACTTGAAGCAAGTCTTGTTCAACAGTCAAGAATGTTATGTGCTGTTTAGACCATGCAACTCATTTATTGCTTCAATTTAATTGTATACAACAGGCAAGAAACTTGCACCGTGTAAATGGATCTTTAATCTTGAACACCATCACACATTGAACACCGATATATCGCAGCAATTACCAGTATACTTCAAAAGCAACAACTATAGTCTATAAAATACTACAGTACCGCTATACATACTTATAATAAGCGCCAGTACAATAAAGGCCCATTTACACGATGCCATTTTCTTGTACATACAAGAGCAATAATTGAATGCAATAAGTTGCACGCAATAATTGACCATCAAGAATTGTAAGCAACAGTTTACACGCAGATATAGTAAAAAAATTGAATACGATTATTGTATGCAAGTCTTGACAGGAAATAATTGCAAAGGTCTTTTGTTTACACCAATGCAATTATGTCTAGGCGATTATTGCTTTCAATTTTTTGCCTTGTCTAAACACATGCTTGTATGTGCGTGTACAATTTATTGGCGTGTTGCTTCAAGTATTGCACGTATTTGCGTTGACAAATTTTTCATGCAAGTGTTGAACGTTTTACAAAGGGCTGTTTTTTTAAAAAAATGGCTCAATAATAAGTGTTCAAGTTAGATTGATTAAATATATTTCATTGAGATTTATTTATTATGATCCATATATTATTATTCATATTTTTATCCAACTTTTTTTACGGCCTTTTCTCAATATTTCTATCCTCAAAAGAACAGCAATGATTAAATACCCTCACTCATTGCACTAATTTTTGCAAAGTAAGAGAGAATGCAATTGAATACAAGAATTGCTTAAGAAATTATTGTGTGTGCTGTTTACACCAAGGAAAGTTTTGAAACAAAACTTGAAGCAAGTCTTGTTCAACAGTCAAGAATGTTATGTGCTGTTTAGACCATGCAACTCATTTATTGCTTCACATTTAATTGTATACAACAGGCAAGAAACTTGCACCGTGTAAATGGATCTTTAATCTTGAACACCATCACACATTGAACACCGATATATCGCAGCAATTACCAGTATACTTCAAAAGCAACAACTATAGTCTATAAAATACTACAGTACCGCTATACATACTTATAATAAGCGCCAGTACAATAAAGGCCCATTTACACGATGCCATTTTCTTGTACATACAAGAGCAATAATTGAATGCAATAAGTTGCACGCAATAATTGACCATCAAGAATTGTAAGCAACAGTTTACACGCAGATATAGTAAAAAAATTGAATACGATTATTGTATGCAAGTCTTGACAGGAAATAATTGCAAAGGTCTTTTGTTTACACCAATGCAATTATGTCTAGGCGATTATTGCTTTCAAGTTTTGCCTTGTCTAAACACATGCTTGTATGTGCGTGTACAATTTATTGGCGTGTTGCTTCAAGTATTGCACGTATTTGCGTTGACAAATTTTTCATGCAAGTGTTGAACGTTTTACAAAGGGCTGTTTTTTAAAAAAATGGCTCAATAATAAGTGTTCAAGTTAGATTGATTAAATATATTTCATTGAGATTTATTTATTATGATCCATATATTATTATTCATATTTTTATCCAACTTTTTTTACGGCCTTTTCTCAATATTTCTATCCTCAAAAGAACAACAATGATTAAATACCCTCACTCATTGCACTAATTTTTGCAAAGTAAGAGAGAATGCAATTGAATACAAGAATTGCTTAAGAAATTATTGTGTGTGCTGTTTACACCAAGGAAAGTTTTGAAACAAAACTTGAAGCAAGTCTTGTTCAACAGTCAAGAATGTTATGTGCTGTTTAGACAATGCAACTCATTTATTGCTTCAATTTAATTGTATATAGCAGGCAAGAAACTTGCACCGTGTAAATAGGCCTTAATCCTTGTAATGCTCTACGGAAAATATAGTGTCTGAAAATCCTGAAACGAGCAAACACCAACAAACTACCAGCTCCATTCTCATGACGAAGACCACTCAATCTGCAACGGCATCAGACTCCAACGCGATGACACGGGCACGAGTCAGCAAAACGCCTTACCGTTTTAAGTTTACCTAATTACGAAATTGTAATCAATACGACATTCTCTGATAGGCCATCTTTAAAGTTCGAAATAGATAGTTAAATTATACCTAATATTTAGAGTAAAATAAATTATATATTTCTTTTAACAAGATTTGCTTTTTAGGGTACGATTTGTTTCACCTACAGGGTAAAACTCTGTCTATCTGTCCGTCTGTCACCAGCTGTATCTCATGAACCGTGATAGTTAGACGGTTGAAATTTTCACAGATTACCGTATTTCTGTTGCCGCTATAACAACATATAATAAAAAAATATTTAAATGCGACTCCCATACGACATAAATTTTTTTGCCGTTTTTATAGATAATGGGACGGAACCCTTCGTGTGCGAGTTCGACGCGCACTTGGCCGGCTCTTTGCAACCTGAGCTGGAGCCCATGTAATTAGAGTAAAAACTGTTTCAAATAAGAAAAATGATTAAAACTTTAACAATTAAATTATTTATTAATTAAATTAAATTTATTGTAACGCTTCAATTTCGATCAATAGACAATTACTGATTCTGAAGCATAAACTTTGGATCACTTTTTTAAGAATATTGCGCTCACAATACCAGTGTGAGGTCTATAAATTTTTACAATAGCGTACAAAACTAATAATTTTGAACAAACAAAAAACCCGACTTCAAACAGGAAACTAAATCTCGATTTTCTGGGATGCTATCATCAGATCATGTTCAGATGGTTTCCTTATCATGGTACCACCCTTGGGATATCTTTGTGAGGTAACCGGGGCCCACTTTTTTAAAGTTTCTCAACGGAACCGCATGCCATCGGGTGTTGTAGACGTCCATGTTGTTTGATTGCTTTCACTGAACATCAGATGAACCGCCTGTTCACTTAACAACTTTGAACTTAAAAAAAATAAATTCAAAACGTCAGATTCATTGGTTGAGTTTGAGATTACTATCCTCCACTGTTATTGGATGGGTCCAGGAAAAAAAGGAATTTGAATGCTTCTCCATACTTCCCCGAACGGGCTAAAATTTGCCTACTATCTAACAAGCCCTAATTAAAGATCGTTTTGAGGATCTTTCCATTCTTCCCACGAGAGGTCCCTTCGTTCTTCTGTCAACAACTCCTGTACATTCCTCTTCATTCTTCAAAAAATCTTTTCCAGTGACAGCTGTGCGTTTGTGGAAATCTTTGCCCCTTCACATTCGACAAGCTAAGTCTCTTCTTTCTTTTAAAAACCTAGTAAAAGCTCATTACTTGGAACTTTAAACTCATGCTTTCCTTTTTCCTTTTCCTATTGTTCCCGAAATCTTTGACTATCTCATTTATGTATAAATGCCTTCATCCGGTGTTCATAAGTGATTCATGTGCACCTCCCTCTGCTCTCTTCTTTATGTCTCATTAGCAAAAATTCTTTTCGCAATGGTTGTCTGGAAGAAATCGCTTGCTGAGCGATAAGACCGCCTATTGTACTTTCTTTTACATTCATTTGTAATTTGCTTTGTATACATTTATTTTTTTGGTGTACTATAAAGTATAAATAATAAGCCCATATTTTAATTAACTTCAAATATCTCGCTCTGTATTCATTTTATTATTAATTTTCGGGTTCCCTAAGTACCTCCGGAGCACAAGATCCAAAATCAATGAAATTAATATGGGACCACATGGGAAGTACCAGCTTTCACGCAATCGAAAGTTCTGAGGTAACAAATATAAAAAAAAATACAATCCAATTGAGAACCGCCTCTTTTTTTGAAGTCGGTTGAAAAACATCATACTGTCGTATTTTAAATAGTAGACTAATTTTATTTGTAGAAGTCAGTTTAATTTTTGTCAGAGTCGTTCGGAAAAAACTATTTGCAAATATGCACCGTAGTGTGTATGATTTACAATGCTACAGTCGGTGTAGACAAGGAATAAACGTGAAACAGTCGAAAAATACCAAAATATCGAATTTAATATCATCATTATAAATATAATACTTTCTTCTATAAATTTAAGTATGAACATGAGTTCCTTCGTCCCGTTCTTTATTTCTGAATTTCGTGTCCAACTAGAGATTCCTCTTGCCGTAGGTAGCCAATATAATAACAGATAATATATAGAAGTGAAAATTAGATTTTGTCGATCGTAACTTACGATATGATTCAGAATAGTATAAAATATAACGTCAAGACGATATTTTTTTCAGTGATCAATAAATTGCGTAGAAATATATTCAAGTCCCCAAATTGGTACCGCCGAGTACTGAAACAGTTTGTTTTTGAAAGCGCAGTGACGATTTTCCGTATATACAAAGTACTCTATGGTGGCGATATCATAAGAATACCCGTGGCAGTGCCAAAAATGCCAGATGCATTTCAGCGTCCATTTAAAATAATGAGAGCTCTGAACAAACTAAACGGAGCTACCACTCTCACAAGTTAAAATAATTATTACGTAATGTTTGTTTATTTAATCTGTCTAACCGGTAATGTAAACAATTGATTTTTTTGGGCATTTCAATGGCACCTTACACGGTTCCTATAATTTTAATATTTTAATCTATTCCATTAATTCGGTCTTAAAAGATACAGTAATTTAAGATATTAAATTTTTTTATACAGGTACCTATGCAATATGTTTTTTATTTTATTGTTGTGGTAGGGCCACGCATTAATCTTCCCTGTTGCACGATTGGGCAGGTCCATCCGAGGAAGTATCACAATCTCTGCCTCACAGATCAAAGAAGTGTTATAGGTACTTTGCGTTTCATCGGGCGATCGAGATAGCTCGGGCCCATTTTGATTAAAGATGGCAACGCATCTGCTAACCTACGGATGTTGCATAATGTGCATGGGCGCCAGTTATCACTTTACATCAGGTAAACCGCGAGCACGCTCGCTAATTTCTTACGTCAATAAAAGAAATGTGTACATATGGGTGAATCAGAGGTTACAAATAAATAAAACGATAATTTCTGTACACATCAAAATATATATTTACAAACTTAAAGTAGCGATAACAACTATAGCGGCGATACGATGACAATTTTGGCTCACGACAGTTCAGTCTTAAAAAACAATTGAAAGATCAATCGATAATTAACTTAACGGTGCAGATGTAAGCGTATTTTGTTTAATTGGATGTATCTTTGGGCTCTTCGGTTTTGCCTTCGACCTCCGGAGATCCGATCAGTTTCTTGACGGGCCCCGTCGGGGTGATCGGCACAATTCGCTCGCCGATCGAGGGCATTGCGAGGACTTTGGGCGCGGTGACAGTTAGGATGCCGTCGGAAGACAGCGACGACTGGACAGTGTCCGGGAGGCAGCCTTGCGGGAGCGCGTACCGCCGCACGAACCGCCTGGACACGTAGCCGTGCTGGTCCCTCCTCTCCTCGTGTTTGCCCTCGACGACCACGTGCCCGTCCGCCACTTTAACACTCACCTCCTCAGGCGCGAAGTGCTGCACGTCCACGTTCACCTGAAACCTCTCCGCGTCGGAGCTGATCTTGGTTGGGACCTCGTTCAGCGCCAGCTGCTCCATCTCCCGGGAGATCTGCTCGACCGGCCGCAGGAAGCTGTCCAGGTCGCGCATCACGCCCCACGGCTGGCCGAACTGGGGGCCGAAGAAACCGCCCGGTGCCATCACGAGGGGCGAATGCAGGAGATCGCGCTCCATCATCCTTAAGGGCCTCGCAACGTCGTAGAAGTACGGTATGATCGACATTTTGCTCACTTTTGTATGGCTTTCACTAATTCACTTCACTCGATTTCGATTTGGTTCTTCCACTGTTTTCGTGTTCGCGTTACTACGTCGTCTGTCCGCTCCGCTCGATCGGCTTTATATACTCATGACAGCGCCACCTTTCGTCGACGACCCGAACTTACTAGAATGTTCACGAAAGTCCTCGCTTTAATCAGTCTTTCGCTTCCAGAATGTTCGCTATGTTTACGTTTATTGAAACGTGGGCGAAACGTTCTAGAACCCATGAGTACAACGCGCAGAGCCATCTAGGAGTGGATGGCTGAGAATAGTGGAGATGCGATTTTACTTAATTATAATTCATGACTTAATGTTACATACGTCTTTTTCAAATGAAATTTGGCTTTTGATATATATCTTTTTACTTTTTGGATTTTTATTTTTACCTACCGTTAATTATTAGGCATTTGTTCTTGTTTCTTAGTTATAAAAAAATGTGTGTATTCAATTTGACTACATAAAAAAATATTAAAAATGGTTTCTTAGTTATAAAAAAATGTGTGTATTCAATTTGAATACACACATTTTTTTAAACATAAAAAAATATTAAAAATGTAAATTGACCCCCAAACATCAAACTACGGTTAAATTTTTGATGTAATATCAAAGAAACTTGTTTTTTTTTGTATAATTATTATCCATATAGGCCTTAGGCTTAGGCTTATATCTGAAGGAACTATGCTAGTTAATATGTACTATATTATCAATAAAATGTACTGTACGGAATATAAAGTCGATGCTTCAATCTAACACATACAATCAATAAGATATCTTCGTTTGATTTTTCAGCGAGGGGAGACTCGACTAATTTCTACTTTGTTTTACTATATTCACTTCTATGCAGTAAGTTTGAAGCAACGTAAGGCAATAATAAATTGACGGTAGAAACATAACTAGGCACAAATTGTACGCAAAGCGCTCTACTATAAAACAGCTATCGTATATTTATTTAACTTCCCGAGTCCTTGATACCGTCAAGGGCACATCGTAGAGTCGTAGACTATTTTGGACTGACCGAGTGCAAATGCAAACTTGTGCGTTTAGCTATCAAAGTCAAGGTCAAAGTTCCACATTCTTTATTCAATTTAGGCTTTTTCTTCGTTTTAAGGACCCTGCGTTAAATGACACAAGGAACGTAATGGAACAGAATAGTTTAAATAAAAATTTGATCATATTCAATATTTTTTAAATAAACAGCATTAAAACCTTCTATGACTGTATGAGTGTTGTTACACTTTAATTTATAAATATTAGAGATATATCGTACCCATTTGTGCTTGAAAATTATGTATAAAATGAGTCATAATATGATATGTTATTTATACTGGCGTGGTCAATGGGCTATCGTGTTAAAGCTCAGTTCACGATTGTTCGCGTCGAGCTGAGTATGCAAGTGCATATTTGTTATGACGAATAAATATTGCGTTTTACCAGCCATTTTAGCGGTGCTAGGAGCCAGGTAAGGGTATCAAAATTATATGCGATATGTATTACGTTCGGGTTCACTCATTTCACGTCAATTTCAACTTCTTTTTATTTACGTATAATTCTTTAACATATCGTTACAAGAATACCTAAGAGAAAACATCAAACTAAGGTAATACTATTTCCGCTACCCATGTGACGTTTAAATAAATTTATCGCTTTATTTACTTATTTTTCATAACATTATTTTTATAATAAAAATGTATACATAAAGACATGCTTATATGATGTCATCAAAACCATTATCGATCATTATTCGTTGCTTATGCAATGCTTTATGCATTGAAATAATAAGAGTAATAAAGTTTAAAAGAAAAGAATAAGTAGGTTGATATAATTATGAAATAAAATTATTCAAAAATTTAACTACTGACTGTTTTATCGTAGAGTCTCAGTCACAGCACGAGCTGATGCGAAAATATGTTTCCCGCCACATTTTATGTTCGGCGTCGCAACAGCCGCTTACCAAATAGAGGGCGCATGGAACGCATCAGGTATATTTATAATGATAAGATCAGGTATATTATTTATAAGGTGTCACTGACATCTAATCTAAAAATTTCAGCCCAGATTTTTCTTTATTCAACATTAATAAATTTTTCGTATTACTTTTTATAAATATTCAATTTATTTTATACTTTATTAGCTAGACTTCTAGAGATAGAAGGGTGAATTATTCAACAAATAATAGTAACGTTCACGATAGTCGATAATATGTTTATTTATTCATGCGAACAAAAATAATTTTTAAGTCCTCCGTGGATCATTATCGTCATTGTCAAGTTTAATCATTTATGGTTTTCTTCAAGCTCTTGACAAGGTATATTGTATAAGGTATATGTTAATTTTTTTTTTTTGTTATTTTTTATTTACATACCAATGCTTTCTTGTATTATTTTATTAAATATTTTTATGGAAAAATAGTCGTATGTCAGATTCGTCATCGATGTTAATGTTGTCCAGTATAATATGAACGTATCTAGTATACAGCGCGTGGTCAAGTTTTAGGGGAAAAATTGACCCAGACCATATATAAAAATAATTTATTTGTAAAAAATACACAACCACTAATTGATCTCAACGTAAAACAAACCGTATGATACTTAGCACAGCAAGTTTGATAACACCGTCATTATGGAATTATCTTAATCAAGAAGTAATATTAAATTTGCTTACTCTAGATTTTTACACTTCATTAAATAACGAAGCGGTCTCGATGAACTAACTGCATTATTAGTTTGTTTATATCTGCGACTAGGTCACGTAATTGACTGTCGTCGGAAATCGCACATTATTGTCTTAGAATTAGTCTACAATTTAAATATTAATTAAATGATAACACACTCTAGAAATTAATTGATCGTTCCAGACTCTTACAATTCGACTTTACTATTGTAAACGTGTACCGCACTGCCAAAAAATGGAAAAAATGGCCCGCTGAGTTTGTTGGCTTTTCTTTTCCGAACCGGTATTGGTATATTGACAATCAATAAGCGAGTGTAATGCACTTATCTCTATATATATATATATGTGTAATTCTTCTGTAGATGTCACTGAACTCTTCCCAAATGGCTGGACCGATTTTAATGAAACTTTTTGTGCCTTCAGGTCGATTCGAGAATGGTTTAGATTCACAATTCGTTCTTTTTTTTATTTACAAGTTGTTGTCGGATTTGTTTCGGATACGGGACAAGGTCTGTCGGGTCCGCTAGTGCTGAATAAAGATGTTTGAATATTAATTTAAACGTGTTCACCGTGATCATCTTTAGACAATCATGAGGTCCTGATGATGAGATGTTACAAGGGTGTTGTTGATGAAGGGGATGTTACAAGGTAAGGGTGAGAGCATATGGGACCGCTACACGCACTCGCATCCAGAGCGCATCTTCGACCACCGCAATGGCGACGTGGCGACTGACTCCTACCACCAGTTCAAGGAGGACGTTCGTATCCTGGCGGAGCTGGGCGTGCAGCACTACCGCTTCAGCATCTCCTGGCCGAGGGTCCTGCCCACGGGGATGAGCAAGTGCGTTCCAGAATGTTCCACTTTATAATGGCCCTTGTAGCCCAGTCGGGCTCTTAATTCTGCGTTTTGGAACAATATAATTTTGTCCTGTATTACATGTTAGTCGTTTTTTTTTATGTGAAAAGTTGTCAGGCGAGCAGGCGGTTCACCTGATGTCAAGTGTTTACCGCCATACATGGTCATCTACAACACCCGAGGGCTTAAAGATGCGTTGACAACCTTTAAAATATGTGGGTTACCTCACTCACCAGACGAAACGCAGAAGTATTATACTCCCACTTCACGCTGGTCTTCTTGTGAGGCCGTGATACTTCCCCGGACGAGACTGCAACAGCTTCGGCTGTGCATTAGAATGCACGATTGTGCATTAGAATTTCAGAAAGTATAATTTTTCGGCAATGTGGGAAATCTGTCAATTTGCTATGGGGCCACGTGGCGGCCGATATCCCAATGCCTTTGCTCAGTACTGGACCATATACACATAAGCCGTTTTCAAAAATGGTGTTGTATAGTTACAAAACGGTGGACGGTTATTGGGTTTTTCCCACTTACAGCTTTGAAAGATGAATGGAGATGCATTTTATTGTTCTTCGTATATTGAAAACACGTTTGAATAGACAAAACAGTTTGCAGTATTTAATTTAACGCAATATTGCGATTTTGCTAGTCTTTCCATTTGGCTGAAAATTTAGACTTAGGACTTAAAAAAAATTATATTACCGTGACAACGTAATATAATTCTTTATAAATACGTATGTGTTTATGGTTAAAATATTAGCACGGTCGTGGTAGCAAGTTCAATTCCGACCTGCCATTAGTGTCCTTGAATAAGCTACTCGACTACTTAAATGTAAATAACTCTTCGAGTGTATACCGCACTTCATGCCCGATGTAGTGAGCTCGAAGTAGAGCTTGAAATGAATGAAATCACCGCAGCGACGTGAACGAAGACGGGGTAAGTTACTACAGTCGGCTGATCGACGAATTGCGCGCCAACGACATCGAGCCGGTGGTGACGATGTACCATTGGGACCTGCCCCAGGCCCTTCAGGACCTGGGCGGCTGGACCAACCCAATCATAGCCGACTACTTCGCGGACTACGCCAAGGTGCGTGAGGCACTTAGAAAACTTCCCCTACACGGCTTAGATTTGGTGCCTTCTGACCTTGTGTAAATGGATAAGACGGTATTTGCACGGACATATTTGAGCTGCCCTGGGTCCGAAGATGCGCGTGAGTAGACCTCTTAATGATCCTGGCTTACTACGGTATAACCGCGACCATAGACGTGGAGTTGGCTGGAGGTGGAATAGCCATTCTCTCGGTTTAGGATACCATCAGCTTGTGCATCATACTTACCACGCGGGCCAGTAGCGAAGCTCCACCATTTCATGTTAAAGATATTGTTCCAAATTTTAATTTTTGTTATAGTGCTAATCTCTACAAAAAATTTTAATATTGTTCCAGTCCAGAGACTATAAGGAAAACTAGGAATTGACTTATTTGCGTTCAAAGTTGTTCTTAGTTTAAGTATGTAGGTTTTTCAGGTCATTTGAGAAATTTCTAATTTCAAAATAATAATTTTACACTTCCAAATAACTATCACAAAACAACATCTAAAATCTAAATCATCTCTTTATGCAAACATCTAGAGAAACAACTGTAAAAAGATATCCTGTCTTTTCCTAAAACTATTATGTTAGTCAAAGAGTTATAAGAGCTTTTATTACAATTTTGCCTTCATAAATACATGAAAGAGTGAAATAAAAACTGGTTTATTTTCCATTTCCAAGTGTCCATTAAAACGTACACGCTGGGTGAAGTGTTGTGCCATGATTTTCTACTGTTATTGTTAAAATCGGTTGCTACAATAACCACAAAGGTCTGAATTATCTTTTATTATATTATTTGTAATTGACTTTTTTTAATTGTTACTTTGAAAAAAAAAAATTGACCTGAAAAAACTATATAAAGAATTCAGCTTAGATGGAACTTCTTGGTTCTACGTGAAATGATATCTTTCCTTGAAAATATTACGTCATTCGTCAAAGTGTATGCTTGTAACTTCAATATTTTACGTACAATTGTTTTGTCTCGTTTGTCTTCAATGACTGAAACGGAGTCATCAACGTTTAATTTTAATTAAAACGGTTCGAATATTTTACACCATCCATAGAAGTGGGATGGACTGAGGCGTCAGTTTTTAAAATTACTAAAAGAATAAAATATTCAAACGGAGTATCATTTATTATTGTGTAGTGTTCAAGTGAATATAGAGTAATATCGTCAACTGTAATTGCAGTACATTGTTTATATAATTTTCAAATGCATTCATTATCAGACACGCGCACACACGCAAAGGCACTTAAACGAAAACATATTTAGTGCATTCAACTTACATCGAGGTCAAACTAGCGAAAGGGATAGAGAATCTCTACTTATCTGGTCACTAGGTACTGTTCGAGCACTTCGGCGACAGGGTGAAGGTCTGGTTCACCTTCAACGAGCCCCTCTCCTTCTGCGGCCAGGGCTACGGGGGCTTAGACGCTCCCGGCTCCAACAGCAGCGGCCTAGAGGACTACATGTGTGGCCACAACGTGCTGAGGGCCCATGCCGCGGCCTACCGCATGCACCAGGCGCTATTCGGCGGCCGCGGTGAGCGCCGCACGATGTTCCACCCAGGGCTCATCCTGGGGCTAGAACCTCAACGATGTCCGTTTTTTGGATACATGGTCCACCCAGGATGGACCCTGGGTGGACCATGTATCAAAAACCCCAGCGGCCCCACCAACGGTGCAGCCCCGCCGAGTCGCGGAGGATTGGGAGAGGGGCCGAACGCAATATCACCAGTCCTCTTTCCGTGATTCCGCCTCCGTCGCAAAGACAGGGACAATGGCTCAACTACCACGCTCAACCTGTCCACCACACCCTCCTCGATCCTCTTTCCGTGACTCTGTCTCTGTTGCAAAGAGAGAGACAATGGTTCAACTACCACGCTCAACCTGTCCACCACACCCTCCTCGATCCTCTTTCCGTGACTCTGTCTCTGTTGCAAAGAGAGAGACAATGGTTCAACTACCACGCTCAACCTGTCCACCACACCCTCCTCGATCCTCTTTCCGTGACTCTGTCTCTGTTGCAAAGAGAGAGACAATGGTTCAACTACCACGCTCAACTTGTCCACCACACCCTCCCCGCTCCTCTTTCCGTGACTCTGCTTCTGTTGCAAAGAGAGGGACAGTGGTTCAACTACCACGCTCAAACTGTCCACCACACCCACTATGGATGCGAGCGTCAATGAGTTCACCTGGAGTGACCATATGGGGCTGACGTTAGGCCGGCTGAGCTTGGGTTCCTCTTGGCTTCATCGTTGGCACCAAGCCACGGCTGAACAGTTGAATGGCGGGAATCTGGTCGGAGGGATTTGCCGTAAATCGTTAGTCAACGTCTTTGACATTAGGCTTTCACGACCCCAGAATGCCAGCCGCTACGCCACCACGGATTGGGAAAAAGTAGGGAATTGAAGAGTTTTTTGTATTTCAGGTGCCTTGGGTATAGTACTAGATTTCGCATGGATGGAGCCGGCGACCACGTCCAAAGAAGACCAGAGGGCGGCCGAAACAGCGAGGGAATTTACGGTGCGTCCCAAAGCCGATTTTAATTCTATCTACAAAGAGTTCATAACAGCTTAATTCGAAGATCAACTGCGAGTGTCTGTCTCACATTAATGAATACTGCTGGCTCAGAGGCCGGTGAAGCTTATCACAGATAAGTCTGAAAACAAAAGCATCATTCATCATAATCAACAAAGACATACATAGAGACAAACAGGAGAATCAATAAATCAGAGTGAGCTTTCGTGCAGACAGTAAATTTAAAAAGGTATGATCATACTAGGTGTAATGTTAAGTACGTTTGTGTTTTATTACTATGTTGTAAAGTTTATTTATTTAACACAAATGAAGCAGCACTACGGAATCATAATTGACTTGTTTTTAAACTGTATATGTTTTAAGTGTATTCAATCCGACAAACTATTATTAGTTCAAGACCTAACTCTGGGAGAAATTGTAGAGAAATTGTATGAAAGTTGAACAGCAGTAATCATCATTTTTGAAGATATTCGTACCGCGTGGTAAAATTTTTTTTCCCGTTTATGTTTAATTCTTTGTGTGAGAATGTGGCAAGCGCAGTCCGCCTGATTCTAACGTTATTAACGATTTTAAGTAGTAACGGTAAGTGACGTGTGCAACACCCGTGGGCTTGCAATAACATTGTCATCTTCCGATAAAGTGGGCCCCGGCTACCTCACTCACCGGACGAAACGCACAAGTATAACACTTCGGCTTCACGCCGGTCTTCTAGAACGTGGTACTTCCGGACGGAGCTGCCCACTGGTGCATCGTTGTCGCGTGGCCCCATCGCACGTAGGGTAACAAATGCCCCATTATTCCGCCAGTTCGGCTGGTTCGCCCACCCGATCTTCTCCCCCGAGGGCGACTACCCCCCGGTGATGAGGCAGCGGATAGACGCGATGTCGAAGCGGCAGAACTTCCCGCGCTCGCGCCTGCCCAGCTTCACGGCGGCGGAGGTGCAGGCGATACGCGGCTCCGCCGACCTCCTCGGCCTGAACCACTACACCACCTACCTGGTGGCGAGGGGCAGCGGCGGGGTGCGGCGGCAGCCCTCCTTCGCCAACGACATGGGGGTGCTCATCACCCAGAAGAAGGAGTGGCCCCGCTCCAACTCCACTTGGCTGAGGGTGAGTTCGCTGGTCGTCTGCTTATTCTTACAGAGCGAGAGCAATGGTTTCTGGCCAGCAGTTTCTCTGCCGGGACATGTTCGAACAATCGACTCAATTAAAATTATCGGCTTTAAGAAGTATGATATTACTAGATGCTGCCCGCGACTACGTCTGCCTAGAATAGGCTGAAGGCGTAGATTCAGAAAAAAAGACAGATATACATAAAATATGTGTGTAATTTAAGCCTATGTGTTATTCTGATGTATAAGCTATATTATTGTAAAGTTTCATTAATTTCCATTCAGCAGTATTTGCGTGAAAGTGTAACAAACATCTATCCATACAAACTTTCACCTTTATAATATTAGTAAGGATATGTTACGCTTTTGAAGCTTATTCTCAGCTTCAAAATTTGCCTTACCGAGGATCATCACGTCCGTCGCCATAAATAATGTAATTGGTTTTCCACTCGTAGCGTTCATTTTTATTGCGAAAACAACAACTTCACTTTCAAACGTCATCTAGACTTCAGATAGCAAGCCATGATGAAAACAGCAAACCTCAACTTGACCGGCTACTTCCCGGACCTAATGAGTCCACCGGCCTCCTCACATCGGCGACAAATGACGGACCTCAGACCCGAGGGTCGTCAGTTCTTTCCCCTTCTGTAGCGTTTAAATTAGCCGAGACCAAGTTACTCAGATGAGGTCCAATTTCTCAACTCTACAACCGTATGTTTTCAACGTGTTCAAAGATCCCTTAGATGAGATCCAATTCCACCATTACACCAATTGATGTAATTGGATTGTAATTCTATAGACAGATGTCTCTTTTCGTGTCATTTGTCACATTCACTTATATAATTCACATAATGTAAAGCGGAACAATAGTTTTTAAACGCCATGCAGTACGGACATGCGTCGTCTATTTTATTAAAATCTGATTCAAAGATCACTCGTGATGAGTTCCAATCCCTCAACTGCAGAAGCGTAGACCCTTAACGGGTTCAAAGATCGCTCGGATGAGCTCCAATTACTCAGGTTCATCAGCGTAAATGCTTGAATTGGTCAACCGGCCCCTGCATCCCAAGTCGCTCAGCATGGGCTTTGGCCAGGTGGTCCCGTGGCCAGGTGGTTCGTCCTTTGCACCCCTAGTTGCTTAGTCTGGGTCTTGGCCAGGTGGACCCGTGGGGGTTTGTCCCCTGCACCCCTAGTCGGTCTCTCGGCCAGGTGGTCCCGTGGGGGTTAGTCCCCTGCACCCTTAATCGCTCAGCGCGGGCTCTCGGCCATGTGGTCCCGTGGATGTTCGTCCCCTGCACCCTTAATCGCTTAGCGTGGGCCGTGGCCAGGTGGTCCCGTGGGGGTTCCGCCGCGCGCTGAACCACGTGCGCCGCGAGTACGGGCCCCCCGTGCTGGTGACGGAGAATGGGGTGTCCTCGACGCGGGGCCTGAAGGACTGGCGCCGCACGCGCTACCTCTCGGCCTACCTGCGCGCGCTGCACGCCGCCATGGCGGACGGCTGCCGCGTCATCGGCTACACATGCTGGAGCCTGATGGACAACTTCGAGTGGACCAGGGGCTTCTCGTGAGTCCGTCTTTCTCTTGCCGATATGTTTTGCAGGAGACAGAGAATCAGCTAGCCGGACCCTCCTCTTGCCAATATGTTTTGCAGGAGATAGAGAACCAGCTAGCCGCACCTTTCTCTTGCCAATTTGTTTCCAGTCGATAGAGAATCAGCAAGCCGAATCCTTTTCTTGCCAATTTGTTTTGCAGGAGGTAGAGAGTTAGCTAGCCGGATCCTTCTCTTACCAATTTGTTTCCAGGAGATAAAGAATCAGCTAACCGCACCCTTCTCTTGCCAATTTGTTTTGCATAAGATAGAGAGTCAGCGAGCGCTGTCACGTTTAAAACGTGTAAAACGCTTCACTTCGATGACGGGATTCTTTTTCGTCAGAAAAAGGGAAAAGAATTAAAAAAAAAATAAAAATTCATCTGGACTGGAAAAAAAATTAAAATTCATCTGGACTCGAAAAAAAATTAAAATTCATCTGGACTCGAAAAAAAAAAAAGAAAAATCGCCTGGAATCGAAAAAAAGTAAAAGAAAATAACAAGAAAAAAACACGATCTTGACACGAACTGAGGCCTGATGTTTCGGGGTCGCCCGATTGCCGCCCGAGCTACTATAACTTTATTACAGTAGCTCGGGCATATTATAAAAAAAACCAATAATTTCGTAGTTTCACTGTTATGATAATATAGTTTTATTTTTGAACAGCGAACGCTTCGGCCTGTACGAAGTGGATTACGAGTCGCCGGATCGGAAACGCACTCCGCGCATGTCTGCCAACTACTACGCGAAATTGGCGCGAACCCGCTGTCTGCCGGACTCGTCGGATTTTGGATTCTAAACATATATGAATAAGATCCCAATTCGTTTACCTGGAAATTCAACAGTTTTGTTTCATTTAATTTTATAATCGTATCGTGCGAATTAAATATTGTTTTTTTTTTTTTTTCGTTTGTTGTTTCCCTTGGGATGGATCTCACGAAAAAGGTCGTGAAGGTTCACAGTTTGCTAATTATTCTTAGAAAGTCATATATAATGTAACTTTAATAAATTTTTAAGTGCAGAATTTTGTATACGAAAAGATATTATTATTATTATTCCATTTTAGATTTTTGTTATCTTACAGTGTAATTTATTTTATTCATTGTACCCAATGTAATTATCTAGAGAAAAGCATATGAAATGGGAACAATAAAACACATTTTCAACAATCTCTTTGATTTTTATTCAAAATGCTTTCCTTAAAACTAGAACTGACGGAAGACTTCACAGTATCTCTTATGTTACTTAACAGAATCATAATTTAAAATATATTTCATAATCAACAGGCAAACATTCCATTAACACTGTCTATGTATACAATGTCTATGAAATATTACAAAACATACTTTGTGTAATTATAAAAGTGTAACCGAAACTTGTAAGTACTAGCAATGTATATTGCTTTTAGGAACCTTCTTAGCTTTCCCTACAAGAGTGAAATAAAACACTTAACACATTATACACAACTCTTCTGTGAACATAATGTAAACATAATATTTTGTGTTAACTAGGGTATGTCTTTTTGCATGTGTAATAACATTCAAAATATTAGTATAATATTACGAAAATATAAACCAAAATGAACTATAATTGTATAGGTAAGTCGTAATAAATAATTGAAATTCTTTCTGTTTTTGCGATTTTATTGGAATAAAACTTTGTGACTTATTCGTAGGTCCATTGCCAAGCCCGTATGAATATTTGTACTGAACTAGGAATTTTAGGAACATCAAAAAGACACAGTTCTGTATATTCGATTTGTCGTCTTTTCAATTTGTTTAGCGTGGGTAACTTGGTATTGGATTTTTCTGATTTATAGATACAAAGTGCAACATTGTTCCCAACCGATGTTTATGTCGGTATGTCGCCATAACATATGTGCCACAATGGGATGAATATTATATAAGAACAAGTTGATTGGTAATTAGTATTTAAGCACCTATGTTTACTTGGGAACGCAATTGGTTCATACAAATCAATAGTAATCTGTAATATTGAATACTACAAATAAGATTACTCTTACATAGGAAGTATATTAAAGAATTGGATCAATTTGTGGGTTTCTCTTAGAATAGTACAAGCTAGCTTTTTTCCTAAAATGGAATATGCATTTATATGAGACTGTTTACAATTAAAACATACTCATTGGTACTTTAGCTTACACTATAAATAATATCGTATACATTAAATATGGTTATACAATAAAATACTAACTATCACACGAATGCAATGTGTAAATAGTAAATTCGGTTTATTACAAGGGGCTTTAGTAGCCGCGTATAAGTACAGTCGGCCTCTGTGAAGGACATTATTCTGCGAGTCTAGACAGGAGGTTGGGGTGAGGATATCGCCATCCCGTTCGGGCTTCAATCCAAACCAATTTCTGTCCCGCTCCCACATTACGTACAGTTGCGAACAAGGTTGTCGTTTGGTATTGTGAACATATCTATTTCTTTGATATGAATATTTGCCCTTTCCGTTAAGCTCAACTTTATGTAGTCGACGATACGTACTCGCTGAGTCCTCTAGATTAATTCGTATGTTTATCTGTAAGCTAGAAAGATTGAGAAGATCTAGAAGGCCTTCTGAATATGTAATACTGATAATACTAGAATGTCTTGTGTCTACAGCTGTTGGATTCAAGGGCACGGTTAACCCTAAATATATATTGATCTATTTACATTTGCCACGTAAATACTTGAGAGTTGAAAACATAAGTTTGTATATAAAATATGTTTCTATCTATATGTGGTTACAGCTGTTTCGTGTTTATGAGGAATCTGTACCAGGGCATAATGAGCGTGGATTAGCTCACGACTGTGGCATCTTGCATTGGCTGCACTCCTCCATTCCGTCGCTGAACTCCTCGATCTGGAGGGTCATCTCGAAGAAGTTGAACTTCTCGTGCACCAGACGGGTGGCCTGTTCAAGCACCTTCTGCGGGCTGATGCCGCTACCTGTGGCAACGACACAGAAACAAATGCTAGGAGACATGCAACGTATAGGTGCCGTTTTAAGGATATGAAAATACTTTGCTAGGACATGCAAAGTATTTTCTTAGGTGATAGTTTGAATATGGATGGAGAAAATCTAAAGCATGGAGACGTTGGAATTTAAAAAAGGATGTAGTGATGAATATGAACGAAAATGATAAGTCGCGTCTCGAGACAGATTTTGGTATATCTTTTTGCAACTGCTGTGCAAAAATACAGCTCCGAAAGAAAGAATTTTTCGTTTTGCCTATGTTGAGATATAAATAAAATTTTAAATGTGACACATTACTAAAGGAAAATTCGATAAATCTAACTTCGTGTTGTTCAAATCATGTCACTGTGCACGCATATTGAAAAGCATTACTGTAATTATTTTTTCCCCTGAGGCGCCAAATACAAAATCTTATGGAACTCACAGATAACTATTTGCTCTTGACCATCTAATAAACAAATAATATTAATTTGAGATGTAAGCATTAAGTTTAGGAGTCCATCGCGGACAAATAACGTGACACGTAATTTATATCAAATCAAATACCTTTATTCAATATGGAAGCATTACACATACTTATTGATTGTCAAAATGCCCACCGCTTCGGAAAGAAAAGCCACTGACCTGAGAAGAACCGGCGAAAGAAACTCAGCGGGACTTTCCGTTTTTTATACCATTATTTATCAAATAATGACATGTTTACGAATGTATTAAAGTCAACTTGAAAGAGCCTGGAGCGATCACTTCATTTCCAGGGTGTGTTATCATTTAATATATACGTTAAGATATTATTATTATTACGTATGGCCAGGTGGGCGGAGAGCGCAGTCTTGTCCAAGGACAGCGCCCACATGCGCAGGTTGTGGATGCGCACCACGCCGGGCAGCGACAGGAACGTGTTGGCCACCTCCTGGAACGGAGCGGACGTCACCACCACGACGAACCCCGACATGGGTGTCACCACCGTTACAACCACGACGACCACCAAAATATTTTAAGGCCAAGCAGCTTCTGCCGTTGAACTGGCGGACTCCTCCGAGAAGTATTACGATCTCATAGACGGGCGTGGAGTAAAGGTAATTAAGCTATCGAGTTTCGTCTTAAAGTCAAAATTTCTTTGTTCAATATTTTCATTCATTTAAGCTCTTATTGAATGTCAAAAAACAACCACCATTTATTTGAGCGAGGTGGCGGGGCTCTGTTTTTTAATGGTTGTCAGCGGATCTGCAACTAGGGTTGCAGAACATTGTCGATCTATGGGCGGCGGTAATCACTGATCATCAAGTAAACCGCTTACCAACCTTTAACGAAATAAAAAAAAACATTACATGGGCCATACCAATCGCTTGTCAAATATTTGGTCACTGAGGCGCAAACACGTCACCACCCAAAAAAAACGAAACAGTTTCTAGATGTTCTGCAAAAGGACGTCGGTCACTAACACTCGTTACCAACCCCCTCACTGAAATACCCTGTTCGTGTAAAAAGGTACCTATCTATTCTATCTTCTTCTCTATATATACCGATAATTGACTCATCACGATATCTCTGGAACCATAAGGCGTAGAGACTTGAAATTTGCTTGGAATATTCCTTTCGGCGAGCAGAGGTCAGCTAAGAACGGATTTTATGAAATGTTACCTGTTGGGTCCGCTGGTATATAATATGCTAATTCCATATCTACCATAAACTTATGTCACAAATATAGTTCAATTAAACAGCAAATATCATAAAGACCTGGAAGTCGACGCCGCGGGGAGACCCCTCCATCAGCACCAAAAGCGTGTCCTTGATTATGTTGAAAGTGGTGATCAGCACCAGTATGGAGAACAGGAAGGTGCAGATCGGGTCCACCAGGTTCCATTCCGGCTACGGAACAATTAAGATGAGTAATCACTTCGGTGGTATCGGGTGGAAGCAGTTACTTAGCCATAGGTTACAGTTTCAAAGTGGACTCTGGAACCTTCCATGATATCTATAGCAGATTTTATAAAATTCTTTTTTAGGGACTTTTATAGGACTGTTACTTTACTTCCTTTTACTTTAGCGGTAACAAAAATTCGTCGTCTGTGAAAATTTCAACTATCTATTACGGCTCATGAGATGCAGCCTGGCGACAGACAGCGGTAATACGGTCCCATTTTACCCTTTGGGTACGGCACCGTAAAAAAATTAGCCAAGCACTGGCCTTCCTCGTTTACTGGTTTTCAAGTAAAAAAATAAAAAAAACAATACAAATTTTCGGTCCGCGCCATCGATATACATTCACCTTGAAGTAGATGACGAGCGCGGCGACCAGCACGCCGAAGCTCTGCAGGAAGTCGCCGAGCACGTGTATGAAGGCGGCGCGCACGTTTATGTTCTCTGTGTGCGTGTGCGCGTGCGCCTGTGCGGGTGAGTGCGACGACGAGCTCTCCGCGTCCGAGTCCCCGCCGCGCTCCTGCGGGCGAGCGGAGAGTGAACGACGGAACGGGTGAATGGGACCGGATCGAAACGCCGTCATGCGTTATGGCGTCGCTCGACAGTTTGCTCGATGGACGGAGGTGAATGAGCTGCTTCATTCGGCATTGAATGAATGAAATGCTTTGTGAAGCGGTTCTTGTCTGTGTCGGTTTGAATTCCTACTCCTCTTTTACATTTACAGAGGGCGTTGAATGAAAATAATTTTTAACATATCACATTACTTTCCAATTAATTATAAAGGATTTTCCTATTGAAATATTTTATGGTTTGAAATCGCATTAGTTTTCATCGACACGGGGAATTATTTACTTTGAGAAATTCGTGATCAACGTGTCAACACTCGTTTTAACATCTTTAATCAACGATGAAGACTTCTTTATCGTTCCGATGTTATAACGGCTGCTTAGCCGTCATAACATCGGAATAGCTAGCCAGCGTGTGAGTCTCAAACATAGGGAGAAACCATTAAGGGGAGGGAGGTTTAAATGGAAATTTAATGAATTATTTAAAAATTTTATGAGAAACATAGCTAAGATACGAACTAGAGAACTAGAGTAAATACTGGGTTGGTACTAACTATAAAGAAAAAATTAATAATGAATATAGAACAATAGTTCTCCTATTTTCCTGTAGACTGAATGAAGAACAACAGTAGGCATCCAAAAATACTGATTATCCTAGGACTTTGGTGATGTAAAAAGTTGGCAACGAGCAGGCGGTTCACCTGATGTTAAGTGGCTATCGCCACCCGTGGCCAACTGCCAACCTTTTACAATAGGCCCCGATTCTCTCACTAATCAGACGAAAATAGAAAGAACAACAATTCACTCCAGCCTTCTGTGAAACCGTACGATCCGGCCCATTGGTGAAATAGCAGGACCTGCTGATTTGCTCTATGGTTGGACTTTTTAAAGACACAGAGGCAAAAAGATACAGAATGACACATAGTAAAATGATACATCTTTGGCCGGCACGAAATCTGATTGATTGATGAAGCATTAACTTAAACTATGAAAAATTTAGATGATTGAAATGGATAAGCATGTGTGATGCTATCAATGCTCACAAATCTTTTTTATGTGACAAATACCACAAATGGTAGTAATATGGTCTAAGGGTGGAAAATGGTGAAGACCACTCACCCTGTTATTCAGCACCGGATTGGTGCCGCCGTGCGAGTGCCCGTGGCCGCCGTGGCTGTGTCCGTGCTGGTGAAGGGTCAGCCCCATGCTGCGGAAATTGCGACGGGTCATGACGCGTTCTACGACGTCACGACCTGATCGTGGCGCGTTTCATGTCATGCCACGACTTCACGACCGAGTTCGGGACTAGCAAGCCGTGACGTCATTCGCCAATAGCGATAAGACGTCAGGAGACGTTACTGCGGTACCCGTCTGGTCCCATATTAAACGAATTGCTGTATTTCGACTTCATCAGTTAATACTATACTACCTTTTATGTAATAACTATATTTGCGCAATATAATGCAGTAGTAATAAATATAATTATATTGAGCAATTAGATTCTCTTGATAGCACATAATCAATATTCATATCCATTAGAGATAAACAAAGTAACAGAAAATACCATGATGGAACGTGAAGTAAAAATATTCGGTTTTCGTTTGCCGTGTGATGAAAAACCAAGACGGTTAATTCCGTCTAGTCCCGTGGTTGTTTTGTCTAAATTTCGCTTAGACTACACCATATTTAGATCAATAGGCACTTCTTTTACCGATAGCCAGATAACTGCTTTAGGCGAAACCTGGCAAAGTTCGTGTAGCGTCTGATGAAAATTTCGAAGTTGTTTCACTAACATCGTTATTTCGTGGTCATTAAGCAAGCTACTTATGTGCAGGTGCATGTTTTGAAATACCGCACTTTGTTTTGGAAAGACGTTGCACTGTCCTTTAAACCAACACGTACGTGACACTAAACTCCAAACAACTAGTCGCTTGGTCAAGGGCGTAAAGTTCTAAAAACTCCGGAGAAGATTTATGCAACAAGTATCAAGATTAGGATATAATCGACCAAAATATTTCTCTGGACTTTTCCTACTTCTGCTGTGGATGTGATGCTAATCATTATAATACTGATGATGAAAGGTAGCGGAATCTACAGTAGCGTATATTGATAATGTAATGTTTGGCTTGACATTTAAAAATTTTAATAAAAATTTAATCACTTAATAAAAAAATATTATTAATTTAGGTACATTTCTCTCCTTTTATTCCGACATGCCACCAATTGTCGTCATAAATAAACCTTGCATTTGCACGCAAGGCTTCTAAGCTGTCTCCGAATCCCATCCAAATCCATCGATCCATTCAATTCGCGTAACGCACAGGTGACTCATGCGCAACAGCGTTGCCTAGCGACCGTCGCCTAGAACCGGTTGCCTAGCGACCGTCGCCTGGCAACGGGCGACGCGCACTCACACCAAGTTGACGGCGACACCCACGGCGGAGGTGATCAGCATAACCGTGGCGTCGATCTCGAACGTCTTGTTTATCACCCTCTGCACCGCCATGTACACCAGCACCCCCGTCACCACCCAGATGAGGAGCACCGACGTCAGAGCGCCAATCACCTCCGCGCGGTACCAGCCGAACGGCATCCTGGAAGGGTGACAAAACAACCATTCAAATTCCGAGTTTCAACGGCCACATATGTTTCTGATGTTTTATATATGTATAGACGTGTATAATGTCTAAGGTGTCTATAATTTATCATGTTAGCAGTATGCCGCGTTTCACCATTTCCAAATGTACGAATTCTCCAATAGTGAATGGCATTTTTTATGTGAGAATGTGGCAAACCTGCTGGTGGTTCATTGACATTTGCAACATCCGTAGGGTTCCGGATCCACAGGGCTACCTCACTCACCACTCACCAGACAAAACTATAACACTTCCACTTCACGCCGGTCTTCTATGAGGTCGTAGTACTAACCCGGACGAACCCGCCATTCATGCAACAGGGAAAACTGTTGCGTTGTCTCACAGTTCTTTATGTAGTGTTTGGAGTCTCCGTAATACAAAGTCACCAGCTTTTATCAACAGCTAATTTCGTTTTCAATGAAATAAATCTCTTTACATAGACGAGATACGGATATATGCAGAAATATTAGAGCTCGTTAAACTGTCAAATAACTATTAATTAATCGTAGTTAACTATCAGCTAAACTGGCATCCCATTGCTTCGTAGATTGATGCCACGAGTGATTTTTCTTTCCGGAATAAGTAGTGACCATGCATAACATGCATAACATGGTATGGCGACTCACTGTCTGGTGGCCGGTCGGCTGGCGACCCACAGCGAGAACAGCGAGATCATGAAACTAGCGAAGTCGGTCAGAAGATGGGCGGCGTCCGTAGCTATCGCGAGACTGTTGGACAGGTAACCACCTGAAAGAGAACAACGTATTCAAAACTGTCTCCAGTCTCATTCGACCCCGTTTGGAGGGAAAGAGACAGCTAGTCCACCTTCACCGCCATTCAGAGTGCGAGACAGTCAGTCCGTGATGTCTTTTATCACTTTGCAAAAGGCAGAACTGTTTAAGGCTTTCAAAAACGATCGTTAAATGAATTGAAACCCAGCACCTACTGTGATATTTATTTAGAAAATACGATACCAAATAATTGTGTCATTACACTTTGACAGTAATGTCATTTATAGATAAAATAATAATATAAAGTGAATACAATATATAACAATACAATATATAACGAGTTAATGCCAGACAGACGCGCAATGAGACTGGAAAGGAGCGCTCCTGGCTCAAATGGAGATAGCGGTGCTTGTCAACAACAGATGGTTGTCACCACCAGATTCTGGTGTCACCGTACCATTACAGATAATGAAACTGGAGCCACATCATCCTTTTCTTCCCTTCTCACTCCATCCTACTTCCTCCACACTCCTTTTGATCACCCAAGACGTGGGCATATGTCTGCTTGGGTTTTATTTTTCACATGATCTCATTCGTTTTATAGTTTATTACGTGTATTTTTCTTGAGATTTAATTCCCTGTCCCCCGCCCAAACGTATCCGCCATTAATTATAATTAAACTGAAATTTCAAATCCGAGTGGACCCCGATACTTTCTATTTCAAGATCGGCGTCTACTCGTTCCGTGTGGCGTGAAATATGCGAAAAGATAACAGCATCGGCGGGATCGATTTTATTCAGCAGCGTAAATTCATTGCAATAAATGAACCGGTGATGATCTATTACGTGAAGAATTATGGAAACGTTAAAATCGATTGTTACATAAACTCCATTACGTTTATCGTTTCAAGTAGCTCGTTTAGCAGCAATAGTACAGATGTCAATAGTACAGAATAATGCAGCAATGGTACAGTCGATGCCAATAGTACAGAATAATGCAGCAATAGATTCTTGTGTCAGTGTTAAATACTAAGAGAGATACTTAGTATTGTCTTCCGTGGCGAATGCTCTTATTTATTCGAATGTAATATTCGCGTAAATAAGAGTAATAATACATTTTAATGAAACTAGTTGAAGAATTTTATCGTGGTATATTAGGAGTTAAATGGATTGTGATTTGTATGGAATTATAGCAATTAATATTAGGATCTCTTTTAATGGACAGCATTTATGCAATTGGCGTAGTGCATTACTAGAAAAACATTATGATGAACATATTCCAGATTAACCTACATATTATAAATATGTAATGCACCTAGACAATGTATATTAAATATATATAAAATTTATTTATTTACAAAAGAAAAGTATATTCAATTTAGTTACGTTTATGTGATAACGTTGTGTAAAAATATGTCTTGAAAACGTTTATTTTTTTTAAAACGTAAAATGTTCATTTTGAGAGATTAACACCTCTAGAAGCAACTCTAAAACTCTTCTTGTAAGCCTACCTTAATACAAAATATTTAAATGATAGAGATCGAAGATCACCGATGACAAAGAAGGCTCAATTCTCACAGAAACAAAGATGGATACGGTTTCAGATATAGAACATTTCTAACTTAATCTATCAGCTCAGAGATTATTCTTTACTCTATATAATTATTAATTACTCAATATAATTATTAAAATTTATCCCTTGGGAGAGAGGCAAAGCCCTTGTTTGGGACGCCACTTGTGTAGACACTTTGGCTGCCTCTCATCTAAGGGGTACTTCGGTCAGGGCCGGGGCGGCATCAGAGGCAGCTGAAGTAAGTAAATGGCGCAAATATGAGTCTTTATGTTCAGATTATGTATATTTGCCATTTGCTGTTGAAACATTAGGTCCGTGGGGTCCCCGCACATCAAATTTTTTTAAAAGTTTATGTCCTAGGCTTAACGCCGCGGCTGGTGACAAGAGAGCTGGTTCTTTTCTCGCGCAAAGGTTGAGCATAACTATTCAGCGAGGAAATGCAGCTAGCGTTCTTGGCTTATTAGATAATATGTAATTTTAGATAGATTTAATCTTGTAAATATTAGATCATTATTAATTACTTAGAATTAAGATACGAAGGCAAATTTTTGCTACTAACCAACTATTTCACCAATCATGAATATGACACACAGCACACTGGCGATTATCAGCTTCCGTCGCGCCCTTTTGTCTATCTCCTCGTTCCTCGAGCGGTGGCAGTGTTCTAGAAACAAAAAGAAGACGGTGTGTTACCAAAGCACTGGTGATCTGATTAAAGAAATACAACAGAACATGGGGATAGCTTCCTCCGAGCTTACGTTTTTCTATTAATATCAAGCAAGTGCGAGTCAGAATCGCGCATGAAGGATTCAGTACCATTACCTAAAAAAATGGCAAAAAAAATCATGTCGGTTATAGGGGAACCCCACTGAAATATTTTTTTATTCTGTTTTTATTATTTTTTTTGTTATAGCGGCAACAGACATACATCGTCTGTGAAAATTTCAACTGTCTAACTATTTACACAGTTTATGAGATACAGTCTGGTGACAGACGGCCAGACAGACAAAAAGACAGAGAGACGGCAGAGTCTTAGTAATTGGGTCCCATTTTACCCTTTGGGTACAGAATCCTAAAAAGGAGTAAATGGGCAGCCCAGACATACTTTAATTTTTTGATGTATCTCTTTATAAATCCAATATACACAAGCTTTCATTGGTTTTCGAAATGATCTGTTAATGAATAGAACCCATGCATCGTGGAAAATAACGATGTCATAGCTGATGACAGACGATTTAATGTCTCTTATAAATTATATAGCCTTTAATCAACAATAAAACTAATACAATCGTTCAAAGAAATCGCTCGCTCTAAATTCTATATATTCGAGCATCACGAGTTCAAATTTCAGGCATCTGACCTGCAGTAGCTATATCGATATTGTGTAACATCTGCCAGATATAGCAAGAGAGATGAAGGTGGAAGGATACTCAAGAGAGATAAGGATTTTTGGAAATGACTCTTGCTCTGCCCTTGCAAGACCCCTGGCTGCTGCTGATTTTATATCTAAATAAGTTTGTATAACCGCATCACAAAAAAAAATAACAAAAAGAACAAGACCGCAGAGTTTCTAGCCGGTTCTTCTCTGTTAAAGTCTATAATAGTGAACCGGTGGCAGATTTTTGTTGACGTTCAATAAGAGCTTAATTTAAGCCTATCTATATTATAAAACGAATCCCTATTTCATTTTCTCACTCTATTTAGTTTTTTTTACTAAATAGAGTGATTCAAGAGGAAGGTTTATATGTATAATACATTGCACCCGTGCGAAGCCGGGGCGGGTCGCTAGTATTCAATAAAGATTATTTGACTTTTGACTCACTTTCACCCTCTGTGATGCTCCCGTTTCGCCGGTCTCCGGGGTCCTGGCTGCTCTCTATGACCGCGCAGCATCCCGTGGACGGATTGCCGTGGACGCAGAAGATGACCCTCCTGCCGCGCCCCGGGCTCTCGGTGCCGTAGGACAGCTTTCCGTCCTTGTACCTGTCAGAAAAAAGAAACACAATATTTTACCACATAGCGACTATCTATCTATAGTCTATATATCTGTATATCTATATATCTACTAGCTGACCCGGCAAACGTTGTTTTGCCATATAAATTATTTGTAGGGTAGAGAAAATGTTTGGGGTGTACCACCCTTAACATTTAGGGGGATGAAAAATAGATGTTGTCCGATTCTCCACCCTAGCCGATATCACGAAAATTGGTCGAGCCGTTTCGGAGTTCAATTACAAACACCGTGACACGAGAATTTTCTATATTAGATATATTTATAGTATGCGTCCGTCTTATTGATTTGCGGTGGGTGCTTCAAAGTATAAATACAGCCAATTCATTTTCATGAATCGATGGAAAATGAAAATCAACTTTATGGTGATTTGTTATTAAAAGCAGTGGTGTTACAAGCCTGGACCTCGTCACAAAAAGCTTATACCATTACGTTGTCTTACTACTTCTAACCCTTGCTGATCTTCCGAGGCAGCAACTCTCCGGTCAGGCTCTCGCCTTCAGCAGTATCTGTTTCGTGATTTCACGATCAGTAAAAGTTACTTGCAACTTGTAGGACGGGAGTGAGAGAAATGCCATGAAAAAGTTTTATTATTTATTCATTTCATGATGCAGTTCATGCTTTAAATTATGAAGTTAGTGGCAAAGGAGAACTAAGTGATAAGTTCTAAAAAAATCATGTCTGTCGTATGGAAACCCCACTTAAATAATTTTTTTATTGTTTTTTAGTATTTTTTGTTAAAGCGGTAACAAAAATACATTATCTGTGAAAGTTTCAACTGTCTAACTATCACTATTGACAGGGAGAGGAAGACGGACAGAGGCAGACAGACAGCGGAGTCTAAGTAATATGGTCCCGTTTTACCCTTTGGGTACTGAACCCTAAAAAGGTGGTACTTAATAACATATACGCGATGGTCTCTATTTCCCGTTGTCGTATAGAACGTTGTTGACGGATGCGTTTCTGTAAGTTATTACCGCGAAGATCGATAGGGCTGCCACCTTAGCATATCATAAGTCGATATTAAGTCTGCCACTTGATAAATTTAAACGAAAAATTAAAAGTAAACTTATGGCTAAAGCATATTATACTATTGCTGAATATCTTGACGACGCCAATGTGTCGAGTTAACACTGTTGATACTCACGTAGGCTAAAACAAGACTATTATACCTGCAACATTATATTGTAAACTGATCTTTTAAAAAAGAGCAATTCTGCTGGGTTTCTTGCCAGTTACTTCTCAACAGAAACTGCTTTCCGAACCGAATTATTACGTTTCATAAGAACGCGCAAGCGTCTATGTGAATAAAGATATTTTATTATATTATAAAGTCTAACGACGATGAAGTTTAATTTTCAATGCGTGGTCAAACCCTACTTTTAGGACATCGCTAGGGCTGTCACTTAAAGGCCATAAAATGCAATAGAACATCACCGATAATAGATGGGATTACAATATAGTTGTTTAAGTACAATTTACACCATGGAATTTTTACAGGTTTCGCTAGTTTTAACCGTTAGTTTTAAATTTATTTGGATAATTCTCGCACCCCTACACACGGCTGTTCGTGTTCAGAGAACGCTGTCGAGAAAACAGGTAAATTACGGTGTTTACCTCGCACAAAGCTCTAATGAAATACCACTACAAATTGATCTTGATAAGATACCTCATATTCTGATTGGAATATAACATTGTGAATGATTTTATCACATTTGAACTGTTTAACTGTGGTAATCATCAATCTCTTGCCCTTGTCATACCTAAGTGGGGTAGGCACAATTTTTCCCCCTTTGGGAATAAACACCTAGATCCGGAACAATTAACTTGCGACCCACAGATTATTTGTTTCGCATCTGGGTGTTTGTCCCCGCGCAATTTATGTTTGTAAAACGTCCTTACAACACAGAACAATGTTGTCATAAAGTGAGGGCAATGTTTAAAAAAACAAACACAGCATCCGTGGTGGTCCCTAAATAACATCAGGCTCCGAGTGACCTCTCTCGTTGGATGAATCTCAAAGATCTAAACACTCCTACTTTTCGGCGAACCGGTGAGATTTGAGTAGCAACGAACCCCACCGAGGAATCTACCAATACCACGCATCATTATCATCTCATTTCAGTTAGAGTCCACTGCTGAACATGGGCCTCCGCCATAGACTGCCACGAAGTATGATCCTGAGCAAGTAGTAAGTACAAACACGTAATATTTATTTTTCATTTCTTTAGAATTTTGTTTATGTGATGATATATCATTATGAATGTCCCATAAATACAATTTATGGACCATTCATTTATTCAAAAAAATATTGATAGCAATTCATTGTTCGATGATTTGTTATAAATATTTTCAAATATGTTTTTACTAACCAGAATAGGCATGGTTGAGAACAATCCGGTTGTTTAGCATAAACATTAATTCTGCGCAGATCTGCGTACTGTTGGACGTAAATAAGTCATGTGTTCAAGGGCGGATCCAGCTTTGGTGCAGGGGGGGGTCACGTAGTCGTGGTTTATTTTTATAATCATGATACGACTTCAAAAAGAAGGAGGTTATCAATTCGGATGTTTATATATATTTTTTGTATGTTCGGGCATAACTTCGCCATATATAGATGGATTTGCAAAATTATTTTTTTGTTCGTAATAATTCGTTGCTTTTTATTATCATATATTATACAGGTTGGCTTATTTCAAGATGCCCAAATTCACACAGGAGATTCAGACTCGGTAGTATGATCGTTTATTGAAATAAAAACAGACTTATTTTTTTCTTCAAAAAAATTGCCATTCCATTACCTAAAAAACAGAGCTTGTTGACAATGCGGTAGTCATTCATAAATGCGTCCAATACTTTTGAAACGAACTTGTGTGCGTGTTAATTATGAATGGTCGCGCGTAAAATAAATGCCCATAAATCACATACTTTTTAAGATAAGTTCAAATGAATGATACGAGTGATTTTAAATATTTATCATGTTTATATAACTTTATTTATGTGTTTTATCTTGTAGTTATTAAAAAATGGATACGTTTTGTCTGGCGAGTGAGGTAGCCGGAGCCCACTTTATTGTAAGGAGAAAACGCATCTGCAACGCTATGCATATGTCTATGGACGGCTGAAGACGGAGCTCCATCATAAGATCCTAGTTACCTATGAGATTAATTAATTTGTTTATTTATTTATCTAAGTGAAAGACAAACTACTCGTCAATACGATTCAAATACCGAACCGCGATGAGGCTCTGTCGTTTCATTGCGAAGTTCCTTTGGCCACCTTCTAGCTCCATCGTCAGATCAGCACCATATCATAAAAATATTGCATTGTCGCGCGATTTACACTTGTATACAAAATTTCAGCTCAACCGGTAACCGGGAAGTAGATCAAATTTAATTTGCAAGATTTGACGACAAACATTAAAATAATGTAAAAATGTTCATAAAATGAAAACTACTTGGCCAAACTATGGTAAATCTTTATGGGACAAAATGGCAACAATTTTACATCGAACTAAAGAAGAATCACGTAAATTAGATCATAAATCTCAACGTAATCGTTGCACATACATCGAAAAAAATATACCAATCGAATTGAGAAACTCCTTCTTTTGAAGTCCCTGGATCCGCCCTTGCATGTGTTTAACTAACTTTGCCCGCGGCTTATATTATAACAGGCCGTCATATCTTGGAAACGTGTTCCATATTCAGGTTATATTGGGATGTATTGGGAACTTTTGTTCAACTTTTGTTTGTGAACCACCACGAGGGCATGATGACAGTATTTCGGCTCGTCAATAGTTTTCGGAACATTGACTAGAAGTGCCAATATAGACCTATTAAAAATATTTAAATTTTTTATCTGTAATACCTTTACTTCTACTCAAAAATTTTTATACAAGGCAAGCACAATACTACATCGAACTTTCAAAGAAATACAACAATTTTACTTTGAATAAATGGACTTGTTGACACCGGTTGAGATAATGAAAATTGACATTAAGTAACCTCTTTGTAATTCCCTAAACATCATCATCAATATCATGGTCAGCTCGTATCAGCCCAGTGCTGGGCATACGCCTCCTCTCTCTTGCACCATTCATCCCTGTCTTGAGCGGTTCGCATCCATGTTTTTCCTGCGTTTGTTTTGATGTCGTCGACCCATCGGGCGGGTGGTCTACGCCACGCCTTCCTTCTCGAGGTGTTCATTCGGTTAACGTTTTACTCCACCTGCTATCACCATGTCTAGCAATGTGCCCTGCCCAGCGCCATTTGAGCCGCATTATCCGTTTACCTACGTCGCAGACCTTCGTCCTACGACGGATTTCGGTATTGCGAATATTTTTAATATTTCCCTATACATAGTGTAATATATAAATAAACTATCCCGATAAAATAATTGATTAAAGCGATTGTTCATTCAAATCTTGTAACGATGACGGTTAATTGAAACTATCCTCATCATCTATCAGCGATTTATAAATATCCTGAATCCTGAACTTAGACGCTTTCGCGTCGTCGTTCGAACACGGCCGGACAAAGTGAGGTTATCTTGACATTGAATTACACAAGACGAGGTCGTGTACGCTAATTATAATGTAAGATTCACAATTAAAACGATACTACTCAACAGCTAACTGCCGATGCAAGTACTTTACAAGTTTCCGAAAAAAAAAATATAACCTCACGAATACTTTACCCAGAATTTTTTTACATTGTGATGACTGAAGTGGCTTATTACGAGTTGAAGGTACAGTTACTAATCTTAATTGAATTCACAATTGAGTAATCATCCGATGAGGATATATTATTTGGGCATATTTTACTAAACTGTTTAAAAACACAAAAATGAGCTTACGACAGGCGCATATGGGTGGCCTATACTCGGGGAGAGGAGGCCTGAGAAAGCCGTAGTCGCTTCGGGTTCGTGGAATAAGACGTATTTAGAAACCCGCGTCCCCGGCTAATCTGACAGTGCAGGGCTAACCTGACAGTGCAGGGCTAATCTGACAGTGCAGGTGGAACGTGGGTTTCTTACTCGGTGTCCAAACTGTTCGGGACTCCCACGTACGAAATCATAAACAGTGCCGAAAGGAAAAACCATCACCGACATTTCTACAGTGCACAACGCTTTAACTAATCGAATGAAAACATTTTAATTCGGTTGACAGAAAATTGTTATATACAAAAAATTAGAAAGTCGAATACGCCACAATCACGGTGTTCCGATATCGACCATGGGCGACACATGTTTTTATTAATTCCTTATACTCACCGCATTGTCGGCAACTTCGCGATGCGGCTTTTAGGTAACTAATCGACGCATCATGCGTTTCGTCCCGTAGGCATCGAAGTCGGTCATTGGCAGTCGAGTGGCTCTCGAAAGCGCTTCGAGATCGCATTGTTCTGCTGCCTGAACGCTTGCTTGCTTGTCAAACACAGCAGACGAGATAAACCGATTTAGATTGATTACAATAACTAATTTGCGTTTTAATAATAACTTTACTGCGACTGCGGTAGGGCCACGCAGCAGAATCTGGTGTTTCGCGAATGGACAGGCTTGTCCGGGGAAGTAACGCGGCTTTGCAGAAGTCCGATGTGAAGTGAAAGTACTTTATTTTGCGTGGGGAAACCAGGGCGGACCCTGGCAATAGGATTAATGCCAGGTAATGGAAGAAGGAGAAGAAGAAGTGGGGTAACCGGGGCCTACTTTTGAAATAGTTGCAAATCTTCAGATATTGTAGATGTCCATGGGCGGCAGTAATCAGTTAACATCAAGTGAATCCGCCTGCTCGCTTGCCTAAACTTTACACATAAAAAAAAGTATCTGTGTCGTGATTTCACGGTCCCCGATCACGACAACGGACTGTAGAATTTCGTATGTGGGAGTCCACAACAGATCAGGTACCCACTAAAAATCCACATTAAACCTTAATTCACATCAACAAAGGAAACTTTATTCTATCGTCTACCTACACCGCCTTACCCTTCTTTTTGGCGTGTATGACAAAAGCTTGACCTTAGCCCATTTCCGTTATGACAGCCGTGTTAGCATATTTGTCGTCTGCGCGATCCTAGAACATTTTGACTGAAACTGAGTGTTTTAATTTTTTTATGTAAAAGGAGACAAACGAGTAAGCGGTTCACCTAACGGTAAGTGATTACCGCTGCCCATGGACATCTCACATCCGTACGGAAATAAAAACGTACGTCTGTGTAGTCACTTGAACGCTTAGCGGCTTCATTTCATTACTCTATTTCGATGATAGTCACTTGTTCGCTTGGCGTATTCTTTTCATTACTCTACTGAAGAATGTGACTTACGGGTGGTTTCGTCTGATGTTCACCGTTGGCCGTGGTAGCAATAGCTATCCGTGAGGTTATAGTTGTTCTGACAACCTTTCAGAGAATGCATCCCCGTTACCACGCTAGTCATACGTAATGCAAAAGTGCATATTGTCCCAGTTCACGATATTGAATAATTCATTGACCTAGTTGATCTCTACACGCGACAGATATATGTATGCAACATGCGGGAGCTGTTACATCATCGTACCGACGTAATAAAATCTAGTCTATTGCGACTAAATGCAAGTTTTACGACAATTAACTCAGAGTTACACAAAATACATAGCTTCGTGTGGAACATATAAACCGGGTCGGGTATGTATTGTGTTGAAAACAAATATTTGTGACGCGTCACCTACGTAAAACATTTTTTTTAATTAAAGAAGCTGCAGACCGACAATGCGGAACGCCTCACGATCGCCTTGTGCCGATGTTCTAAAAGAGAGAGACAGAGAAATCAATTTGTGTTACTTCTGAACAACAAAATCTTTGGAGTGGACATTCAATTACAGAGATAAATTACATTCGAGAGGGGAGATTATCTGTGACTTGTTCGAGGCTAATTAGTTTTGTTTTTAACTAAATTAGTATCTCTTCAGTCCTCACAACCCTGTCCATTAAATTCATAGAAGACTTAGACGGCACCTGCTTAAATTCACTGTGAATCCATGGTGATCTTATAACTTTAATTTAGTTTAATGCCAGAAATGTAAAAATATCAACTGTATTAAGTTTTATAGACAAAAACCTGAATGTAGTCTCAATCTATATTCTGTCATTATCATCAAGAGCAATAAATTTATGATGTGATAAATTTTAATTATAAAATATTCATTGAACCACAAATATGTCCGCACAAGTAATTTTTGCTAAATTGTCTATAACCAACGAGCCGTGATAGCTCAGTGTCCGGGCGCTCGCCTTTAATTCAATATACTCGAGCAACCTGAGTTCGATCCCCGGTGCCGGCACCAATGAAGTTTTTAACTTTAAGTGCTGACTTATCACGTGCTCCGCGGTGAAGGAAAACATCGTGAGGAAACCTGCATAGTTTCGAAATAATAACAAAAAAATATATTTCGAAGATATGTGAAGTCCGCCAATCCGCAGTGGGGCAGCGTGGTGGACTATGCCCTGATACCCTCTGTAAAGAGGAGGCCTTTGCCCAGCAGTGGGACATGTATAGGCTGTTACTTTACTTTTTTTTTGTCTATAACCATAGATAAATAGAAATAAATCTAGTAATATTACAAATGAACTAAATGTGTATGAAACCTTGTATCAACCGCTAAAGTATTAAAAGTGAAATGTTTGTAAATATAATGTCAGTTCTGCAGAATGAATATCACAATGTGGTTTTAGGAATTGGTGCTACGTGGTATTAGGTCACCTTGGTGCCAATACGTGCTCATTGTTGGAACTGATTGTGTTGTGAGAATATCGTGGCAGAAAATGACTGGACGGTCCAAATTATGAGACTTCAGTTAACAAGGCGGGAACTGAGCAAACAGAAAACTTATACGATACTTTAAACTTCATACTTTTAACATTCACCAATTTTATTTTATTGGTTACTTTTCAACCTTTCCTACGTTGATAGGAAGTAATGAGTACTTATACATTCAATATTGAATCAAATCTTGACGAGACATCAAAAGATTTGTACTGGCATAGACCAAAATGGTTAATAGTAGTTCAGGTAAATTTTCACCTTTTACTCGTCATAGTTAATATAGACGTAGACAGCTAATGTTTAACAGGTGTTTTAATGAATACTCAAAATCGATAGTGCAGTATTGTGATATAGATATGACCTTCAACTTTTAAAACAACTAACTCAATACTATATAAAAATGCGGTTCCAAATAAAATTGCCGTATCGGATCGTAGTGGACCACAAAAATTTCCTGCCGAGTCTCAAGTATCCGTTACTTCGGTAAGGGGTCAGTCAACTACACAGAAAAACCAAACGGACGGTAGCCAACTGATAACGATCCCCTGATATTACTACTGCATTATCACCACTTAGCCGAACTTATCGGCGCTAACAGAAATAAACGGCGATTACTTTTGACACGGCGTTGACGGCGCCATGTTTACGAAAATAATGACTTGAACAATTTACGAACTTTTAAACGTTCAATGTTGTAAACAGAAATCGTTTTATCGAAAGAGCAAAAATTAATGAACGTCAAATTAATTCAGTTGTTAGTTTTTCTTTTGTCATTAATTTAAAAATTACTCTAAAGACACTAAGCTATCGATTGATAGGCCTTTTATAACACCAGTAAAAATGAGGGTCCCAGATGGTCGTATTGGGTTTTTTGTATTGGCTTGGGTGTCGGGGGTCGTGGGTTCGATTCCCACACGAGACAACTAGTTGTGCGACCCACAGATAGATGTTTCGCATCTGGGTGTTTGTCCACGTGAAATTTATGAGTATAACGTCCTTACAACACAGGATAATGTTATCCTTTTTTTTTTTTGGGAAATGCATCATGCATACTCTCCTTAGGGGAAGCAAGGAGAGTTATGTTGGACTCCCGCTCTGAGAAGGGCAGACCTACCAACTAAAACCCATCGAGTGTCCTCCTCTGCCATCAAATGCTGGATTGCAGGGCCCGCTTAAGCGATTCTGCTGCAACCCAGCCACGGCTACCCCGACCCTGCACAGGGCTGGGGCACACCACGAAGGGACTTTTGTCCCCGTCCTCCGCATGAGTGCCCATGACACCAGTGGGCACTTAGCCTTCGCGGGGCCGGGGACGGTATGACCGTTAGGTGACAGACGTCCCCACGTCTGTCACCCGGAGGCCCATTAGGGCGGGAGACGGCGCTCGTGTGCCGCCCGCCTTCTCCCCATGCGACGTCGCCGGATCGGGTCGGAAGAAGCATTCTCCTCCCTCTCCCTTTCGGCGGCCTCCTTCTGTAAGACGACTGTCTCGCAGAAGGAGGCCATCGCCCTCCACGCAGCCCTGCTGTCACCGCAGACCCCCTGCTGTCGGGACTGCGCCGTATCGTCGGCGCAGGCACAATGGTGGCACCTTTGGCCGCTTCCGATAGCGTTAAGGGCTTTGCACCACGGAATGAAAGTCGGGCCCTTCAGGTTCTTTGATTTCGTAGCGACTTTGGTGATGACTTTGGAAATGCCATCATCGACCCTCTAAGCACCGGGTCAGCCGCTTCCTTAAGGGCTTTTAAAAAAGGCGAGAGTCGACTACGATGACTTTCGTCAAAGAAAGAAAGGCGAGAGGGGCAAAGACAGCGGGGCGCAATGCTCTATCGAGCCGGCGCCTTTGGATCAGCTCTGGAACCTCCTTCTCCGCCTGGAGCTCCATCTCTGCCCTCCTGGCTTCCATGAGCTCCCGCTTCCCTTTCACCAGCCCCAAATACTGCCCACTATTGGGCGGGCGGCCTCTACCCCTTTTAGGCACAGGGGTGCCTCTCCTTTTGAACGCCGAAGATTCCGGATGATCATCGTCTTCGGCGTCTGCATCCGAGGCGCGAGTGCGCTTCTTGCGCACTCTCTGGGCCTCTCCGCTACCCATACTGGCGAAGCTAGCGTTGCTAGCTACGCTTTTTTCCAATTCCAGGCTCATTTCAGAGCCAGAATCTGACGCGGATATACCGCCTACCTCCTCTAAACTCCCTACTGTGGTTGATGTTAAAGGGCCATCCTCCTTTCTTTGGGCATCACAGCGTTCGAGCTGTACGCCTAACTCCTTAAGAACGTCATTTCCTTTTAGATTTTTCTTTTCCATTTTTATTCCCACGAGTTGGGACGATATAGATGCACTCCCCGGGTTACGCCCATTCCGGTCGACTAAAAAGTGGAGTGGGGTACATACTGTGGAGGTCCCCAGGTATCCACAGGTTTTAACGAGGGTTTTCCTTCCCGCGGGCCGGCCAATTAAGGCAAACCCTCCGACCAGCGACACAGAAGCACTCACATATGTACACACCCAAACACATACACATACACACACACAAATACCCACACAACATCTCCAACTGGAGCCACGAGAAGGGTCGTTGAAGTGAGTCGCTGGTTGCGGAACGAGGAGTTGGCGAAATCTCCTCCGACGGTGGCGTCAGACGCACTGAGATTAGTCAGCGCGCCGACCCGTCCTCCTAGGCCCTATCCGATGTGTTCTCTGCTGATGAGAGAATCACACGGTGAGCCCCTCCTTGTGCTGCTCTTCGTCTGGTCCCTCGCTCCGAGCCTTTCCGGTTTGGGAGACCCTATCCGGCATAGCCTTGGAGGTCATTAGGACACGCAAGCCCCTCCACCACAACAAGGTGGCAGCACGACGGGGGGAGGATAATGTTATCCTAGAGCAAGGGCAGTGTTTAAAAAAAATAGTTTTGATGTAAATCCTCGTGAATCGTTCTTTATCAACATAAAATGAAATATAATTGGTATCTACACGGTTATCACACATCGCCATCTCTAAATGTAGTATTTCACACGTAGTATTTTGTTACATTGTACTGTGCTAGAAGTTGGTCATCAAAAAGTTAGTCATCTACTCTTATTCCTATTCCTGGAATAGTTAATCATGAAAAGTTGCCAAGCGAGCAGCGGTTCACCTGATGTTAAGTGAATACCGCCGCCCATGGACATCTGCTACCCGAGGGTTGCAGAAGTGTTGACAACCTTTTGAAAATTGGGCTCCGGCCACCTGACTCACCAGACGAAACGCGAAAGTATACTTTCACTTTACGACGGTCTTCTGTGAGGTCGTGGTACTTACCCGGACGAGCCTGCCCATTCGTGCAACAGCCGAGGCTGCTGCGTGGCTCTACCGATGCGTGGTACCTTATAATAAAGTGGACCCCGGCTACCACACTCACCAGACGAAACGCAGACGCATAACCACTTCACGCCGGTCTTCTGCGAGGTCGTGATGCTTTTTAATAATTTTGTTAAATGGCTACGCTGTTTAAGAGAATAGCTAAGTATAAGAAAAAGAACGCGTTTTGTAAAATTTCTATAGATTTTAATTAAAGCGGAGACAGTGCCTAATATAATTCGATATCGAAAACACGATCGTGAAGCTGATGTAAGTCATCAATTCACAATTAAAACCATTTATTTTAAAATAGAGTAACTATATATTTTAGTTTTGAATTTTTTGTTATTAGTGCCAGTCTGCTCTAAAAATTAAACTCGAAATGCGTAGCTGAATGTCGAAACCTGGAAGTGGCGAGAAATTTAATATCTAATCGCATATTCTAACGGCCGGTTTCAATATTCTATCTATCAGTAGATTTGTTTACTGGCGAAAGGTATCTGACATTAGCTCCCCAATTCCACTTACGTCAAATACATATCGCCAGTAACCACTACAGATAGATAGAATATTGAAACCGGCCATAAGTAAACAACTACAACGTCACAGTGAAAAGGATGCCAACGAATTTTAAAATTCTTTTGTTTGGCTTTAGTGCGACATTGGCGTTACCATGCAAATTACGCAAAATTTTACTGTAAAAATTAAAGAATACATACCTACTTCACATACGAATATTGTAATTAAGACTCGAGCGAAGCCTTCACCGTGAAAATATTTGACTAGTTTGTATACGAAAATATTTGATGTTTATTTTGACGAAAACGGAAAACACCTTTTAATTTCTCCATCGTAATACGTCAATTTGTAAATTAGAAAGAGAGTTAGAGAGAGCTTGTGAGTGCTTATCTGGACTGTTGTAGGACCATGCAGCAACATCTGCTGTTGTAAATAATGCGCAGGCTCGTCCGGCCATTACGGCCTAGAAGACCGGCGTGAAGTGTAAGGGTTATTAGTTTGCATTTCAGGTGGTGAGGTAACCGTGGTCACCTTTGTCAAAAGCTTGGCACCGTATTAACTGCCGCGCAGATATTCTAGATGTCCACGGGGGACGGTAACCGTTTAGCATCAGGTGAACCGTTTGCACATTGCCCACGGGGGACGGTAACCGTTTAGCATCAGGTGAACCGTTTGCACATTGCCACTATCTCATAAAAAAACAGTTATTAAGAAGCCTTTGCCAGTATAGATTGTCTATCTGTATGTAATAGCCGTGATAGCTCATCGTCCGGGCGCTCGCTTTAAATTCAATATACTCGAGCAACCCGAGTTCGATCTCCATGGTCCCGGCACCGATGAAATTGTAAACGTTAAGTGCTGGATAAGAGCCGTGATAGCTCAGTGTGAAAGAGAATATCGTGAGGAAAACTGCTAATGAGGAAAACTGCTAATTTACAAAATGATAAAAAAATCGAAGATATGTTAAGTCCCCATTCGCGTGGTGGTCTGTGCACAATGTTACTGGCTGTTACTTTACTGTTTACTTTCGTATAAGATACGAAGCGCCCTTGAACAAGGTCAAGCCTGCATTGTCGCCTTTGTCCATCGATGGTTACTTTTAGGTAGTCATTAACATATAAAGCAACTGCGCACATATTGCAATTGCATTGTTGGGAACGATCCAGCGACGAGATAAGTCACACTTTTATATTTAATTACCTCTAAATCATTATGAAAGATAAGTAGGTGGTAATACAGGAAGGGAGTCCCGACACATATAATCGAAGAATTAGGTGAAAGGAGGCACTGGAAAATTTAAGAGATACGTTTAATAAAAAAGACACGTTAGAAGAAAGTGCCATACAGACGGGAATAAATGGTAAAAGGTATTATTATTATATTTTTGTAATGAAAAATAAATAAATAAAAAAATATATTTATCAAAAAAAGGGCGCACAATCTAAAAATAATAAAAAATTAAGAAATAAAAATTATAGTTATAAAAAAACAAAACAAAATCAATCCATAATTCAAATATAAAACAAACGAAAAGTATTGCATATTTCGGTAAATCAGGTAATGTAAGTTACACAAACGTAAAACCTTGCGAAAAGATAGACAGCATTTTTTGTTTCGTCGATATATCGCTGTATAATACGATCTACTGATTCCATAAATATCAGCAAGTGAAATCGATGCCCCGAGGCTTTCCGCACATGCAAAGCCGGAGAAAGCAATCTAGTTTATTCAATTACTTATTAGATAAATCATGCAACTAATGTTACATAGTTGGTGTAAAGCGGACAAAATATTGTGCAAAACAATAAACACATTTTGATAAGCTAATTGGTAATTTTTTATTTGCCTGCATGTCGCACATTTTGTGAGGACCTGGTGATCTGTAATACAGGTTTACACATAGCTTGAATTTCGACCAATCGGCGTCCACTAGTCATAATAAATATGCAACAAGCAACGTCACTAAGGTCTAAATCAACTGAATCCACAGAAGGTGATCCTACTTTCGAAGGTCATAAATTATGCGGTCGTACGCGGAAAAACCTTTCAAAGTTTCATCACAATGGTTAAGGAAACTATGTCCCTGCAAACTAGCAACTAATCATTTTTATTTATTAGATAAGTAGAAGAAAACAAGAACTCGTTCATTAAGATAACTTAGATAACACAGGAAAAAATAAGTATTCATAATTAGCAAACAGGCAATACTCCTAATAAAGTTGTACCGCACGATTCCGATGACAAAATACCCAACGTTATCAACGTGCAAAATACATATAACCTAGTTACCAGCCTGCAAATAGTGCAATTGTTACAATCGTCTTTAAACAGACGCTTCTATCTGAGACTAACAGATCTTTTAATGTTTACATCATTAGAAGTTTAAAGATACATATAAATCACAGTTTTTCTTGAAAAAAAGTGACGTACAGCAGAAGGACATGAACAGAAATATAGACAGACAGATATCACAGCACGGCAGACCCACGTGGTCTGCCATGTTTGTTACCTTTAAGAGATGGGTTCCCGTTACCTTAATAATCACACGAAATTAAAAAGTAACTTGCTCGCTTGCTCGATCCACGTGCTACGCGGGGAAGTAAAGCATAGTTAGGACTGAATGCTGCCGAGGACTGAATGCTGCCGAGGACTGAATGCTGCTAAGCACCACGACCTCACAGAAGACCAGCGTAAAGTGGAAGTATGACAAATACTTTCGCGTTTCGTTTGGTGAGTGAGGTAGCCGGAACCCAATTTTCAAAAGGTTGTCAACGCATCAGTAACCCTCAGATGTGGCAGATGTCCATGGGCGGCGGTATTCACTTAACATCAGGTGAACCATCTGCTTGTTTGACAACTTTTCACATAAAAAAAAACGTAAAGGAACAATTTTACATAAGTCAAAGCAAAGAATCAATATCTCATTTATAGCACCCAAACCTAAACGAAAAGGATTAATTTTACATAAGCCAAAGCAAGGAATCCTCATTTATAGCACCCATCTATCATTGCGCTTATAACGCCTCCTTAGTGTAGAATTAATAAGGCTTGTTCCGTTCAGTTATCACCATTTGTAAGGATAGAAATCGATGGGACAGTGCGTGGTATAAATGACACAAGTAATAAAACACGTGGTCAACCAACCACGTGCCTTTTGTTAAACAATTGCTTACACCACACATAACAGTAGCATTATAGTGGCATTAAAGCGTTATAGAAGAGAGCACAACTGTTAATACTGGAACACCTTAGCCTAACGTCATTATATCCAGTTAACCGTTGTTCAAATTGTTCCGAAATTACTCCAACCACGATGCAAAGACAGGAAATGACTTACAGGACTAAAGGATTATCTTCGTTCATTTCCACGGTTCGGAACTTGACGAAAACAGGAACGTCCCACAGCTGAAATGCCGCCAAAAGTTGACCGACGATCGAACACTGTGTTCTAGCGATCGAAACCGGTCGGGGATCGATCGAAAGCGTTCTGATCACTCACTGCGCTGTTCAGGAAGCACCGAGCGTTCCACACTATTAGACAATATCGGGCAGTCACCTAGACCGATCGATCGATCTGATTCGATCTCAGCTCGATCGATCGAGTGGCTTCGGTCTAGACACGGAGGTGCACGGCAAGTCGACAGCGACACAAGCCTGAGGGCGACTAGTTCAAACCCATCGATGTAAATCGTGAATCGTTATCTGCGGAGCCATTGACTATCGCTCGGCGCTCCTTAACTTCACATTATAGTAGATAAGGCCGCCATGTGTAAATACTGCCTAGTAAGCGATAAACAAGGCGGCTATTCGAGTGTCACTCGACATCACGTCTCATGCGAAAGGGTTTAGAAATTCGAATGCTTCGTTAAATTTTCCACTACATGAGATGGTTAATAGACAAGAGTTCATCATCATCTGTAATTTCAAATGGGTCAATTTCTAAGTCTAAAGTAACAATCATCTGACAAAATTATTGTTTAGACTCAAGCGTCATTGCTCAATTATTGTTTAGTCTAATATGCTACAATGTTGTATTTAATTGCATATTAAATTCATAATATAAATATTTATTATTATTGTCACATACTGAATTGCAAAAGGCTTTTTTAACAAAAAATTAACTAATACTAATGCTATTTCGAAATCTGTGCAGCGGTCATCGCACCGCTTTCGAAATATGCATTTAGAAACTTATGCTTAACGTTAATAATTTTAAAAGTATTATATTGGTTCTCAATACGTTCGAACCACGCGCGACACACAGATAGACCCCTCTAGATGCTATTATCATATAACGCTGCGTTCGATAGAAATTCATCAAGCAACATCTATACATGTATACATATGTATAGATACAATTCAGCGTCACCTCAATTAATAGAATAAGGTAATGGCCATGTGGCTGGCCTGTAGGATATCCCATCAGCGGTCACGTGTTCAATATTATTAAAAGTATACTAACGGTATATGGGTATAGTCCAATATGAGGCCCCACCGCGGATTGGCGGATGTATCGTCCGAAGTATTTATTACTTTTATTACTATTTCGAAAAATGTAGGTGCCCCAAGATGTTTTACTTCACCGCTGAGCACGTGACACATTACAATTTGACACTCATTTGCAACTCACTTGCATTGAAAATTACAATTAACCATTACTCTGACGCTGGCATTGGGATTGCAAGTGAGCTTGCTCGAATTACAATCAACAGCGAGCGCTCTAATTAAGTTAAAAGTTCGTTATATATAAAGTCTAATAAAGTACCGACTCTTGAGTCAACAGTTTTTGAAATCTACAACATTCAAAAGTAACCGTCTAATGCTGTCCGGTATCCGCCGATAGGCTAACCCTGTCACGTGACAAGTAAGTACTCTGTAAGCTTAAGTTGTAGTGCGCGTAAGAAAAATAGAATCTTCTCTGTGGTACAGACGGCGTTATTTTAATTATATTTAACGTTTGAAAGAGATGAATATATATCTGAAATGTTCTATTCAACCAGAGTGTTTTGGTATACTCATCCCACTACGGGGTTTTAGAGACCTATTTACAGTGCGGTACGCACTGTAAAAATAAACAAGGTTTAAGTTTTTGAAATCCTGCATGGTTAATTGAACCCCGCACCGCGATTTAGTCTTAACCCTCTCGTTCCGCGGTAACGGAAAATATCGATAAATAAGTAACGCTGTAAACGTCTTAAGATGCGAGTCTATTCACTTGAATGAAGTTAATTATGATAATGATTATGTTAATTATGTTAGTTATGACAGATCGCGCGTAAAATTAATGAGTGGCGTATAAATGACGCACTTTTTGAGATAAGTTGAAATTAATGTAATTAATTATTTACGAGTGATTTTAAATACTTATCATTTTTTTTATATAACATTATAAGACTGAGAAAAGCCAGCCTGTATGTTCGTACGCTTTCGACATCTGTAATTTATACTGCCGCAAAGTTATGCTGGATCACGGGCGGCGATTACAATCACCCGGTTAAAATGGCCGTGGGTAAAACTGCTGTAAAACTCAACTATGTTTAACGAGTAAAGAAGTTAAATGCCAGCATTTCAGTTAACAAGTTTAATGCCAGCATTAAACTTAACGGCAGCTTAATGCCAGCATTAGATTCGTTTACTTGTGGATTGTTAATCAGTCTGGACTGGAAACAAGACTTAAGACTAGATTTCGCGATGGAAATAATGTAATACTATTTTGATGTAAATAATATCTCTGAGTGTAATGCCATTAATTATAAATTCGATTGTTATTGGATAGGAATGAAACAATCGTTACTTCAATGACGGTTTAACGGTTTAGTTAGTGGAATATGAAATTGATGACAAATGCCTCTTCAGGCTGCAGATATATGCAGCTTTGATTGTCGTCTTCGAATCATTTCAATTGACTTCAACTATGACTTTACTCTTAGAGTTTATGTTACCGTTAGTGTTATAATGGCATGTAACACTGGGCTAAATATCTAAATGATTTCTATAATGGAACGCAGTGATAAGTAGCGCTTCTCCGGTTGTCGTTTTAGATTTTTCCTTTGAATTATCTGTTATCTGTATTTTTCAACGGTATCACATGTTGACCGTATAAAAATTCTCACAAAAGCTTTTTACTTATGGAGGGTAGAAAAGAAGGAGTATTATCTGAATATGTATAAAATATCCATGAAATAGGATATGGTCAGAGGGGGCCTCTGACCATATCCTATTTCATTCGTATTTCATGGACATTTCATTTACTATGTCATAACTTTAACTGTGGGCCACGCATCAGTCTTCGCTGTTTCACGAATGTTCAGGTCCGCCCCGGTTAGTACCACAACCTCACAGAAGACCGGCGTGAAGGGGAAGTGTTACACTTCTGTGTTTTGTCTGGTGAGTGAGGTAGCCGGGGCCCACTTTGTTAAAGGGAGTCACCGCATCTGCAACCCTACTTTTTGACTTTGCTAAAAAGTGTACTCATTTCCATTCCACTATTTTCCTTGAGCATACTTACACTACTATTATAACAACGTTACGCACTTCGTCTACTACAGCCACCTCCAGGATTTTCTATTATGATACTATTAGCGCCATTCTGGTCATTTTATGAACACATTTTGCATCCACTTTTTTTGTCACTGTTTCAGTTAAAAATACAAGGCACTACTCCTTATCCTCTTAACTCCATAATTTTAATATACAAATGACAAAGACTGAATAAACAAAAAAAAAAAACAAAAAAAACATCGTCACAATTAAACGACATGTAGCTATGTGGGAAACTGGCGCGTGCATCTAGCACGCACTGGAGCGACACAGTTTACAATGCGACCTTTCTACGCACACACACAAGGCGAGTCACTACTCTGTGATAATATAATCATAATAATGACTCTAACCCGAGAATACGTCTAATGCTCTAATATTATTTTATTCCGTTTATTGGAACAATAGCAGTAATGTCTTGGACCAAAATAAAGAAAATAAACATCATAGATAATAAACGATATAAAATATGCCTATTGAATGAATCATTTATAAAAATGAATTGAAACTTTAAACGCCAGTATATTATAACACTCATATTAAACGGTTTTATTTAGCTCGATCCGTACGGAATTTATTTGTTTATTTGGGTCAAAATTAGAAATTGAAATTTAAGCACCTTCCCGTTGTCAGATTGATCTGAAATTTGGTACACACATTTAATTTAGATGACAATACAATATTGTAGTTTTCAGTGCACATAAAATAAAACCGTTTAACTTAAAAGTTTTTAAACGGTTTTATTCGTTAATAAAAAAAATAGACGTGTTTCACTTAATTATTTTCATTTATTCTTTCATTTAGATGTGTGTGTGCAAAATAAATGAAACGCCGCCGCTGTTCGGGACTATTTAAAAAAAACAATTAATACAGTTACTGGCTGAAATCATATATGCAATAAAAAAAAACCAAATCGTAGAACATGACCGTCTTCGAACTGCTTTGAGTCGCGAGCGGGATTTTTAAACCATCGACAAGCGAACGTCAATCTTTTGACATAAATAGAGGGGCCGCGAAATGAGGCTACGTAGCGACGCGATGACGGTCGAAATTTATCAGAACGTGAATTATTGTTCGGTAAACAATTGCGTAACAACATTTAAGACATAATTCGCAAAGTCTAGTGCTTCTTGGCTTGACTGAACTAATGTAAACAAGCAAAACCCACGAAACAAAAGACATACACACAGCAGATTGAAAACAAGCTAGAATAATGGCGATGTTGTCTGTGGAATACTGCGTATTGTTTTGATTAATGCATGTTATGATGTTTGTGCTCTCATGTTTATGGAATTGTCGTGGGTTATAGGATAGCTGGAAACCATATTGATGTCAGAATTGTTAATTTCGAAACCCAAATGCAAAGCTATGGCTTTTGTTTAAACAACAGTCAGGAGCAGAGGCAATCGAGCATAAAAATATAATTGCATTAGGTTAATAGGAATAGTTTTTATTTTGCCTTATACAAAATAAGCAGAATAGGCAATCAAGACAGCTGAGCAAGTCATCACCTAGTCAAGTTTGTCACCTATAAAACCGTTATCTGCGTGGCTGCCACGTAGGGATGGTGGGCGTATGCACTGCATCAGCAGAAATCAATGAGCTTCTTAGTTCGATCAACGTTGGTTCTAAAAGATACAGCCTCCGAATTAATGCCGCGTAATGGTGCTGTTTTTATATATTTATTTATTGAAGTGAAACTTCTTTATCGGGGTTGGAAAAAAATTTAGTGTAACATTTTTCCGTTACGCGCCATCTTTTTTTTATCTTAAAATGTTCCTCTAACGCCATTTAGTGTTGAATAGGGGGTTTATGTCGTCTTTATTCTTTAGTGGTTTTAATAGTTGACGCTAGATGGCGTTAGTTCCTTTGTGTGTTCATAGCAATATATATATATATATATATATA